CTTTGTTTGTCAAAAAAAATGAAATAAAATTAACATTTTTCTAGTTTTTTTCAGCCACAAAAGAAAAAGTTTGCTTTGATTTTGCTAATAAATTCATTATCATCAAATATTCGGCATCTATAGTAATAATGAATGAAAAAAAAGATGGTTGAATTTGACTTGCCGAACGAAAACGATGTGTGAGAGAATGAGTGAAAAAAAAGTAATCACTGATCGTATCAAGAACAAAAAAAGAGAGTGAGAGATAGGGAAAGTCATAGTGATGATTTGCGTCATCAAATTATGTTGACAACAAAAGATACTGTCTGTCGTTCCCCCTTCTCTTCAATGTATGTACTTTTTCATTCAACGAATAAAATTTGATACCATAATTCCAAAGTAACAATTCCGCTAAAAGTGTCGAATCCTCAAAAGTATTCAAAAAATTTTTTTTTTTCATAATCACTAGACCTACTATTATTATATAGCATTTTATATGGAAATAAAAAAAAACACTAAAATATCTTCACGTTATATCGAATCTTGAATGGAAATAAAGTTGATTGTGTGTGTGAATATTTTCTACATACGTTTGTCATCATTATTTTTTTTTCTGAATCAAATTTGAAATTTTTTTTTTCTATTCACAAATATTGTAATATATTATTGAATTTAATGCGTGAATTCTGGTTATTTATTAGATTTTTTTTGTTGTCAATACTACTGCTTGCTGATGATTCTGAATCTGTGTTGTTGTTATTTGATTACCGTTGATTCAGGATGATTAACCGTTTTTTATGTTATTGTTATGTCATATGATCATTAACGGTTATATCCGGTAAAAGGATGATCAACAACAGAACACGGAAATAATTCCATTCTTGAAAGACTGAGAATTGAGTTTATAACAATACACAAAAAAAAATTACTAGTAGTAGTTTATGCATCATATATTTGCTAAAAAAAATATTTTCTGTAGAAATTTATGAAAAAAAATCCAGTTGAAACAGAAAAAAAAGATTTCAAATTTTGGTAGAAAATTTGATTAAAATACTCGATACACCGATGTTGTAGATGTGGATTCTTTGGAATTCGTTTTTTTTTCATTTGAAATTCAAGTACAAATAACCCAAGAGAAAATGTGTATGCGAGAGAGCAAGAGGAAGAGAAATTTAAAATTGCATATTTGATTGTTTTTCTGGCCTTCTGTTTGTTTGTTTGTTTGTTTTCATTCCATTTTTTTTTCTTGATGAATACACATTGTCGATTTATGAATGTTTAACAAAAATGGAAATGGTAAAAAAATAAACATTTCAAACGATTCAAATATTATAGACAGAATCAAAAAAATGTGAAAAGAAATGACTTGAAAAAATTCTTAATTTTTAAAAATCAAGTGTCTAACATTATGAATCACAATTCCTGTGTTTGTTGGTTTTATCAGTCCATGGTTCCATCATCATCATCATCATCTTGGTTATAAGTTGTAATTGTCGTTTGCGTTTGCATCTTATTCGTTCATAAAATATCCAGAAACATATACAATTATTCTGGATTCTTTTAGACTTTTTTTTGTGATATTTCAATGTTGCTGTTGTTGATGATTATTGTCATCATCAATCATCATCATCATCATCGTCATCATCATCATCATGGCAACATCAATCAGCTTCAATAAATAAATAAAAATGTGAAAGAAAGATATCTTTTTCTCAATAAGTTTTTTCACTGTATTCGTTGTTGTCGTCGTCGTCGTCGTTATTATTGTTGTTGTGTTATTATCATCATCTTTTGATGATCATTAAGAATGGTGATACACTAATTTAATGACTTATAGTTGACTTATATTGTTTCTATTTTCTGATTATTATTATTTTATTATTATGTAAGACAATTTTATTTGTTCATTCATTCGTTTGAATATCTTATCAAATTACGAATTAATTCCAAGGGTTTTATTAATATTATTATTATTATTTTTATTATTATCAAGTCAAATGTCTTTGATGATAATAAAAAATGATACGAATTCAAATGGAAAAATTTGTTATTGCTTCTCTTTTTTTGGTTGTTTGTTTGCAGTTGTTGGTTGGTTGGTTGGTTGTTTGGTTGGCTGCATGTTTGCAAACAACCATTTGGACAATAATAATAAAATTTCTCTATTGGAATTCAATGTCATAGGAATGAATTTTAATTAAACATTCTGTTTGGTTTTTTTGTTGTTGTTGTTTTGGCATTCTTATTTCGAAATTTTACTGGTGGTTCAATAGTCATAGTATGATGAATCTGATCATTATTCTTATTTTGATCAACTAAAATAGTTGAAAGAATTCGATCAAGTACAAGATGTTCAATGTGTATTTCTTTATATTATATATGAATATTAGTGTGTATAATGGTAAAAATGTGAAAAATTCAGGTTTCAAGTTTCATATGTCATTTCTATTCGTAGTCAACTTTTCTATTTTTTTTTATTCTCACTATTGGATGTGTTTGTGTGTGTGTGTGTGTGTGTGTGTGTGTGTTTCAGGATTCTTGCCAATCGTTGCATGACTTTTTTTCTACTTTACTTTAGATTCTTTTTTTCCCACTGGTTCAATCGCTGTTTCCATTTAAAGTGTGGATAATTATTTTTTATTATTCACAATGCGTTTTTTATGTGCAAGTGACTCATTCATAAATTCATTCATTCGTTTGTTTGTGTGTGTGTGTGTGTGTGTGTGTTTGCGTGAACACATATGTTCTAAAATTATACCATTTGGAACTCAAAGTTTTTTTTTATTTCTGAATGCTTACTACTGGGTGACCCTTGCTTTTGGTTGTTCATTTTGGTATATTTGGTTGGTTGGTATATATCAATTGTTTATGATCCAGATTTTTTTTTCTAGATCTTTGTCGTTATTCATCGTGTTGTTTTTTTTACTTTATAGATTTTGGATTTTCTAGTCATGTCGTCGTTTGTTGTTGTTGTTGTTTTTCTTGTCTAGTTTTTCGTTTGGTTGGTTTGGTTTGGTTTATTTTCAACAACAACAATAATTGCAACATTCCATAACAAACAAGAAAGAAAAGGGGAAAAAAAGCGGCTTGTATTTTGCTACTGTTCTTTTTTTTATTTTCTCGGTTGTTAGTTGGATTTTTTTTTTCATTCGGGCACCAACTGTGTGTGTGTGTGTATCCAAACTTTTTTATTTTGGTTATTGTTGCTTCTATATTCAACTTACAAGTTTCAAAAGCAAAAATTGTGGTAAATCCAAATGATAGTTTGTTCCCCATGTTTTCTTGCTTTTTTTTTTTTTGGTTAGTTTGATTTTTTTTCTCTGGTGCTGATTCCCGTCGTGCACACGTAAACATAGATAGACAGAATCCGTTCCAAATGGAACAACAACCGGCAACGATCAATATGGCTAGAATTTTTTTCTTCTCCGTCTTCTTTTTCTTTTGAATCCACCAAATCTTAATGGTAGTAGCCGTACGAATAAATATGCAAACTGTATGTGTGTGTGTGTGTGTGCGTTGTTTATTTGTGTTTACTACATGAAATTAAAATAAGAATAAAAAAAAACTGGAAACAGTGATCTATAATTTTGTTCTGGTAGTAGACCTTTTTTCCCCTGTTGTGTTTTGAAATGACAAAATATTCGTTCAAACGAAACGCATAAACCAAAAAAAAAAAACTTTGTGTAATATTCCAGCGACCACATATATGAAAAATTGATTAAATTAATGAGAAAAAAATTATGAATATTTTTTAGATGCAAATGCCATCATTATTATTATTATTATTCATCTCAAAAAAATGAATGTCGAATAAAACTTTTATTTATTATTTGAGACAAACAAACACACACACACACACACACAATTTCTTTTGAAAATTCCAACTCAATCATCGATCCATCATCATCATCATCATCATCAAGTATAATGAATTCCTAGAAATATTGATATCTTCATCAATCTATTCACGATGAAAAGATGATAATGATGATGAAGGTTTCAATTTTTTTTTGCCTATTGAAAATTGATTTCATATACTCATCAACTTTTGTAAAAAAAAAAAAATTTTTTTTTTTGCTTGTTTGACATATTTTTAGCATGCATTTTTTTCCATTAATATGGAAAATATAATCTTCATGAATGATATGACAATCATTGATTGGTTATGGAAATTAAATTTTTCAATTGATAATGGAAAAAAATGTTATTTTATATATGTATGCTTGTGGGTGTTTGCAATACACATGTGAATACACAAACAAATGAAGAATGTAGAGGTGAAAAATGATTGCAGATGAAAATTTTTTTTCTTATTGGAATTCAGATGTGTTGATTATACAGGAAACGAAATAAAAAATGAATGAACGAAAAAAAAATGCATCTAATGCAGAATCATGAATGATTGAATGAATGAATGAATCCAATTGAAAATGTAAGCTTTACCTCATTGCATTTTTTTTCTGGCATTCTGACTGTTTTGTTTTTTTCATGTTTTCATCAAAGAAAAAAAAGAAAAAGAAAATGCCGATTTTTTTTCTCTTATCTATCAACATAACCTTTTGGGGATTCACATTCTGAATGAATTTCATTTTTTTCCCCATAGCTTTCCTGTTTTTTTTCGGTATTGAAAATTTTTTGTTTCATTCGGAAAAAAACATTTCTGTTTATTCAAGCATTTTTTTTCCATTTCGGGCTATTTTTTTCGATTATTCGAATCGTTTGTATTTCGCCTCCCTAGTTGAATGTGATGAATTGATGAAAATTTTTTTTTTCGTTATAGAGCAATAAATTTTATATATGTAAATAAATTATATTACAACATCCTTGGAAATCGACAATCGACATTGATTCCATTATCATTATGGTTAATTTGTTGGTGCGAAAGAAAGAAAGAAAAAAATTTCTCAATCAATATTTCTGTGTCCAAAATTTGATGGAATTTGATTTTATTTTTAAAATGCAAACCATTTCTATTGTTCTAAATGTTTGTTTTTTTTATATTTCTTTTTTTTGTTAAATAATAGGTTCGATGACCATCAACAGAACAAATTCTTTGATCGACAGTCACGTAATTGAAATGAACATTATTTGGATCAAAATTTTTGAGATTTATTGATTACATCTACAATAGTGTCCAGCAGCGTCAATCATCATAATCATTTGATATCATTATAAGAACACGAACACAAACACAAAAGGTTGTAAATCAATCTTCATTTATCGTTTTTTATTGTTATAATTAGATTTTTAAAAAATCCGTAAAGCAAGCATAAAATGCTTGAACCATCATCATCGGAAGATGAAAATGAAACCGTAACAATTGCTGAAGTGGATAATGATACATCGAGTGCAATATCGGCAATATCATCACTACGATCCGATGGTGGTGGTGTTGGTATTAATAGCTGCGGTAGTGTTGGACGTCAATTGACGCCTAATATTAATGTTAATCATCCACAAAATCAATTGTCCACAACAACAAATTATGGTATAAATCATCGTAGTATTTCGCCTTGTATTGAACCAAATGCTCAAATATTAAGTCAACAAAATACGAATTATCATCATCATGCTCAACAGCAACAACACCAACAACATCAGCAGCAGCAGCTACATACGAATCAACTACAACAACAACAGCAGCCATTATCAGCAAATGATAAATTATTATTACCAGTACGAGCTTCACTTGCACAGGTTCGAGCCACTAGTCCAAATCCTCCGGAAAGACTTATAGAATCACCAAATAATGAGCTTGATTCATTTGAGAATGATGAAGAAAGAGCCGAACGTGAAGAAGCTGAAAGAAAAACTAAATTACAGCTTTATGTATTTGTTTTACGTTGCATTGCCTATCCATTCAATGCTAAGCAACCAGATTTAAATAAAAGAGAATTAAAAATTACTCTTTCACAATCTGAACAAATAATCAATCGTTTTCAATCATTCCTTAATGGAGAATTGAATATACCGACTGATGATGCATTCACACATGCTATACAGAATTATTTTGATGCATTTCTACGAAGTAATCGGCTTCATATGCTTGTTGTTAGTGGTGCTTGTTCGGCACAGGATTTTCGTGAAGTATTTCGACGAAATATTGAGAAACGAGTTCGTAGTTTACCAGAATCTGAAGGCATGACAAAAGAATTAATTATTAGCCAATGGCTAACCAAATTTGATGCTATATTTCGTGGTGTTGTCGATAGTAGTATTGATGCCGATTCATCATCATCATTGTCATTGACTAAACAGAATGCAACAAAAAACATTAATTTAACCGCTAAAGGACGTCTATTAAATCTAAGTTCAGAAATGATTCTAAGCAAAGAACAATTATATGATATGTTTCAGAATATATTGAAGATTAAGAAATTTGAACATCAACTATTATATAATGCATTACAAGTAAGTTTTTGTTCTTTTTTTCTTGGTTGATTTTCTTGGCAGACTTTTTTTTAAAGAATCTTCAAAGTTTATTAATGTTAATGAAACAAGTTTTTGCTTATACATTGTCCAAAAAAAAACTCAACGAATTTTTTTTTCATCATCAGAAATAGGAAAAAAGAATGAATTTTAGAAACTTTTTAGTTTACAGAAAAAAAATCTTCATTAAAACAAACACCTTCTAAAATAGACAACAAAACTTTGAATACCAAAAAAAAAAAAAAAATTGTGTAGCTAAACTATTACATTTGATGTTATTTATCGATACACACAATCAAAGTGACAAATTATAACACACATAAGCGGTATTTTTGTTGAACTATTTCATATAAACAAAAGAATAAGAATTCAGAACTAAGGAAAAAAATTATTGGAAATCAATATTCCGTTTGTGTGTGTGTATTGAATTGGAAAAATGTTGTTTACTTGTGCTTAGTAGTAGTAAAAGTAGTGGTAGCGGTTGACAAACAAACAATACATACGCATCACGATACTAATCTTTATTTGAATTCTAGATAAGTTTTTTTGGGGGATTCTCTTTATATTCATCGTTTTTTTTTGTTGTCTCTCCATCTATTTCCATTTTCATTGTATCCAAATACAATACAATACAATATATTAACACAATACATTTATTGCAATTTGTTTGCAAATAAAAGAAAAACGATTGAAAATCACAAAATTTTTTTTTTGAATTTCATATATGAGTATGTGGAAGAGAAAATAGAAAAATAGTCAAGAGAGCAATTTAATTTTTAAATTTAATATTGTTATTATTATCAGTAGTAGTTGAAGCAATAAGTAGTTAATTTTTTTTAATCGTCATTGATAATGGTTTTGAACTAGAATTTCTAGAAGAGAAAAAAAAACAGAAAGACCATCATCATTCTTTTTTTTTTTCCTGCAAAAAAGCTTAGTTATTTTTAGATTACATTCATTTAATAGAATTTACCTAACACATACACACACACACATATAGACCATATATATATAGAATTGGGTGTTCATTTTCGAATTTGATATGAGAATCAGAGAATGAGAGTGAAAAGGTCCTTGTTTGAGCTGAAAACTAATTTAGTTGCCACATAGACAACATAAATGATATTGATACAATGGCACAGAAAATAGTAAAAAAAAAGAATTTAGCCAACTTCTCAACAACAACAACAAAAAAAAATGGTAGATAAAATTGATGAGTTTTTTTTTCTTTTCTCCGTAATCATCATTGTCATAGTTCTGTAGTTTTACGAATGAAAAAGAAAAATGCTTCAATTCCATCTGTGTAAGTAATTTACCTGATACACACACACACACACACGCAAAAAATAATAAAATCATCATCATCATCAACGACTACAACAAGAAAAAACAATGGAAAAAAACAACAGTAAAATTCAATGAGAAAAACAATATAATAAATGTAACGAATAGTTTTTTTTCTAGAATTATCATTTTTTTTACCGTTGTTTTTTTTTGTTTTCGTTGTCGTTGTTGTTGTTGTTGTTACGAAAAACAACAGAAAAAACACAAATTATTATTATGTGTGATAGTTGAAATTTCTTTCTCTCGTTTTTTTTTTTTTTTTATTTGTGCCCACAATTCACACATTAACAAACACACACACACACACCGAGATATGATTTGACGATTCCAACCCATAATAGTTTTAGTAGTCAACTACTACTGTGGTGGTGGTGGTGGCAGAATATTTATCTTTGTTACCACTAAAATCGAAAATTCTGTCGATTATGGAACCAGTTTTTTTTTATTTTTGCTAAATTATAATTATGATGATTATCTAACTGAATGAATATAACATGATTGTCGTCATCAATGGTGGTTGTGACCATGGTCACAACTATTAATCTATTTTTTTTTCTTTATTTGTCATCATCATCATCCACTTCAAATACGATTATATAATATTCATATTCATATTCATTTTTTTTTTTCGTTGCTTGATTAAATGATACGTTTACACACACACACACACACAAATATGAATATGATGATGATGATGATGATGGCAAACAATAAAAAAAAACCAAATTACAGAATGGACAAAAGTTTCAGAATTCTTTTTATTGTTATTTCTTTTTCATCTTCAAAATGTTTATTCCAAGAATTTGAACAATGAGGAATAAACTTTTTTTTTCATTTGTTATATGATCTGTATATTTTTCGTAAGAAATTTCAAAATCTAAGTGTATATGAACAGAGATAAGTGATTAATTTTCTTATGAATGAATGAATATTAGGTTTATTTTTGTTGTTGTTGCTATGAATATTAAGATCTCTCATAATTTTATTCATATTCATGGTTTTCATTTTTTTTCTCTCTTTCTTTTTTTTTTCAGCTTGATTCGGCCGATGAACAAACAGCAGCTATTCGTCGTGAATTGGATGGACGTATACAAAAATGTGCGGAAATGGAAAAAGTAAGTGCTATTGGTGGCTGTCATTGACGTTAATATTTTGTCATCAACTCATTTCCGATTTGATTGTAGGGTTGTTGATCTTATGTTGTCAGTTGTAAATTGGATGATGATAGTGGGTTGTTGAAAGTTTTTTTTTTTTTTTTTTGGATAAGGAAAATCTAGCCTGCAGGATAAAAAAAAAAAATAAGCCAGATCAATCATTCGATTATTCGTGGCCGATGAATTATTGATCATCATCATCGACAATGTTTGTGAATTATAAAAATTGAAGCTGTATTTTAAAAAGAGAAAAAAATTTATCAAAAAATGATAATAATAATAATCAGATTATCCGAAACCAATGGCCACGAATTAAATAGTTTTCATTTCAATTGGTTGTTGAAAATATTTTTTTTTCAGTTTTTTCAACTTGCTTACCGGCAAAAAGTCTTTTTTTTCTCGTTTTCAGAATTGTACATCTTATAATTCTACCATCTGATTTTATATACAAAGAGAACGTAGATTCTGTTTCTGTTTGGCAATTTTTTCTGACAATTCTATACACTGATGAAAATAATCTTTTAGGTATATATGTATGCAGTACGCTAAGCTGTTATTAATTATTTAACATAATAATATTACTCATGTAATATGAAAAGAGAATTATTTGAATTTCTTCATCATTTTCGTATCATTTCTAGCAGTGTATGTGTGTGTGTTTCATGAAAAAAAAGAAATGATTTGATGATATTGAAGCAAAGTTTTTTTTTACTTATCTCCACCAACAACTTTGAGACTGGAAAAAAAATTGGCTACAATTAGGTCAATTCTCAATTTCAATGTTTTTCCGGTGAATTCTTGATGGTTTTTTTTGGTTGTTGAAAAAAATAGAAAAAAAATTTCAAAATGAAGAATCTCTTCTTCCTACCGTCTCATAAAACTGCTTTCATTTTATTTCAGTTTTTTTTCTCTTTATAACTTTTATCTTTTTTTTCCTGTTTTTTTCCGTGCTATGAAAATTTGCATAATTCTCTTTCGTAATATTAGAAAAAGAAAATAAACTATTCTAGAATTTTCTGAACCAAAATAAAAAAGAATTGCAGCATATTGCAGTGAACAGGAGAAAATTCTTTTTTTTTTTTTTTTTTTTTTTTTGTTTGATTCGGTCAATTCATATGATGATTCAGTGGGGTATGCAAAACAAATAATAAAAATAAAAATAAAAATTCCAATAAAATATTCTGCATCCGGTATGATGATGATGATGATATATAATAGTGGTAGCGATGTTTGGCTAAAAGTCAAAAAGAAAATGCCTTAACAATGACAGTTCCCTATGTGTGTGTGTGTGTGTGTGTGTGTGAGGTTTGTAAATAAAAATCAGCCAGCCTCAACTATGTGAGGTTTGACTTTTATAAAAACAAAGTTGATCCCATGTGATTTCAATTTTGTTTTGGCCATTTCTTTTTTCATTTTTTTTTGTCTCTATTCACCATTTATATATATCGTTTGTTTGTCTATTATTTACTATGGATTTTTTTTTCACTGAAAAATTTTTTTTTTTTCAATTTGATTTCACGTTTATATATATAGAATCGTAAATTATTGCCAAAATTTGTCCTAAAAGAAATGGAAAGCCTTTACACTGATGAGGTACATTCATCGATTAATCAATTGATGGCCAATTTGGAAAGTTTGCCAATATCAAAAAGCAGTACAGATAGCCGTTATGGATTACAGAAATTAAAACGTTATAATAATAAGTAAGTATGGCTATATCGATTCAAACAACAAACAATAATAATAATAATAACAACAACAACAACAATTCCAATCAAAATAAAAAAAAAAATAGCCACACATGAAAAAAAACGATTGAAAACAAAAATTGATCAGATTTTTCGATTTTTTCTTTCATTGTTCATCGATAAGGTTGACAACAATTGTTATCGTTTTTTTTTAGACAGTGATAGTTTGTTTGTTGCGTGTGTATTTATAGTTAACAAAATACCATCATCATTCAATATTTACTCAATCAAATGACACAAGATATATTATGTTTGATCAAACAAACTGAAAAATCATACTGGCCAAAATGATGATGATGGTGATGATTGAGAAAAAACAAAAGATCAAATCAATATCCGATTGTTATAGACTGAAAAAAATATATGAACCTGGTTCTTTTATTATCCCTTTCATTTTCCGCTCCACCACCACCACCCACAAAAAAAAAACAATAAATGGAACAACAAAAGAAATAAATATAAAAAAACAGGAAATAATCTACAACAATCCAATCCATTACACATACATACAAAAAAAAACAAACGTAAAACTTTTATTTCCATTTTTTTCTACATAATAATAATAATAATGGACATTAAGATTGGTCATTTTATATTTCCGGTCACACAGTTTATAATAATAATAATAATGTCATCACTATTATAACAACAAGAGCAAAAAAAAAAATTCTTTGATTATGAAAATGCATTATTTCTTCTGATTTCTGATCATTTCTTTTTATTTTCTTCTTTTCTTTTTCTTTTTTTTTGTTCGTTTCACGATAAAAATAACTCATTAATTCCTGAAATAATTTTCAATCATCGATCTTGCTTGCTTTATATTATGAAAAAAAAATTTTTTTTTTCTAAAAATAACCTTCTCATTCGCTCGCTCGCTCGCTCATAACAAAAACCGAACCGAACCAACAATGTTTTCAACATTTATAAAAAAAACCAATGTCATTAATATATTACATATATATTCATTTTTCATAAAAAAAAAAAAAAAAAACGATAGTCGCCGCCGGTCATCCGTTTTAAGGCATGTACAAATAAAATAAAATAAAAAAAAATTTCCATTTCATTTTTTTTTTTTCTCAAAAATCGATTTATTGCATTCACAATCACACACACACTTGCATGCATATATGCATGCATTCAAATGTCCAAATGTTTATGATGGTCTGTTGTTGTTGTTGTTGTTGTTGTTGTTGTACCGTACAACAACAACAACAACAAAAAAATTCATTTGCTATGACAATTTTTTTCTGCTGCTGCTGCTGCTGCTACCGCTGCTTGTGCTTGGAATTTTTTATTTATTTTTCTTTTGAAAATGTGCAAATTTTTTTTATTTGTTCATCTCCAAAACCCCCAAAAAAATAGCTTTGCATCATCTGCATTCGTTTGCCCATTCTATTCATGTTTTGATTTTCTTTTTTTTTTTTTTTTTTTTTTCTTAATCGAATCCATTCATCTAAATAAATAGTGGTCGTGACGCTTCTGTTGTAGATTTTCAATCACATTTTATCCATAGAATAAAAAAAAAAAACAAAAGCAAAAAATTCTTTAGAATTTTATTCCAATGATAATTTTGTGTTTGTATGTGTGTGTCAGTATATGTTTCAGTGATGTTTATGTCTTTAGAATTTTTCCTTTTGTTTCTTATTGGTTTTTCTATTCACCCACACACACACACACACACACACACTTTTTTCTCAATTCAAAAAATCTAACCTAACACGCTACTTTATATCCACTAATATAAGCATTTTGTATTTTTTTTTTGCCTTTTTAATTGTTGATTGTAATTGTATTAGTAGTATTAGTAGTTGCAGTAATAGTAGTATAGTTACACAATATGTGTGTGTGTGTGCGTGTAGTACAATCTTACACCTATAGATTTTTAAAATTAATTCTGTTGTATATAATAATATGAAAATGATGATTAATTTTTTTTTCCATTCTATTTTCATTTTCCAATCGTTTTGTTCCTTTTTTTTCTCTTAAATGTTTTTCTAATTTTTTTTTTCTACATTTCCTGGTCGAAAATCCGGTCATCATTATGTAGAAGTCAAGCATCATTAGCCAAAGAAGGCTTAGTAGAATTAGAGGCCGAAGTATCGACATTATCGAAAACGGATGTAATGCTTTCATTCACTATTGAAGGTAAATGAATTTTTTATTTTATCTTATTATGACAAAATTCTTTTTTTTTGTTTTTGTTTTCATAATCAAATTACAACAAATATTATTCGTTTATTAGTTGTCGTTATGGAAGTTCGTGGCCTAAAATCATTACCGTCCAATAGAATCGTTTATTGTACAATGGAAGTTGAAGGTAGTGGTGAAAAATTACAAACCGGTCATGTTGAAGCATCAAAACCATTGTAAGTAAAGAATTTTTTTTTTTTTAAATCACACATGACATTTATTAATGGAATTCATATTTGATAATGGGGGATGGAAAAATTTTTGTTAATTTAATTCATTGACATTTTTTTTATGATGATATGATTATTATTATCATATCATTTATTCTTGTCACATGTGTGTGTGTGTGTGTGGGTACATGTTTTTGGAATGCAATAATTATTAGCTTTTATCTCCCACTAAAAAATTTTTTTTTTTTGCATTTTACCATAGATGGGCAACACAAGGCGATTTTACAACAACATATCCATTACCAGCCATCAAAGTAAAATTATATGCCGAAAGTCCAGGCATTTTAAGCCTAGATGATAAAGAATTGGGTAAAGTTATCATAAAACCGACACCATTATCACCGAAAACACCAGAATGGTATAAAATGATTGTACCAAAAAATGCAGCCGATCAAGATTTATCGATCAAAATAATAATACGTATGGATAAGCCACAGAATATGAAACATTGTGGCCTATTATTGGCACAAGGAAAACAGTTATGGAAAAAATGGAAAAAACGTTATTTTATTCTTGTACAAGTATCACAATATACATTTGCAATGTGTAGCTATCGTGAAAAGAAATCCGAACCAACCGAAATGCTGCAACTGGATGGATATTCTGTTGACTATATTGAACCAATACAAGGTATTTTATATCATAATCATTACAAAATCCCATCATCATCATAGTTAGATACACACAATCATTTAAAAACAACAGATCATGTAGTGAAAACAAATTTAAAACATAGATGATTTTGCATTCCCCACAAAAAAAAACAAAATTCACTTTAAATCTTTCCCTTTTCTTTTTCCCCTTCAATATCATCTTTTCGTTTTTTTCCCATCATCATCATCATCATCATTGCCCATTCCATCACATCACACAACATCAATGACAATAGCAGCACATTGTGTGGCAAATGATTTTTTTTTCATTTCATTTCAACTCATAAATATTTCAATTTCTTGAATCATGGTGAAAAAAAATCGGTTTTTCTCTTTTTTTTCTCTGAAAAATGAATTTATTTTTTTTATCAGCCATCAAAAATGATAACTGAATGCCCATGGAATGAAAAATCATGGACCATGAAAAAAAAAATTGATAAAACGGTTCTACGAGAAAACGAAAACGAAAACCAAAAACAGACCAGACCATTTGGGAATGGATTCTGGTTTTTTTTTGCGTTGGTTCTTCATTCTTCTGCTAGAATCAACTAAAACATGTTTTTATGATGCCATATATTTTTTATTTTTACTAGAAAAACAAAATCTCTTGGTGATTTTTTTTTCAGTGGTTAAACAACACGCTGAAATTATTTTATCATATTGATTCATTTTGAAATCAGAAAAAAATTAGTTTTTTTTCATGTTTGTTCAAATATTTAATATCGGTCTTTGATTTCAATGAAAAAATTGTCATACTCATCTCATATATGATGATGATGATGATCAATCTCGTTGATCATGATGTAGCCTATCGGTAATAGATCAGTTTCGCGCTCGCATACACACACACTCAAACATCTTAAATATTGAAACAAAACAGGGAAAAAATGTTCTCTTTGCTTGTGTTTTAAAATTGAAACTTTCAAGGCTTTTTTGGCTTTCCAAATGGATTTATAGAGCAAGAGAGGAAAATAGAAACATTCACATCATAATTTTGTGATTACACTTCAAAAAAAATAAAAAAGTGTCTATTTCAATGTATTTTAAAAACACACATTCATTCAGTTATTGTTTACAATGATGATGATGATGATGAAATTAAATTTGACAGATGTGTGTTTTGTTTTTCTTGTCTTATTTCGGTAATTGTAACCGAATTTCATTTTTTATTTTCCACGAAAATTGTTATTTGATGATGATGATGATGATTATTTTGTTTCTAACAAAAGAAAATTTTTTTTTCTTTCACAATTCTAGAGCTTCCTGAAGGTAAATATTTTTTCAATGCTGTTAAAGAAGGCGATAGTATTGTATTTGCCTGTGATGATGAAAATGAATGTGCACTTTGGGTCATGGCCATGTATAGAGCTACTGGTCAAGCGCACAAACCAACACCATTAATGCCCACTACATCGAATAAAAATTCAACAATTTCACGGCTTCAAGGAGGTAAATATTTATATCATCATCATCATCATTACACTATTTCTTTTATTTATTTATTGTATATATTCATTCATGCGTATGTGTGTTTTCATTTGCATGAATAAATTCTGTAAATATTCAATTGGATTCTTTTTATTTCTGGTTCTAATTTATTTTTGTTCATTTTATTCACGATTTAATTATTTTTTTTTTTGTTCATTTCTTCATTATTCAAAAAAAATAGATGCTGATCGTGCACGAAAACATGGAATGGATGAATTTATACAAGCCGATCCATGTAAATTTAATCATCATCAATTGTTTAGTTTATTACAACGTGAAACACTAACATATCGATTAAATGGTCAATATTGTTCAATGGGCTGGTTTTCACCTGGACAGGTATTTGTACTCGATGAATATGGTGCCCGTTATGGTGTACGAAGCTGTTTTCGTCATTTATCATACATGAGTGATTTGTTGGATTTTGCTGAAAAAGGCATTCTAATTGATCCAACATTGATACATTTTAGTTTTTCATTCTGTTCATCACATGTACATGGTAATATGTATGTATTTCTGAATAACACATACACATAAACACACAGATAGAATTTTCATTTTGTCATTTTTTATTTCATTTATAGAAGCGCTCCACCAATGGGACAGGTAGCCTATGATATCAGGTATATTTCACACGTTACTACTACACATTCTCATTATTCTTCTTTTTGTTCATTGGATTCCTCAAAAAAATAAAAATCTTCCTATAGACCTGGAGGCATATTTACGGTAACCATCGAAGAAAAAGATATGTATATGATCATCAAGGATAGGCTGAAAAATTTGCTTGAATATCAAATAACAAATTTTCGGTTAGTATCATTTCCATAAAACAATTTCACACGTCCATTCATTTTTTTTTCTACCTATTCCTATATGATTTGAACAAAAACAAAAACATCATCATCATCATCATCCTCATCATTCAATTCATAATGAAATTGTTTGTTTGTTTGTTTTGCTTTCAATTATGTCCCATGTTACATATAGCTATTGTTTTCCATTTGGCCGTCCTGAAGGATCGTTAAAGGCAACATTATCATTATTGGAACGTGTATTAATGAAAGATAATTTAACGCCAGCACCACAAGAAGAGGTGCGTGGTATCATCAAAAAGTGCCTTGAAAGTGCTGCTTATGTAAATTATAGTAAAATATCAAGATCGGCTCGTATTGAAGGTATATTGAACTGCTATTATTGATGTTCATTATTGATTAATAAATATTAAGTGTGTGTGTGTGTGTGTGTGCATTTTTCATTCTTTTTCATAAATATTCTGTTCCAATATTTATGGAATAAATAAATGAATATTTCTTGGAACAATGCATAACAATTTTAACAGGATTAATAGTAAGTTAATTCACTTCTCTCTTTCTCTTTTTTCTCTTTTATTCAAACAATTCTTCATTGTTTTCATTATCATCATCATCATCATCATCGTGTGTTTAAATGGAAATTCATCCATTTAATTTAATTCAACATGAACAATAACGACAACGACATTGATTATAACGAACAAATGATAATAATACCCGGGTATTCCAACCGGATAAAACAAAAATTTTTTTTTGTTTCACAATCACAATTTTCATCATCATCATCGTATGAATAGAAATAGCTCAGGATCCAGAATTAGATTGCTCAACAAAATTACAACGGCTTACACATTTAGCCGAAATGTGTGTGGATCTAATACAGGAAAATAATGAACATTATGCTGAGGTAAGTTTTCCATATTTTTTTTAAATGTATATGTCACGAAATAAACAACGAACTGAAAAAAAATTATAATTCACACATGATGACGAAATAATATCATTTTGATGATAATAATGATCATCATGATGGATATAAGATTGGATTAATGATAATGGTAATATAAACAGTGAATAGTAATAGACACATATTCTGCAATCATAATGATGATGACGAAGAAAATTGGATATTCCTAATTATCATTGTATTCTGGCTAAAAATAAAATTATCATCATCATCATCATCATCATCATCATAATGATTTATTTATGGACTTTTATTCTGTTACATTTAAAAGAAAATTTTCTGTTTAAATTTGCCATCCATTTTCAGACGGAATTTTTTTTTTATTTTTCGTTTAGGTTTTTATTTGTTTCATTCGGAATCATTCGATTCAGAATCAAAGATTTATTGCAAAAAAAAAATTGCTAGAACTGATGATTCATTGATGATCCCAAATGACCAGAAATGTTCTTTTTTTTTCTTTCATTATTTTCCGTGCTATCATATAATAAGAATTTCTAAGACGCTAATTATTCATTTTATTTGCTTTTGTTTCTTCAATATATACATCATTGTCATTCGATCTACTTTAATTTTTCTTTTGTCTTTTTTGTGTGTGTCCAAGTTTTGAGATTCATTATTTTTGGATCACACAAAATTTTTTTTTCTCATTTCTTTTCGTTTTGAGTCTTGATTTATTGTTCATTATTTTATATTTCAATTGAATGCTACAAAGATAAGCATGATGAACATTTCAATCACACACACACACAGACAAAATCCCCATTTAGAAGACAATGATGATGACCAATACACAAACAAAGAAAAACAAAACAAATTCCTATCATTATAATCAAAATGGTGATGATGATGAATAATGAATTGATCCATTCGAATTTTTTTTTTCGTTTTGTTTTGTTCTCTTTTTACTTTCTTTTTTTCTTTTCCACATTTCATTGAATGAATGCTTTTCCATTTTTGACTAATTTATTTTTTTTACAATTTCAAAAAAACAACAACAAAACAAAAATTATCCTTTTCCATCAAACTCAAACTAAACCGATTCGAACAAAACAAAACAAAACAAAACAAAAAACCTGCCAAACTTTGTCTTGATAAATAATAAATAATTAAATTATATCGAACTGAATGACTGGTCTTCCGATTGTCGAACAATGTAATGTAGGCAGCATCTGTAAGTTTTTTTTAAACATCTCTCTCTCTCTCTCTCTCTCTCTCTTTATTTGACTCCATTCATCTTTTTTGATTATCAAAATGGAAATTTCGATGAAAAAAAAAAAAATGAAAATTTTAAATCATCAAATTTAAATTGAAAAAAATTGTATGAAAACAAAACTAAACGAAAAAAACTGAAAAATAATCATTTCAATTATCGTAACATGCTTATAATTGAAAATGGCTTTTGTTTGTACTTTTATTTTTTGTTTTTATTGCAAAAACAAAACAAAACAAAAGAATCTAATCAAATTCTGTTTTTATATTCATTCATTTTTGTTTACTTATTTTTTCCCTTGTTTATTTGATGATTACAACAATCATCATCATCATCACCACCATCACTAAAAAGGCGTTTGCCTGGTTTTCCGAATTACTTGTGGAACATTGTGAAACATTTTGGACATTATTTGCTGTCGATATGGATACAATATTATCGTTGCAACCACCAGACACATGGGAAAGTTTTCCATTGTTTCAGGTACTCAATAATTATCTTCGTTTAGATGGTAAGCAATAATAATAATAAAAAAAAAAATTCATGAAACTTTATGTTGACAATTATTAATCTCTCATTCTATTATGTTTGTTTGTCATCACCTGCCTCAATTTTTTTTTCTAAAAAAAAAAAAAAAATTCAATCTATATAGAAAATCTATGTGGAGGTAGATTTCATAATCATCTACGAGATACATTTGCACCACAAGTAATACGATATGTTGATCTTATGGAAAATACTATTGCACAAGCATTATTGAAAGGTTATGATAAAGAAAAATGGGATCTAAAAGGGTAATAATTACGATGATGAAAATTGATTTCTGATGAAGAATTTTTCTTGTTGTTTTTTTATATTTATCACATTAACAAACACACATTTGATATATTGCTTTATTGGTTTTCTTTTTTTTTTTTGTTTCTGCACATAAAAAACACACAGACCAGCTGGATGTGCAACATCGGTGGAACTATTCTGGAAATTGAATACATTGCAAAATTTTATACACGATCTTTATTGGCCTGATGATGTATTTGCTAGCCATCTGGAACAAAGATTAAAATTGATGGCTTGTGATATGATTGAAACTTCAATAAATCAAACAATGCAAGCATTTCAACAATGGGAAAGAAAAGGAAATCGTTGGACAACAAGTACTGATTATATAATACCAACAGAAATGTGTACAATGATCAATATTGTATTGGAATCAAGAAATCAATCACTTAAATTGTGTACATTCAGTGGACATGATACGGTAATTTTCTTATTCTTTTCTTTTTTTTTTTTTTCATGATTGACAATTCATATGTCATCCATTTTTTAAATATTCGAACATTCACAATTTCTTTTTTTTTTATTTCCATTTTATAGAATCAATATCATGCTAAAATTGATCATTTAGTCGATAATACATTGGATATGATGCAAAGTTGTCTTACTAACAAGGTAAATGTTTTTTTTTTCATTTATTTACATTGAAAATGATTGACAACAATATATATAATTTTTATTTTATTATTTCCAATAATAAACACCGGACCAAAAAAAATAAAAAATCTTTGTAGTTGATTGGAATATTGGAAAATTGTATCAGTAAACTATCACGTTATGATGAGGGAAGCATTTTGGCGCCAATCCTGTCCTTAACGGTAATTATTACGGATATCATTTTTCTGTTCAATTGATGATGAATAGAAAAAAAAACTTTCCGATACATAATAATCTCATCAAAAAATTTTTTCTTTACTTTTTTTCCCCATTCATTTCAAAACACACACACACACACACAGTATAATAAAGGTGTATCGAGCACTGGTAAAGATGTGGGAAAATCCTATATAAATTTCATACGAAATTCTGCTGAACAATTACGACAAAAAGTTTGCGATGAACTATGGGCAATTGGTTTTTTTGAGGTAATAAAAGAAACCTATCAATCGATTTGATCTGTTGTTGTTGTTGATCGATTTTATCAACTTGAATATTTATTGTTGTCATGGATTTTAATATATCATCAATTAATTTATTTTGTTTTTGTTTTTGTTTTCAAAACTATTCAATCAAATTCATCAAACGTAGTCATGGTATGCAGCACAGATTGAATTGATCAACAATTGGCTTCTGGAACGTATCGATAGTAGTCTACATATTTTTCAATTATGTGCCATTTCGCACATTGTTCGGGTATGTGTGTGTGTAACCCGTTGTTGTTGTTTTTTTTTCGTAAACATGATTTTTCCATTTAATTATTCTTATTGATGAAAAAAAAAATTTCTGGTTTCGTTTTTTTGTTTCTCTGTTTCGTTGGGCTTAAATTACAACATACAGAAAATGTATAGCGATTTTGAATTACAAGGTATTGAAGAAGAAAAATTGAATAATGTTACATATAAAACGGTCATGCAACGAATATTAATGGAAGAGGCAACAGCATCAGTATCCACAAATGATCTTAATCGTGAAAATGAAGATGTTGAGTATGTTGTTTGAACTTTTCAATTTTGATTTTTTTTTTTTTGTTCCATAAAAACTAATACATTATTATTATTATTATAAATAGTGAATGTCATGCTAATGGTGAACAAATGGGTAATCGTTCGAGAAAAACATCTGCATCAATTTCATCATCATCTGGAACAAATCCTGAAAATTATGTTAGCCGTATACAAAATGCTACAACAAATGTCATGGGTCGAATATCCGGTCTTGGACGTGGTGTAAGCGGTATTGGTGGTATGGCCGGTGGAATCGGTGGTATTGCCAATAAATTCTTGAATAATCTTTAATCATAATAATTGGATTAAATTTTCCATCCGACGTCATTCATGATTTTCGGGACACAAAAAAAAAACACTTATTACTTCTAACAATACAGACACTTTTATGTTTTACATCACTAAATAACAGAAACAAAAAATTGATTCACTACATTTAAATGATTTATAATCGATATATAATCATCAAGTGCACCTTATAATTATTATTATTCGTTCATCGAATATACCATATTTTATTGGCACTAAAAAAAATTGATCCAAAGAAAAGAAGCTTATAATCATCATATTATAAATTTTTCAAACGGATCATACCTTTATTTATGCATCATCATCTTGGAAATTCTTATTTTATTTTATTCATTCATCTTCTTTGGTCTTAATTTCATTTTTTCATTTTTTTTTTGGGCATTTCCAACAAACCATATTTTTTTGTAATTTTTATCATCATCATCATCATCATTATTATTATTATTATTATTGATGTATGGAAAATATTATTCAACTGTTGCCCTATTCAAAATTATTATCTTTAAAAATAAAAATTAATTATATTTGATGAAAATAATAAAAATCAGATTTTGGATCAACAAAGAATTTGGATTTTTTTTGTTGTTGGAATATTTGTGTAACTTGCCATGTATGAACTTGGCATTCGAATGTACAAATTGGCTCAATATGCTTCACACAATTAGCATTCTGTAAATTCATAGTTTGCTGTGCTTGTCATGTTTTTGTTTTTGTTCAAGGAATTTTTTGTTTCTGTTTTGTTTATTACCGGCTTTTCATTTATTCTAAAAAAATTTTTTGACAAAAAAAAATCATTCAGCAATCATTAAAAATGGCAATCACGATTGCCAATCAGCCAACACAATTAATACCAATGGCTCAAGTGAATAATGGACAGATGCCAACACAAATGGTTTCCATCGGTAATCTACTTGAATTGGCAATCAAAAAAACATTTCGTGATTTATCATTATTGGCCGAATTGTTACCGAGAAAAACTGATATGGAACGTAAAATTGAAATCATGATTTTTGCCAATCGAAATCGTCAGCTATTTGTTCGATTATTGTCATTGGTAAAATGGGCCGGTAGTGCATCCAAAGTGGAAAAATGTTCACAAATCGTATCGTTTCTGGACAAACAATCCATGTTATTTACCGAAACGGCCGACATATTAGCACGATTATCACGTGAAACATTGGTCACAGCTCGTTTACCTGCTTTTCAATTATTGGCCGCTGTTGAAGTGATGACATTGGGAACTTATTCTCGTTTACCAAACATTATACGCGATCGTTTAGTTCCACCTGATCCGATTTCAAATGCCGAAAAACGTGCTGCACTTTTTCAGCTTAATCATATCATTCAACAAAGATTGGTATCATCCGAGTTACCTTTACAAATGCGTAATATTAAAATCGAATTCGGACGTGTAACATTTACTGTGACCAATGAATTTAGTTTAACATTAACATTGTTAAGTGATAATGCCAATATGCCATGGAAAGTATTAAATATTGAAATATTAATCGAAGATAAAGAAATCAATGATATTAAAGATCTTGTACAACCGGATCAGCTCAACTTTATTCGTGGTATCGTGCAGACTCGACTAAATGAAAATATCAAACCATTAGTTGAAGCTTATAATATATTGCATACATTTTGTCTTGGTCTTCAACTACAAGTTTTAGCTTTTCAATCAGATTCCGTTTATAAACGATTGAAAGAATTCATTTATATTGATGAATATGTTTCCGGTAAACATCTAGTTTTATCATATTGGAAAGATCAAGATAAATCATCATCTTCATCATCATCATCATCATATAAATTAATTGTTAAAATCGATCCAACTGAACCATCAAAACCATTACAAATACAACATATTCCTGAATTTATTGATTCAAAAGCATTTCTCAAATCAATTCAGGCTAATATACTTTCGATTGAAAAAATTTTACTATTCACAACACATGAAAGATCTAAGCTTAAATTGTTTGATTTGAAAAAATTGATTGAAGAAAAGAATTCATCATTAATTTGTGAACTGAATGAACTTCCGGCTGTACTACATATTTCGTTCATTCAACCATGTATGCCTTCTGAACAATTGCTTGTATCGGTCGATATGCTGACCGGACAATTTTTAGTTCATATACCACAATATGAAGATTGTCCGCTTATTGCCGATGTTGAATCATATCTGAACAAAAGTATTGATCGGTTGTTTCCAATGGTCGATAAATTGAAAATGTGGATCACTCGTGAACGTTGTAAAAAAACGGTTGAAGCTTTGCCTGTTCGTATTATGGATTCATTACCGTTTCCGGCCAATTATTCGCATGATATTCTTAATATTCAAGGAAATAAAATTTATTTCATTTTCACTCGACATCAAGATAAATGTTTAATGGTCATTTTTGATAATGATAAAAGTTCTAGCTTTAATCTATGGATGGACTATTATCTACTTCATTTGAATAATATTTCCATCACAGATAATCAACCTAAAACACATTCACAATCAAATACAATGGATCAATTTGATCAACAAGAATGTCCTAAACAATTTATGGAAATTTTAAAGGTCTTGCCATTAGATTCATCAAGTATACTTCAAAATTATTACTACGGTAACAATGATGTCGATTTGCCCATTATGGTTAATGGTGCTGGAATGAAACGAAAATCAAGCATGATTGATTTGCCATTGGTAAAACGAAAAAAACTACCCGGCTATTACATTACCGAATTGGCTCATATCGTAAGCTTTTGTGAAGAGAAACTTTCCTACACTTGTTTATCACAAGAACTGTATAAACGAAATATTCATCATCAAGTTGTACCGGATTCAAATGGCTGCACTCATTATATTGATATTATCAAATTTCCATCATGTTCATGGTGTCCACATGAATTAACCGAAAAGATTTTATCGAATACATTAAGCTGTACGATTCGTTTACATGGCAAAAGTTCAAGAGTTTGGAACGTATTAATATCATTTGCTTCGCCACCGATACAGAATCTACCGGTCAAAGAACATTGTTTACGAAAAATTGTCAATAATTCTTATGATTATACAACACTTTCGCAATCGGTTATTGTCAGAATGGTTGATGAATTACTCAACGATTGGACGGCCATTGCACGATTATATGATGTGGTGGAAAAATTTTCACAAGAAATCAAACACAATTCATTGATAACAAATTTATCGTCAATCGAAATTAAATCTTTTAGCTATAAAAAGATTTCCATTGGTTATGGACCAAACAAATCTTTTTTTGTAAGTAAATCTCTTTTAAATTCTTTGATTCTTTCTAAATCTATTCGTTTGAATCGTCGAAGGTTTCAATTTATTATAAATTCTCTGAGAAACGTTTCCAATTATCATTTGGTGTATTACAGCAAGCTTATTCGAATACGAATCCTCATATAATAATATCGACACAATTACAACATGAATTCAATCAACATCTGTCTATTGTACAATTGATACATGTACTTAACTATACATTGAATCCATTGTTGACCATACAGAATCTTAAATCGATTCCTCTCTTGGGAACAGTCAATTCGGTATGGTTTAATTTTTTTTTCATTCCAAAAATTTTTTTGTATTCTCATTTTAACTTTACCTATTCTATTTCTACAAAACCATCAAACTTCAAATTATATAGAGACCTCATTGGCCTGTATTATCGTTTTGTGTGTTGCCCGAAGCTTCTACTCATATTAAATTAATCTATCGTAATACGTAAGTTTTTTTCATATCCTTTTCGTAAATGATGATTATCATTGTTAATGAATTCTATTTTTCTTTTCTTTTCTAGATATTGTTTGGATATAGTCATGTATGCGGACAATTTAGTCTCAATTCGTGATGGTGCTTTAAGCAATTTTGATAATTCAAAAGTGATCAGTGATTTCAAACCAATTCAAGGTCTAAAAGCTTTTCTTAGTAAATTTATTGATAAAACTATTCAAACAAGACGGTTATCGCAAACGGAAGATGATAATCCACCATCACCCATTTCTCAAATGGAATTTACTCCTAATGATAATTATATGTTTCCGGGATCTCAAATTAAGCCTAATTCAAATATACAACCAGCAATTAATGAACCAAACCTAGCAAATCGTAGTTCGGCTGTTCCATTGCATTCCAGTCCTCATACACCAGCATCGCCATTGGCCTCAGTACTAAGTGTTCATTCAAATTATGCACCTTCACCGGGAAACTTTTCACTATCATCACCACCATCACATCCTGGATTACAGCAGCAACAAGCCAATCCAATGGCACCATCACCTCAAATGCCACAAATGGAACAATCACCAGCCAGTGTGTTCAATATCAATTCACCAATGAATTCCAATCTGGCTACTCCTTCGCCGTCGTTCTTACCTACACCATCGCCAGGACCTACTACCAGTTTCCATACTCAATCTCCAGCTCCTCAATTCATGTCACAAAATACTCCCGGAAGTCATGAAAGTGGAATAGGATCTCCATTTAATCAACCAAATATACCGGCTTCATTAAGCGCTGCACAGCAATCGATCGCATCACCAGTACCGAATCTTTGGCCTGCAAGTCCTTCGGTTTCTTCACGACCATCACCTCGTCCAGCAGCTGCCTCAACTCAAAGTCCTGGTGGAGCCAGTTTAATCAACAATCAACAACAACAACAGCAATATCAACCTCAACAGATACAATCGCGTTCTTTGCCACAGAAACCATGGGCAGCAGCTTTACCAACAATGTTAACACATCAAGGTTTCGAAATGATGTGCAGACCGGGCAATGATAGTGGTCCTGCTGCATCAAACATTTATTACTCGTATTCCCAATTAGAACGATTTCTTGGTTCAACATTTATGCGAAGACATTTTAGTAAACCAATTGAAGAGAATTTAACCGTCATACCGACCATGGAACCCGGAACGATTATGTTCAAGAATGATACATTACAATTTAAAATCTGGATGGATTTCAATACACTATTGGTATGTAATTTAGATTGATACATTGAATATTTTGATTTCTAATATTCTATATCATTGAAATATAGATTCATATGTTTGTAAAATCAATTTCCGAAATGAATCAATGGACCCGTGAAGAATTGGATATTATTCAACAATATTTTGAAACCAAGGTAATAATCTTGTCTGGTTGTGTTTGAAATATTTCTAATGTGTTTGATTATTTGTTTTATTAGATTGCATGTGCACCATTCAAACCGAATTCATTCAATGCATTCGCTCGATTTTTTAATGTACCCATGAGAGTTTTGAAAGATCTAATTAGAATAATGCGTCTGGAACTTGTAAGTGCTCGCAATCGATACTGACTATTCGATCAATTATCATAATTTGAACTTATTCCATTCACTTTAGCATCCGGATCCATCATTAAAATGGACAGCGAAAATTAGCTTGACAGTTCCACCGTTTGGTTTCATTCATTCAGCCAGTATTGGAATTTCGGCATTTTCGATTTTAAAAACAAAAATTATCATTTTTGTAAGTCATCTTTGTTACTGAATCACATCATGAATAACGTCTTTTTTTTCATTTAATCAGATTCAATTAACACACAAAACCCCGGTACAAGGACAAATGATGGCTGCACAGCCATTTATTCTTTTATTACCATTGATCTATGAAACTTCAATGAATACACTTACGTTGATGAATAATCTATATGAAAGATCACAGAATCAAAGTTTAATACAATTTGTACAGAAAATTTTAAAAAGATGTAATGATTATGGTAAGTAAATTTTAAAAAATGAATCATAATAATAATTCTTTAATCATATATTGTTTTCTACATTTTTTTTACATAGCTCAAAATAACGTTGATTGTATCCTATATTCAGCCATAAGAGAAATAATGAATACATTACAATATCCATTACAATGATGATATGTCCACAACGATATTTTTGTTTTACATGCATAAAAAAAAAACACACACGTGTTGAATCTTAAATTTTATATGTTCAAAATGAAATGAAATATATTATAGAAACTATAAATAACAATATATAAAAATAAATAAAACTTGTAATTTAATATTGATTTCTTTAATGTTATTCGGAAATGATTAAAATGTCATTGAATTTTTATTTTATTTATATATGAAAACAACATTGGTGCTTTTGTATAACACATACACAGGTGTAATATATGAAGTGGTTGATGATGATGATGATGATGATAATCTAAAAAATATTTGGTAAAGATTTGAGTGCTAAAATAAAATAAAATAAAAAAATGAGAGAAAAATAGAACAGTGTGGTGATGACGATATTAGTGAGATATGTGAGAATGGATTTTGCCCATTTGGAAAATTGCAATTGTGACTGGCTATAATAAATGCTATATATATTTCGCGGATTATTACAAGGTTTCTACCGAGTCAAAAAAAAAAACCAATACAATCCAACATCTAAACTCTTTTTATCATTAGATTAACAGATTTTTTTTTAGAAAAAAAGACCGAAAAAAAACTGTTAAATTTTTTTTTTGTTGCTGAAAGAGAATTTGTGTTGGAATAGTAGCATATATATATTGGAAGACAAATAACATGTTTTGTCGATCGGGGTCGCCCTTTTTTTTGTTGTTGTGTCCAGTTTTTTTGTGTGTGTGTAGCCAACAACAACCAACCAACAACACTGAATGAACATTGAACTCTTTTTGAGCATCTTTCTTGACGTCGATGACGATGATGAGCAGCAGCAGCAGCAGCAGCCGCAACAGCAACAAATGGGGGTTTGAGTTTTTTTTTTTAATTCTATATCATTAGATTCGGAATGTTGTCGTGGTCGTTATCAAACTAATAATAATAATAATGATGATGATGATCAACTGGTGATGGTCGTCATCATTGAATGTTTTATTATTTTTTTTATTACTATCATAAGCATCTTGTTCTGTTTTTTTTTTGATCTTATGACCTGACAAAGTGAGTGATTCTGTTTTTGTTTTGTTTCTCATTTTTCTAATCATTTTTTTTTCATTTTATCATTTTGCTCATTATCCAATTTTTTCGTTAAACCAATCATTATCATCATCATCATCATCAATGTTGACGGGGAAAAACAAAAATCAAATTTGTTAATGAACAACAACGAAAACATGAAACGAAAAGTTTGAATTTAAAAATCATTCAGTCATCATTATCATGATTAAAACTAACTTTATCATTATCATTATTTTGTGATTTATACTGTTGATGATGATAATCTGAAAAAAAGAAAAATTGTGCCATTCAAATACTACTAATTGATACAAATCGAATGCAAGATAAATTAATTTTTTTTTTTGTTCATTCAAAAATTCATTCCCATCACCAGAAAAAATATTCATTCAATTTAAATCAGATTGATTAATTTTTGTTAATGATTGATGAGAGAGAGAGAAAGAAAAATTTGAAAAATTATCGATAAAAAAGATCCACAAAAAGATTCAACATGATGAATGATGATTAAATGACATTCACGCATACTCAACCAATCTATATAATAAAAATATCCATCCATTCATTATCATTGTGTTGAAAACCACCGAATATCTTCGACAATAACAACAAGAACAACAGCAACAACAACAACAACAACAACAACAAGGAAGAATTGAGGAAAACAAATTTGGTTTCATATTTCTATTTTCAGTGTTTGTGTGTGTGTTTTTTTTGATAACTTTAAAAAAATTTTTTTTTGCCGGCAATCGATTATCATCATAATCATCAACATATTGAGGCAATACAAGTGAAAATATTTCCCAAATGCAAATGTTGTCACAATAAATGGAATATTAGCCATATCACAGATTTTTATCCATCAATTTTTTTTTCTCACATCCATTGTCTCAATATATTTGATTTTACATTTTTAGTGTAATAATAATAAAAAAAATTGTAATTGTAATTAATCTAAATACATTTCCAGGCAACCTTTCTATCATTACCTTATGATGGTGATCATCATCATTATTATTAACTGCCATCATCATCATCATAATTTATAATTTATAATTATCGTCATCAAAGAAAAAAAAACTAATTTTTCATCTTCCTCAATTATTGTAATATAATATCACAACTAATTCAAGTGCCACCACCATCACATAACATTCGATTTGTTGTTGTTGTTGTTTTTATTTTTCTGCTTCTGCTGTAAAAATTGAAGTTTTAATTGTTAATATATAATAATTTTTTATGATGATGACCTTTTAAAAAAGAAAATGTTGTAACATCAAAAAATAGCAAAAAAAAAAACAAGCCACATCCAATTCAACCATAGTAGTAGCTTCGTTTATTAATTTATTGTATTTTTTTCTTCAACATTCTTCTGTTTTTTTTTTTTTGTTTCCGATCATTTTCGTTTATTTTATTGATTTGATAAAAAAAAAATTTTCAATTTTTATTACTAGAATGGCCTGTAACGAGGTAAGTTTTTTCTTATAACAGAATTATCTGGATTTTAAAATTTTATTCTCAAACTTCATCTATAGGATCCGGAATTAATTTTCACTAAACAAGAACGTATCGGTAAAGGTTCATTCGGTGAAGTGTTTAAAGGCATTGATAATCGAACACAGCAAGTGGTAGCCATAAAAATTATTGATCTTGAAGAGGCTGAAGATGAGATTGAAGATATACAACAAGAAATTATGGTTTTATCACAATGTGATAGTTCATTTGTGACCAAATATTATGGATCATATCTTAAGGTATTTAAATGTTTTTTTTCTATAGAATTTATTTGATTTTTATGATTAAATTTTTTTAGGGTACAAAATTATGGATCATTATGGAATATCTGGGTGGTGGTTCGGCTTTAGATCTAATGAAAGCCGGACAATTCGATGAGATGCATATTGCAGTCATTCTTCGTGAAGTTCTCAAAGGACTTGACTATCTACATTCAGAACGTAAACTTCATCGTGATATCAAAGCGGCTAATGTACTATTATCGGAAATGGGCGAAGTTAAATTGGCTGATTTTGGTGTTGCTGGTCAGCTGACTAATACGACAAGCAAACGTAGTACGTTTGTTGGTACGCCATTTTGGATGGCACCCGAAGTGATCAAACAATCTGCTTATGATTCCAAGGTATATTGTAATTATTAAGAATTCATTTATTGTACATATTCTTTTATCATATCAATTTTAGGCTGATATATGGTCATTAGGAATCACTGCAATTGAATTAGCAAAAGGTGAACCACCCAATTCCGATCTACATCCTATGAGAGTATTATTTTTGATTCCTAAAAACAATCCACCTCAATTGACTGGCAACTATAGTAAACAATTTAAAGAATTTGTCGAAGCCTGTCTCAACAAAGATCCTGAAAATGTTGGTGAAATTATCATGTCATTGTCATTTTTGTTCAATTTTTTTTAATCAATTTCTTTCAATCCTCATTTCAACAGAGACCATCGGCAAAAGAATTATTGAAATATCCTTTCATAAGAAAGGCAAAGAAAAATTCGTTCCTAATCGATTTGATTGAAAGATATAAACGATATAAAGCTCAAGGTGGTGGAAAAAGTGATAGTGATTCCGATGCCTCTGATTCGTAAGTTTTTTAGAAAAAAAACGTTAATTTTGAAATTAATAAAATCATGATCAATATAGTGATGATGGAAAAGGCAAGTCAACGGTTGATACATTAACATGGGATTTGACAATCAAACAGAATCCAAAACAATCAAATAAAAAACCATTGATAAAAGAAATGGAACAATTATCGATGAATAATCATCATGAAAACAATAATGTTTTACATAATGATTCCGATGGTGATAGGTCAATAAACAATGAGAATAATAATGCTGCTACTGTTACAAACGATGTTAATGTCGATGTGATTGGTAAACCAAACAAGGTAATCAACCCTTTATTCGAAATATCAATCAAATAAATCTAACTAAATATTCAAAAATTTTTTAAATTTAGAAACCTGTTGCGAAATCGCCATCTTCAAAAGAATCAAAATCATCATCATCAAATAAACAGGAAAATTCACATGTTATCAATAATAATAATAATAATAAATTGATGAATAAAAAAGAAAACCAACAACAACAACAACAACAACAGCAGCAGCAACATTCACCATCACAATTACACCATCGATCTTCTAGTGCTAATAATAATATAACCGATAATGTGATTGAAAATTCTATCAATGATAAAAGACATTTTATTGGTGATGAAATTAATCGAAACAAGCGTCATAATGATAGTGATATAAATCATCAACAACAATTACCCAAACATTCATCATCATCACCATCATCTTCATCATCAACATCGAAAAATTATGGTCCTCGAAGCCTTAACAATAATAATGGTAGCCATCATCATCATGAAATACATTCAAACATTAATAATAATAACAACAACAATAACCACAGTCAACCATTATCATCAATATCGAATAAAGGTATCGAACATACAACATCATCGATTATTAGTCATAATTCGTCGAATCATAAAATTCATTCCCAAAATACGATATTTGCCATCCTAAATGAGGTTAGTATTATTGATTGATTTCAATTTTGTTGACCAATAATTTTTTCTGTTTTATATATTCATTTATTTAGCTAAAGAAAAGAGAAAATCCACGTGATAATATTGGTGAATCGAATATCAATATGATTGATAATCTAAAAAATGCATTTGAAACAGCTGAACAATCATTTCCAGGAGTATCGGCATTGTTTATCGATGAAATTGTTTCAAGTCTAGCAGCTTCGAATAGGAAATAGGTGAAAAAAAAACAACTACAGTGATATAATTTATCAGAAATTAAATTTTTTTTTATTCATTCGTTATAAAATATAAATAGCTGAAAACAAAAGAAAATTATTATGTATAATAAAAAGTTTTACCCGATAAATGAATATATTTTTTTCGGCATATGAATGTATGTCAAAATCGAATCAATGGCGAATTGAATGGAAGAAAAAAATCAAAACACCAAATAATGATCGATTAATATGACAAATTATTGCTGTCGAGAAATTAATTCTCATTTTAATGATCTGATTATTCATTATGATCATTACGACTCATAATATAGGATGGTTGTAGTCAGTTTTAAGGGAAATAAAAAAAAACCTTGATCATCATTGACTGACTAAAAAAACAATAATAAACAAGGTAATACAACACACCGGAATAAGGTTAGGTTGAAATGGATAATCAAACAAAACGACCGTCTTATTGGCAAAACGATGATGATGATGATGATGATAATGAAAACACATCAAACAAAAAAAAGTGGCACATATTCGAAACAAATCGTATATATTGTCGTGATGTATTTTTTCATCGATCGATAATAAAAGTGTCTACCAAACACAAGGCCGAAATTGTCATCAATATCCAGACCATCCATATAAGCCAAATGACCAACGAATAATAAATAAAAATAAAAATTCGAAAGCAAATGCTTTTTTATACTAATCATCACACAGTGAATACTGGTGAACATGGTTCTGTGCATGTGCTTGCATTAAAGTTTTTTTTTTGTTGCATACAACATGCGCAAAAAATGCCAAAAACCACGTTTGAAATTTCATCATCGATTTTCAATGTTACCGGTCAAAAAATACTCAACGTCAAAAAAATTATTATTTCAACGCCAATTGTGATCAATTCGAGTTGGTTGTTTATTTATATTTTTATTATTATTATTATTATTCGCATATTTAAATTGTTGAACAAATAATAATAATAATTGTGATTAATGTACATAGAAAAAGAAATGTTTTTGTTTCGAATAGAATGATAATGATGTTGGTGAAAAAAAGAAATTGTGAATTTATAAATGATCATCAGATAAGAATAATTGAAAAGGACTAAAATATTTATAAATAATAAATGTTTGGAAATTAATTTGAAATATAGTTGGATTATTTGGGTGTTGTTTGTTGTCATTCAATTGGGAAACAAAAAAAAAGTGATACATTTCATTCGAATTCAGATACAGAGAAATTCATCGAAATTGATTTGATGAAAACAAAAAAAAAAAACAATTGGAATCTCAACAATTGTGATCTGTCACTGTTATTTTTTTTTCATTTGCTTTTTAAATTTCATTTGATTGCAACGGCCATTTTTGTTTCGAGAGATAATGGTGGTAAACAAACAAAGGGAAAGAAATGATAAAATTTTGGCATCGATTTATGATAAAATTTTCTGGTGAATTAATAAAAAATTGATGATAACCATGAAGAGAGAAAACAAACGAATAAACAAAGAAAAAAAAATCAGCAAACGAAACGGAAATGGCAACAACGATGAACAGAGGAAAAAAAATTTTGAATTTTCACAGAAAACACACACACACACACACACACATGACACAAACAAAACAAAAACACACAAAAATCATATAATTAGGATAATAATAATTGAATTTTAGAAAATAAATTTACATTGAATGCAAGAATCAATTGATGAAGATGATGTGTGTAATAATAGTTTTTTGTTTGAAATATTCAAAAAAAAGAAAGAAAAAAAATTAGAGAGAATGAAAACGATGTCAATGAAATGTGATATTTCAATCGTGAAATATAATAATCAAATTGTGAATGAGAATATAGAAATGAGTTGAAAAAAATGATTTAATGTAATGGCAATGTGGATTATTTGGGGCCGGATTCTTCGCAATAACGAAAAAAAAGACAGAGAGACATATTAATAAATATTCGATAAAACTGTGTGTGTGTGTGGCTGGGTGAATTGATTTACAAAACAGATGATGAGAGAGGATTTTCGTTTAGGGATGGGAAAAAAAATTACAAAGAAAGAAAAAAAAAAAAAATAATAATTGAAAGGATGAAAGGATTGTTTCTTTCTTCATGGAAATATCTACCGTATATCTCAATTTGATTTGCCTGATGTAATGATGATGATGATGATGTAAATAATTTGTTTGTTTGAAGAATAATAAAGGGAAAAAGAGATGCTAATGATGATAATTCAAGAATAAGAATGAAGAAATCGATAATATTAATGTGTTTGTGTGTGTTTGTATACTTTTTGAATATATATCAAGCTATAGGATGATGATGATGATGATGAATTAGAGGTTTGCCTATTTGTATGTTTTTTCTTCTCTGTTTGAATATTGGATGAATTTGAACGATTTTTTCATTATTTTAGGATATATCTTTCCAATTTAACCATTCTCTTCATTAGTCGCTGTAGTGATACGGATTGCATTTTGGCCATTTAAAACAGCTTTAACATCTTCATCATTTTCATCATTTCCAGCTTCTAATTGATTTGTTCCAGTTATTGCTGACATTGCAATTGGTATACTGTTATCGCCTTGTAGATTTAGATTGGTTACCACTGTTTGATACATTGATACCGGTATCGTCACCATTCCAGACATTGGAAAAGCTATTTTTTTCAATTTCAAAATTGATTAAATTAAAGACAACAATTGTTAAAAATTGATTATTTCAACACTTACTGCTTTGTGTGCCATCTTCACCAGTTAAAATAATTTGACCATCTGGACTAATGGTTGCTTCGGCCAACGATACGGCTTGTGTGGCACCTTCACCACCCAATTCAACAGTACCTAATTGGGTAACACGTTCATGATCTTGGCCAGTAGCAATTTCAGCCAATGCTTGCACACCTTGATTGGCATCCGTTCCAGTTGTATTAAACTAAAAAATAATTATAATGTTTACGATGAATTAATTGCATAGGTTAACGAAAAGAAAAGAATTGAAAAAACATACCCTAAGCGGACCAAGTGTTCGAACGCCACCATTACCATCGGAAATGGCAACTACTGCAGATGGATCCATTTGTATGATAGAAACAGTTCCATCTGGATTATTTATCGTTTGAACCACTGGTGTGTAATGGGTTGCGATTGGCTGTGCATATATTGTCTATTGTCATGAATGGAAAAAAATGATTAAAAAAGAAAATTAATTCAAACGTAAATCGTATCCCAAGAGATAAATTGAATAATCATTCCAAATGAAAAAAATGAGCAACCAAAAACATCATAACAGCGTCAAGCAAACATAAAAAACTCATTCAAAACAAAATAAAAAAAAGTCATCAAATAAATTCATTTCAAAATGAATCTAGAAATGTCGTAAGAAACGATATAAAACGCAAACTGAAAATCAAAAAAAAAAAAAAATTCAACTAATTGACTATAGTGATTGTGATTGTTTCGTTCTGAATCGATAATAGATTCAAATAACGATACAATCAATCTACGACATACGTTTATGCCCTGTGAAGCTAAACTGGCTGAATCTGCAGTGATCGGTACTGTTGTGATGTTTGTATTAGCAGTTGCGATATTAGCCATATTTATGCTACTATGATGCTGTTGTGTCGATGTTGTGGTCACCGTTGATGTTGTTGTATTACGAGTCTTCACCTTCTCTTTATTTTGTGAACTAGGTCCGGCAGCTGAATTCTTTTCATCATCTTCACTGAATGCTGGCAATAGATCTTCACGGCCATGATATTTGTAACAATTAATGACAATTTGTCTTAGAGCGTGTGTCCATGAAACCTAAATATATTGAAAATAAAAATTATTATCATCAATATAAAGTCCGTTTGGTACAGTACTTTTTGTTTTTCCTCATCATTCCTGGCATCTGAACGAACATTAGCCCAAGGGAGATCTTGTGGCCACCAAGGTGGCCGCGTAGAATCTTTTCCCCAACCAGGTTTACCTCGGCCCGTGGAATATTTCAACATCAAAGGTATGAAAGCTCTCAATTGGGCTTGAGTCATTTTTTCTACTGGAGTGGGAATACCATCAACGACTAGAGGAGGCAATTCATGTAATGATGGATCTTCTTTGACTTGTGGTGGTGCATGTTGAGCTAATGCTGTCTCTAATTCTTGCATTACCATCGAACGACATTGCCGAATCTTTCATGATTCAATAATAAGATCAATTCATTTAGTTTAAAATTTAAAACTTGGATAATCTAATACATACCACACTTTCCAATGGACGTGCACCGAAACATTTGAAATTATTTTGAGGTTTTCCAGGTGTGACTATTAAAACGACTGCTTGTTGACCAACACGGGTTGTATATTCATCAATTGTTTGTTTTAATTTTCTGTTCAAGTGATGATAATCCATTATTTAAAATGATAAACAATTTTTATTTTAAACAATTTTACCTCAATAATCTAGTCTGTTGCCTTTTTCTGATGGAAGGATTCGTTTCGAATGTATGTGGTCGTTTACGTTTTTTTGCTGTTGCAATTGCAGCAGCTGCAGCTATACCAACCGGACCTGGAAATTGAATTTTTCATGAATTATAACAAAATATTCTAACATGACAAGAAAAAACTGACCAGCAGCTGCCAATTGGGCTGTTACTTCATCATGTGCTGTACTAGATAATAGATCACTATCATCAAAATTGTCACTTTCAACTGATGAAGAACCATCACTGAGATCATCAATGTCACCGGATGTATTAACACCGGTACCACCACCATCCGAATGATTTAATGTTTCTTGTTGTAGTTGTTGTTGCTGCTGCTGTTGTTGTTGTTGTTGCTGCTGTTTATTCTTCATTAGTCTTCTTTTCTTTGTACCTAATGGTTGTTTAGATAATATTGTTGGTACAGTATTGGCCGCCACTGTTGTTGGTGCTGCAACCGTTATGGTTGGTGTCGTTATAATTGTTGGATTATTATTATTATCGTTTATACTGATTAAATTCAGATTGGATGTTCCGTTTGTTGTTATTGTTGCTATTGTACCGGTTACCGTTGGTGCAGCTATCGTTGTTAATGATGGTACCAATGTTGATGTTGTTGATGGCGATGATGTGATATCTTGCGCATTACAAAGAATCAAATTCTTCATTTATTCTTGTTATATTTTTTGTCTTGACCAATTTGGCATACGAATTTGTTTTTCAAATAAAAATAAAAAAATGTTGATATAAAAAAAATATAATAATGTTTTGTTGTTATTATTGATTCGAAACAAAAACAACATGGAATGTGGACATGATCAAATCGAAAAATTGTGAGAATCGTCGCAATCGAGTCCAATAGTCGATTGTACCATATTATAATGGTGTTTGAGAGAATTCAAAAACCCACGTGCATTAGCCACAGTTTTTAGGGTTACAATTCGGAAATTTATCGCGAATTGAAAATAAATGTTCAATATATAATCAAACTTGATTCAAAATATATAATATGATGATGGCCAAAATTCGAATGATGATCCAAAAACAACAGATGATCAAAAAAATGCCAAAAAAATTACTTTAGAAGAATTTTTCTAGATTCAAGAATGATAAAAAGATATGAAAAAAATGAATAATTATTCGATTCAATGAAATTAAATGATTAAAACGTATATTAATAAATAAACAATAACCAGTTATATAATATTTATCAACAAGAATCATGAAGAATAAAAAATCGAATCAAAATCAGAATTACACACGCTCCATAGACATACAAATACATACACACAAAATACACAGTCTCAACGATTCTTTAACATTTATTTCACTCGCACAATCTCCCTCTTGTCAACAACAACAACAACAAAAAGAAGAAAAAGCTCACCCAACATTCAGAATTATACTCATCATCATCCGAGAGAAAAAAGAATATTCTTCATTTCAAGAGTTCAATTTTTTTTCGCCTAAAACCAAATAATGAACGAAAAAGAGAGAGGGAAAAAGTAAATTCTGCTTCCTTTTTCATTTGTATTTGTATTATATTATTATAAACATATAAATGATATTCATATATATAGAATATATATTTGGAACTCAGGAGCAAAATAGAAAAAAAACCATTTCCCTCCCTCCTTCTAACCCAACACAACCACCACTCTATGTACACAACACGAATATTCTAGGGAAGTATACATTGTGATGATATATAGAACCAGAAAAACAACAACAGAATCCGTATCGATCGATTGCTGATCCAAACATGCACACACACACACACACACATAGTTCTATATAATTTTTGAGACATCCAACAACAAAAAAAAAAATTCATCATGGATGCACATCTTTTGCACGAAACGATTGAGAATATATAAAGAGCTAACCCGATTGTCTATGGTGGCTTTTGAAAATAGTTGTTGGAACTACCACCACAGCTATCATCATTATCATCACAATCACCATCACCACCACCATCGATGGCTGCCATTGTTGGAATATTCTTCATAATATTATGGAGCCATAACTGTTGTTGTTGTTGTCGTCGTCGGCGTTGTTGTTGTTGAGCCATATTTTTACCGCTATGATTGTTATTGGATTCATTTGTAGCTATCGAAAGATGAAATTGTATCACACACACACACAAACACACATCCACAATTTTATTCAAAAGGGCATCAACAATTTTCAATTCAATAATTGAGAAAGAGGAAATCAAAAAATTTGAAAAATATTTTTTGATCGCAATGATGGAATTTTTAGATTTTCATTTTTTTTTCTTTCGAAATTCATCATCGTTTGATGGCTACTACTGTGATATCAGAAATTGAAATTGATCAGAAAAATCGAATGATGATAAATGTTGATGTTCAGAGGAAATTATGAAACAAAAAAAAACAATGACAAAAAATAATAATCATCACATTTAGGCAGGTTCAACGATTCTGGATTCCGGAAATTAAAAATTAAACTGACTGATGGAATTATGCATTAAATGATAATATATTTGTTAAAATGTTTTTTTTGTGTATGTTTTCACAGTCGTCTTTGTCATTTCTGATCTGTACTGGGGTAAAAATAATTCTTTCTCTTTTTGTGCATTTAATATTATTCTTGTATTCTTTATACTTTTTTTTTGTTTGTTTGCTTGTATTTTTTTTTCCTTCGATTCTAGTTTTGACTTGAAACGCAATCGCGCGAGGCTGTGCAACACCATTATCATCATCATCATCCATATTATCGTTTCGAAATAAGTATGAGGATAAAATATGAATGAATGAATGGAAAAAAAACGCTAAAAACGAATCGCGCAAGTTACAAAAGACGTTATTTTAGTTATTAGTAGAGTATAATATAATATTAGGGAGAAAATCAAAACTATTTAACCATTTTGGTATATGATGATGGTGAGGAGTGGCCGCGCCTGAGTGGTATTTATTGGACGAAATGGCCTTGCGCCCGATGTTAATTGAAATGAAAAAAAAATCCCCGCCAATCATATACACACACGTGCAGCATTTATATTATGATGATTGTAATAAATATATACAATTCCCACCGGTTGATCCATGAACATCGAAATGATCATAAATCACAAATTGATTGATTGTTATCGGTTTTCGATTTTTCTATCGAAAATTTCTTTCAATTAAAAATATTATGCAATAATTGTAATTGACAGCAGCATAAAACATACCTAAAATTTTAGGATTAATGATCCGAATAAGCGGATGAGAATCAATCGATGATGATAATGATGATTATTTGATTTTATCATATTTGATTCGAATATGAATTTTTTACCATTTTACAGATGATTATATTTATCATCAAAGATTAAGAATTATTATATTATATATCGATATTATAACACACATGCACCAGAAGTAAATATTGATGAATACAAAAGTTCGAAGGCCGCATGACATCTGTTTCATTCTAAGGATTTTGTTGTTGATTGTTGTTGATGATGATGATGGAAAAGATGATCATTTGACTGACGCTTGAGCGTGCGCTGTCCACTATGTTTTTTCTTATTTAAATCACTTTTTAGGCGCAATATAAAATAGTGAATAGATTATTATTTGTTTTCCTGTTGTCAGAATAAATTTTAATTTGAAAATAAAAATGATGATTAGAATAATATCATCAGATTTTTATATTTCTACACTGTGTGAATAGAAAGGATTGCCGAAATTCTATATATCATCTATAAACACCCAAACACACAAATGGATGTGTATAAGTTGACCAATCCATCCATTCAATCATTGAGCAATCTTATTCTATTTTATAAATACAGACACATCATTTATTTTCAATAACAACATCAACTACACAAGGACCGTATTAATTTGAATAAAATATAATCATCATAAGGAGTCATTCAAATAGAGATTAGCATACATATATGCATCAAACACACTAACACTTGCACACAAAAAACACTGAGTCCAGAAAAAATGAAATAGAAAAAAATCAAACTTACCTATTAAAAATATAAGAACCAGAACATTGGTCCGAAAAAAAAATTGATCGAATACGCAACTCGAGAGCATCAAAAAAAACATCAGCTAAAATCGGCCACAAAAACGAAAAAAAATAACAAAAATGATGTGTATACACACGAAGGAGAACCAAAGAAGACACACCGTGATCAGTGCAAGTAATGGGAAAAAAAAAGCGAAAGTTCACCAAAAACATATACACAATCAACGATGATGATATTCACTTCATCTGTGAATGATCCATTTATCCTCCTCATCATATTATGATAGTAGCATAGAACAAAGTTATGGTAACAAAAAACGTTAACAATATGGACGACAAAATAATAATTCAATTTGTGTGAGCACTACTCATATAAATTCTTGCTCATATAGTCGATAGATGGTAGCACAATTTAGAATTTTTTTTTGTTTTCTATACTTTTTCCTCTGGTTGACAACAATAAATTGATGGTGGTTGATTGGTGGTAGTGGCAGTATGATGACATGCGCAGTATGGGTGTGGTTAAAAAATTCTATTTTTTTTGCTGATTCTGATTTTTTTATTCGCTGTCTTGATTCCACCATAAAACAATCAACAGACACACACACACATATAACCATCCTCCCGCCAAAAAAAATTTTTTTTTTTTTAATTTCATTCCCGGGTTTAGTTCTTGATGATTATATATTATAATTATTATATTTTTTTATATATTATTGTTTTTTTTCGTTCGAAATCAATGAATCAATGAATTCTTTACAAGGATTCTCAATAGAACAATAAAATAATAAAAACAATAAATAAATATATGTTATATATAAGGATTCATTTCAATGTTTTTAGTTTTGTTTTGTTTGAATGTCCCTAATGGCTGCTGACATGATGATGATGATGATGAGTGTACGTTGAGAGAAAAAAAAATGGATTCTATTTTTAATTATCATTCATCATTTGAATATGAATGAATGAATGAATGATGATGAATGATGAATAGGAATTAAAACCTTATACTAACCTCGATTTTTTTCGAGAGCGCAAGATTTTTCTCTTTTTCATTCATTCATTTGTTGTTGTTTTTTTTCTGGATGATCAAGAGCGCAACCGTTTGTTTACAATAAAAATACCGCACGCGGTTGTATGAATACTTTGAATTCAGAATTCGATCTGAGTCTGTCGATTTTTGATTATATAACGATGATGTGATTATGATTAACATGATAAATTGGCGCCATTTTATTTTCTAGATGAAACTAGGAAAAAAATCAATTTTTTTTCGAAAAATGATTTCGATTCGAAATGTTAATTCGAATACGAAGTATGAGAAATTCTATGATCCGGGATATTTGGATTTTTTATCGAAACAAAATTAAATTGATTGATTGAAATTCTTATTATACAAGACGATAATGCCATCTTTTGATAAAGAATCACAACACTGTAACGTTGTGTATGAATCGTTTACAAAAATATGGACAAGTGGTTGGTGTCTCTTGATTATATTCGTGAATAGAACGGAGAGAAAAAAAGAGCGACCGAATGACGGTGAATGGGCGAACAGAAAAAAAAGAAAGAGAAAAAGAAAATAATTTTCGTCAATGATCCACAGCAAATCTAAATTGTATGTAAGAAAAAAAAGAGGAAAAGGGAGAGTGAATTTATGATCATCAATTCTTGAAGAAAAAAAGAGAAATCAAATCCCGAATCTTAAAAGAGAAATTTTAACAACAACAACAACAACAAATATTTCCATGCCTCAATGATGATCATGATCATCATCAACAATGTGAATACCGCCACCGGAATCATCTATTATTCCTTCGTTTTTTTTCCATGAATTCATCATGATTCATTGAATTCGATTCGATCACGTGGATTGAATTTGTTTATTTTTCATTTTTTTTTTGGTTTTTCATTTTTTCCTCATTTTTTTCGGTTTCGTTTAAATCATTTTTTTTACATTTGTATTCGAATAATTGATTGATTGAATCAAAAACGAAAAAAAAAATGTTGACAACAATGGTTGAAGATGTAACGAAATCTTTACCACCATCAACACATCATCATCATCATCATCATTTTCATCAAAATCATCAACATCATAATCCAACATTACAATCATCATCAATTTCAACAGCTACGATTTCATTTCAACAACCGCAACAACAACAACAACAGCAACAACAATTAAATAATATTTCATCGATAAATGGTTCGAATGTTGTTGATAGTAACGATGCCGGAATGGCCAATATCAGTAATAATAATAATAATGGTCAGAATCAGAATTCTGCACCACCGCCACCACAAACATCATCATCATCATCATCGTCGCCTTCATTTCAAATGTTACAATTAACAACTGAAGAATGGAATGAATTAAACACTATTGATAGGTGAGTGTAAATATATGATTCGATTGAATAACTTGCATAACTTGAATAACTTGTAATGATTTTTTTCCATGTCCACAAATAGTCAATTGTTTGGTGTTTTTAAACCAGAAGATTTAAGTTGTCAAAAATTAAAATCACTTTTATTGAAAGTAAGTTAATTTTGAATAATTTTTTTGTCTTATTTTAACTTTTTTTTTTCTTCTTTCTGTTATGGTGAATGAACAAAAAAATGAAAAATGAAAAATTAGGCAATCAAATGTTATGATTTGGCATTATTAAATCGTAATCTAAATGGTTCACAAACAAATTCTGGTGGTAATGGTGGTGCTAACCGTTTGAAATCAAATGCAATTAATCCAAATGTGTTCTGTCGTCTTGGACATTATAATTTTTTACTTGGTAATCGTGTTAAAGGTAAATTTTTTCAATTTGTTGTCATTTTGTATCAATTATTGAATATTTCTCCATTATTTATTTAGCTTTATCAGCGTACCAACGATATTTAATAGCCGATAAAAATCATTGGAAAGTAAGTAATGATTAATGATGGTAAATGAATGATGAGAAAACTAAAATTTTTATCTTTTGTTTTGTTTTGTTTTTCAATTCCATTGTTTCAAAATAGAATTCCGCAGCAATATTCGGCCTTGGCCTTACTTATTTCCATTATAATGCATTCAATTGGTGAGTAGAATTTTTTTTCTCAGATTTATTATCTTTTGAAGAAAATTTTACAATCAAAAAAAAAAAAAAAAAAAAAATTCTGAATCAATTCCAAATTCAATGTCAAAAAAAAAAATATTTCAGTCATATTCGATCTGAGCACAGTAGATGGCGCCATTATAGCAAGAGAATTTTATCAATTAACAAGTGATACCCTAAAAAAAACATGAGACGATTATCTGTATTCAGACTTTTTTTTTCTCGTAATGATAATGTTGGGCGTTTTCCCATTTATTTTTCTCTTGATAATTGGTTACACATTTGATTACATTTGTCCTTTGAGAACTATAGAGAGAGAGAGAGAGAGAGTTAATTGATGCTTTTTTTGTCATAAACATACACAAAATACTTGAATCTTATCATCAAAACAACACATATTGATAAACAATTTGTTGTTAATTGTATACAAAACTTGCAATTTTTTTCAAGCATTTCCTATTTTATATGATGATGATATAGGATTCAGGTGAAATTTTGGTTTTTGTGTGTTTTTTATATATGTTGATTCATTGGCCTCAATTTCCTTGAATGGCAACCGGATTCTTATCATCATTTTGAACGGATTTGCCAAAAAAAAAAAATTTTTTTTGTTGTTGTTTATTTGTTTTTTCAAATAAAGTGGTGTAAATTTTTTTTTATTGTTTTTTATTGCTTTCTGCATGTGTGTATGAGTGTGATTGTCATAAAAAAACATTATCATCATCATATTTCATCATCCGGTGTTTGAATCATCAAAAAAAAAATATATTAAAATTCCTTCTCAAATGATAACAATGATCCGAATTTCCGGTTTTGATGACATTGAAATCAATCAAAATGAAAATGTTTGATATATTTTCTATATTTATTCCCATTATCATCATTGATGATCATCCGGTTCTTGTCACCTTCACACATATACAAAATTTGTTGCTGTAGAATCTTTTTCATTTCTTTCTTTATTCACATCTTTCACCGGTGTGTGTGTGTATTAAATGTGGGCAAGGCCCCTAAATTTTTTTTTTTTTTGACTGACTATCTTACCAAACAGGTTTGAATGATTGAAAATAAATAATAATGATGGTTCAAAATATATAAATTCTACACTTGACTGCCTATCTCTATCTATCTATGTATGATAATCCGAATATAATAACATTTTTTTTTTTTTTTTTTTGAAACAAAGTCATCATTGTCGAATCCTATTATCATCATCGTTGTTGTTGTTGAAATGATGATTTTTTTTTGATCACAAAATTATACATTGTTTTTTTTTGTATTTGGTCTCGTGACCATGTTGATTTTTTAATGATTTTTTTCTGGTTTTGTTTTTTTCTGTTACTGCTGCTGCTTTACATTATCATCTGCAGAAAAAAAAATCTATATTGTCTTTGTCTTATGTGGTTTAGAAATTTGTGTGTGTGTGTGTGTGGCTAGTCTATAGAAGACACAAGACACAAAGATAGTGGATATTATTATAGATGATTTAAGTGAGGCCTACATCCATCGACTTGTTGTAGTCACAAACAGCTGCTTTTTTCTTTCCTATTTTGCTTATGATGATGATGATGATGATCGTAATCATTGTCGTATTGTAAGTGATGAGTCTTTGCTATTATTTTTTGTTTCATATATATAAAAATTGTCGATGATGATGATGATGATGATGATCCCATACGAATGAATGAAAGCATAGATGGTTAGAATGTAGCTGTTGATGATGATGATGATGGGTAGTATTAGTTGATTTTATTTTGGCCACATTCGACCTTTATAGCTATCTAGCTTATATGATAGTTATATGAATCACACACACAAATATGGCAAAGGTCAAAGGCATTTGCAATTCAATATATATAATGTTGAGGGGGTAGAAATAGGAAAAAAATTCTTATGTTGATGATGTTTTGTTGCTATTTTTATAATTTCTTTATGAACGAAATTCTTGTAAAAAATTTTTTTATTATGATGAAATTGTTTGTTTTGTTTCGTTTTGTTTTTTTTTTCTGAAACTACCCGATTGCAACAAAGTAATGAAAAGTTTTAATATGCTGTGGGTTTTTTTTCGTTTCTTATATATATTTAATTTAATAATTTGACAACGACGAACAAGTGAGAAATAGGTATTGTTACCGGAAATTGTGCACAGTGTTTTCATTGGAAATTTGATGATTATGATGAAATATCAAGAAATTTTCATATCATATCAATCGTTCTGTTAATAGCGCAGCCGGTGTTTTTTTTTTTTTTTTGTTTTGTTGTTGTTGAAAGCTGGTCACCCTTTTTTCGGGTTTTTTCTTCATTTTTGTTTTGTTTTGTTTATTTTTCTTATCCTAAATTTATTTTGCTTTTGATCGAGTTTTTTTCGGATTGAAATATGATGATAATCTTAACCGACTGATCAAACATTGGGATAAAATATCCAGAAAAAAAATAAAGAAATCATTCCTTCTACTCTCTACTCCTTTTTTTTACTCTCTTTTTTTCATATTTATCTTCTTAATAATTGTGTTCATTATGATTGAGGAAAGATATTGGTGTGTGTGATAAATAATTTTTTTTTGTTGTTTTTGTCCTCTTTTTTTCAATGGTTGCATGTGTGTGTGTAGGTTTTACTGTAAGTTTGAATTTTTCTGTTGACAATTTTTTTTATTTCTTTCTTTTTGGTTTGTTTCACCAAAACAAAAAAAAATTGATGTCAACTTTTTTTTCCTCAAAGATTACCATAAATTTTTGTTTATGGTTTTTTTTTGGTGGGAGAAGGATGTTTGTTCCTTGATGAAGTTTTCCATTTCTTTTTTCTGTGTGCGAATCCTTTTATTTTATTTTTTTTCGATTCACAAGTAAATAATTAAAACATACATCCGTAAATTCAATGCCTATAAACATACGGACATTTGTTAATGAATGTCCACCACCAACATCCATGTACATGATGTATTTTACATCCGGTTTTTTTTCTATCGGAAAAAAAGAATTTTTTTTCATATTCAAATCATAGACCCCAAATAGTTTAGTGATGATGATGATGATGATAATGCATCATGACTGATGTGAAATTCCCTTTAAATTTTTTTTTTCACTTGAATTTGTATTTCTCACTCTCTCTCTCTCTTTCTCTCACACTCAAATACACACACACACACACACACAATTTAATATATTGGTTCATTCAATTTTCATTTCTGGGGTACGTGACCGACCATGAATCTTGAACCATACATACAGTGAATGAACGAATGAATGAATGAATGAATGAATTGAATGGCAATTGAATTTAAACTACATATATATACTACTACTGTACATCATCCACTTTTATTTACAATGAACTTTTTTTTGGATGTGTGTGTGTTATATATCAACAACACAGTTTGTAAAAGCAGGAGGATATCTCTCAACTTTCACCTTATACCCTTATGAATGAAATATTAAGTTGTTGTTGTTGTTGCTTTTTAGGTAGTGGTGGTTGTTTTTTTTTTTTTTTTTTTTGATCCAATTTATGATTGGTAATTGTGTGGTAGCAGTTTGTATATACACATATTGTAAAATGGAAGCATCATCATTCTTTCGCATACACAATTTCAATTCTGTTGGTGGTTGTCTTGTAATGATGGTGGTATGGATGATGTGTGTATGTATCTTTAAAAAAAATTTTTTTTTTTTTTGGGTTGTAGCGGCGAATGACACCCATGAGATCCAAGTTTAATTTAAATAGTAGTGGTTGAATTGGTGCTGGTGGTAATAATAATAATCATTCTTATTCGTTGGTTATTGTATCAAAAATCTATTCTATTTTTTTCCGTTCAACTTTCCTTTCTCTCTCTCTCTCTCTTTTTTTTTGTTGTTGTTGTTGTTTTTTGGGATCAATGAATTTTTTTACCCACCAAAAAGAAAAAACCCCTTTCCCCTGCCGCTATTGCTTCATTAGCTCCACCACCACCATCACCATTCATACACACTATACCACGACCATTATCATTTTACGAATTGGAGATTTTCGTTCACACACACACACACAATCCGTATGATTTGACGGAAAGAGAGTTTCTTTCGTTCTTTTTTTTTTTTTTTTGCTTGCTTTTGGATAGTTGATCAAGTTAGTCACACAATTTAATAGTTTAGTGGCCATCTGTGCTGATGGTGTTCTCAATTTTTTTTCGGGTTTTCTGTATGATTATTTTGGTTTTGGTTGTGAATATTATAGAGAATAAAAAGAGTGTGTGTGTGTGATGAGTTGTGTTTGTATATTCTTCACATTTGCAAAAAAAAAAAAATGTTTTTTTGTTGCCTGTTGTTGTTTTTTTGAATCGAAAATATTTTGTTTTTCTTGTCATAAAAACAAAACAAAAAAATCTTTGATTTAAGTAAAATGATCTCGTTTTTTTCGTGTTCACATATACATCTGATTAGAGAATTTTTTTTCTCGATTACCTCATTTTATTTGGTGACATTTTTTCTGTATATTTAAATTGAATAGCAACAAGAACATTCCGTGTATTGTGTGCATGTATACAACACATGTGACCAACAATTTTTAAAATTTGAAACCAATCACTGCCAATATATAAGTGTTTCTGTATTATGAAAATTTTCAACAATTCTTCAAAATTCTTATTCCCATATAATTATTGAGAAATTAATTCTTGTCAAAAATACCTCTTTTCATCACATACACACACACATATCTATTCACCCACCACCGTCCACACAAATGTGTTCATATTGATTTCATCGATTAAAAAAAAAAAAAAAAGGTAGGTATGTGTATTGTGATTGTGTGTGTATGAGGAAATCATTCTTATTATACAAAATATTAGTCACGATGTTGATTAGAACGCCCAACAAAACTAAAGTGAAGAAAGTGAATCTTTTTTTTTTGTTTGGTGTTCATTATTATAAAGAATTTAAATTTCTTTTTTTTCAAAGAACAAAAGCACACATTCACACACATATTATACTATTATAACATGAACAACAACAATTTACACAGGAGCAAAGAACTGGATTCGACAAAAGTTTTTTTTTTTTTTTTTTTTTTGAACGAGAATTAAATTTTTTTTCTTTATTTTTCTGTTTTGTTGTTGTTGTTGTTGTTTGGTTTATTTGGTTCTGTTGTTCATCGGCTCGAATGAATAACTACGACGAATCTTGTTTTCACTGTGTGTGTGTATGGAAAACTTTGTCGTTTTTTTTTTGGTTTTGTTTTGTTTGAAAATATATCAAGTTGTCCGAGGTTATTTGCCTCTACCCATATATTTATTATTGTTATTATGTAAGGAGGTATTGAATTTCGATGGTTGTAGTTGTGGTGGTAAGTGTGTGTGTGTGTAAATAGTTACATCTCTCACCAAGTTGCATAATAATAAGATATTGCATTCTCTCTGTACTGTGCAAATGATCAATGAATCGATGGAGAATTGACCTCGAACATGATAATGATGATGATGATGGTTTTTTTTTTTTGCAAAGGAAAACTGGATTCCTTATTGCTGTTGTTGATATAATTGCTTTTTTTTTTTTTGAATTTTCTTCTGTTCAATTTGATTCTCTTTTTCTCTTTATATTTTTCATGAATCTTGATCTAATTCATTGATTTGATTATCGTTAATTATATAGTATATATGATGAAAAAAAATCAGCAATTCTATATTCACCATTAAAGGTGGTCAATCAATTATAGCCAATTTATTCGCGGAAAGAATCTATTTTTGGTAGCTTTTTTTTCTATTTTTACCAAAATAGCAATTTTTATTTGCCATTTTACATGTAAAACATCAATCGATTTGACACCAACATTTTCAATAATCGCGTCATCATTGATGACGTCGAATTGCCGAAAAAAAACCTGAATACGCAAGCCAAATTTCCGGTACAATTCTGGCGCACATATTATCAGATGATCATATGGAGAATGTCTGAAATTTTGGCATTTTTTTTCTCACATTATATAGATATAATAGAACATTGCTGGCCTTCAGAATAAGGTCATGCGAATTTCGTTTTTTTCTTGGTTTATCAATGAATTTTCGTTACATTCCTATAGAAATGATTGATTCGCATCTGTTTTATTTGATTTGTTTTTTTTCTGATTCTCTTGATGATGGATTATGCGCAAATAAATAAATATATAAATATAAAATAATATGATAGTTTGGCGGGTTCTTTGAATTTTTCTAATTTCGTTTTGTTTCATATATTTTTTATCTTAATGATGATGGTGGTGGTCATTTTTTTCATGCAAAACATTTTCTTTTTTAGTTTCACTGTCTCATTCTGAATTTCAGTTCGGCATTTTTTTCATTTTTTTTTTTTTTGAAATTAGAAAAGAATGAGTTATGTCACATAGAAAAATGGTTATAAATTTTATTTTTTTGTGAGGTAATTACTAGCCACATTCATTATCATTATCATCATCAATGGCAATCAAGTGCTACACCCTGGTTAAATGGGTGGTTGATAATTTTTTCTTTCTTTCTTTTTTGTTTGTTTGTTTCCGAAACAACAACAACAACAACAAGCAACTAATGTGACAGGTCACAAAACTTGCTTACATATTATGTACCACCATCATATCACTAAGCTCCCCTTTCTATTTACAAATTTGTTTCGGTCGAATGAATATCGTAGAGAGAAAGAGAGAGATATTCGATTCATAGGCCCGATTTTTTAATTTTCCTGGTGATTAATGTTTGGATCTTGTGCATAGTTTTTGTATAGAGGTCGCTCAATGATATTCGACACACATACACACACATGTCCTCGATTTTTTATTATTATTATTTGGCCCTTAGCAGTGATAGACCGCCCTCCCCTATGTTTTTATTGTTCCAAATGGTATTTTCTTTGCTTGAAAAAAAATTTGGTTGACTGGCTGGGACCTACCCGAACAATGGCTGTATATACTGTGATTTAATAAGCCATACGTGAGCCAGCTAGATCCATCTAGCTAGCTGAACTCTGTGTCTGTGTCTGGTTGTTTTGTTTGGTATTTTATTACGAGCGCAGTAGCGTTCATTTTTTACACCCTTTAAAAAAACACCCATCATTTTTTTTTATTTGTTTGACTTTGGATTTTTATTATTGTCTCTTTATCTTTATTCAGGACAATCAAAGCATTCAAACAATTGATCTATACGGATCGACAATTTTCACGTACGAACGAAGCACATGTACGATTGGCCATCATCTATAAATTTCTTCACCATTATAGTCTTGCTCATAAAGTATAAACTTTGTTTGTTTTATTTCATTTCATTCGTAACTAATTGATTCTTTTTTCTTTAAACATTTTTCCCTTAAACATATTTAGCATTTTCGTATTGCTTTGAATGATACGAATTTTTGTACATTAGGAAAGAATGAATGTAAGTTGTTGCAAATGTTTCAAAGAATTTATTTTATTATTATTTCATTTTTTTGTTGTTTTTTTCTTGTTTTTTTTTTAGTAAAATTCCACATAGCTCATCTCTATGAATTAGAAGGAAAAATTAAAACTGCCCGTGATCAATATTTAACGATATTGAAACAGAAAGACATATCACCTTCATTACGTGCCGATTGTTTACGACAATTAGGCTGGATTTGTTATTCGAATGATTCATTACCATTAATTATTGAAAATAATTTACAGCAACCAAAACAACAATCATCACAGCAACAAACACGTTATTATCAGGCAATTAAATATCTAAATGAATCAATTGAATTAGATAATGATCCATATACTGCTTATTATTATCTGGGTCGATGTTATGCCTGTCTAAATCAAGTACATGATGCATTCATTTCATATCGACATTCAGTAGAGAAAACTGAAGCCAATTCAAATACATGGTGTTCGATTGGTATACTTTATCAAAAACAGAATCAACCATTCGATGCATTACAGGCATATATTTGTTCAGTACAATTAAATAAAGAGAATATAACAGCATGGATTAATCTTGGCTTGTTATATGAAACTTATCAACAATATAATGATGCATTCAAATGTTATATACATGCTACAAAATCGACAAAAGAAAAATCATCATTACCAATTGGTGTTATTGAACGTGTCAAGTATTTAAAATCATCACAAAATAATATTATGTCTATTAGGTATGTTATTATTGTTGTTGTTTAGAAGAAAAAAATTAGCTGCCGTCATTCAAGAGATAACCTTTTGTTTTTTATCATTTTTTTTTCTATTTGTCATAGCACTCAGAAATTACCTTCATTAGAATTAGCTTGGAATAATTCTGTCGATAACGATATGGCCTCAAAACGCCATCAATCGTTTGCTGCTGCTGCTGCTGCTTCATCACAATCATCCACAATGGATCCAAATGATCCATTAATGAACAATCATAACACTGCCAAACGACCTAAATTAGAAAATCATCACCATACACATGTTCATCATCCACATCATCACCCAAGTGTTGTCCCATATAATCATCCTCAACAACAAGTTTCCTATGATAATATGAAAAATTCTTTTCAATCAACAACATCAATGTCATCATCAATTGCTCAACCTAATAATACAACAAAACAACAACAATCGCCTACATTCTTTCAGAATAAATCGAAACGTTCATATTCGGTTGATAGTGATGTAATGTCCAATCAGACAATTTCATCCGATGATTCGGGTATCGATTCAAAAGATGTTTATTGTCACCATTCTAGTCAACAACAACAACAACAACCAAATAAAGATAAAGAAGACGCCATCATTTCATTATTATCCTCATCAACAGCATCGGATTCTAGTCAAGATCCGTCCATTAGACAGCCAAAACTATCTATCGAAATGAATGCACAGCAGATAATTGATGAATGTAAAAAATTTCCATCAAAAACAACCAGAATCATAAGCAGTATTACTTCGGATGATGGCTATCCACCTTTTCCGCCTGATCCCCCCTATCCACCCTTACCTCGAGAAAAACTAAATCCACCAACGCCCAGTATCTATGTAAGTTTTTGTATGATTTTACTTATCTTATTAATTAATTGATAACAAAAATTAGGTTGAAAGTAAAAAAGAGGCCTTTTCGCCAGAACTTCAACAATTTTGTCTTTCGAATCATATTGCTGTTATACGTGGCCTATCATCGGTGCTCAAACTGGATTTAGGCCTTTTTTCAACGAAAACATTGGTCGAATCGAATTCCGATCATTATATCGAAGTACGACGTCAATATATGCAACCATCAGATGAGAATTGGGATCCTGAACATCGAGATATGGTTTGGTATTGTGAAAGTCAACGATCACATACAACCATTGCTCGTTACGGTCATTATCAAGCTCTTTCATTCAGTGAATCATTAAAAGAAGATAAGGAGAAAAATTCAACGACAATATTTAGAGATTCAGATTCAGATTCGAATTCAACATTTTCCAAGTATGTCTTAATTGATAAGCAATTTCCGAGTTAGAAACTAATAAAAATTTTTTAGGAATACGAAAAAACATAAAAAATATAGCATGTTCAAACCGGTTAAATTTGGTACGAATGTCGATCTTTCTGATCCGAAAAAATGGAAAATTCAACTTCAAGAACTAGCTAAACTACCTCCATTTGCTCGTGTATCATCAGCGGCAAATATGTTGACACATGTTGGTCATACCATTCTTGGTATGAATTCGGTTCAGCTTTATATGAAAGTTCCTGGTTGTCGTACGCCTGGTCATCAGGAGAATAATAATTTTTGCTCCGTAAATATCAATATCGGTCCAGGAGATTGTGAGTGGTTTGGTGTAGCACCTGAATATTGGGGTGTTATCCATCATATTTGTGAACGGTATGTGATTATGATTGAAGAGAAAATTTTTATAATAATCTTTGTTTTTTTTTGATTACCAAATAGGAATAATATCAATTACTTACATGGTTCATGGTGGCCATTATTGGATGATCTTTATGCTGAACATGTACCAGTTTATAGGTTTGTACAGAAACCGGGTGATATTGTTTGGGTTGGTGCGGGCACTGTACATTGGGTACAAGCTATCGGATGGTGTAATAATATCGCATGGAATGTCGGTCCATTTACTTCATTGCAATATGATCTGGCCATAAAACGTTATGAATGGAATAAACATGAGAATTATAAATCAATTGTGCCAATGATAAATTTATCCTGGAACATTGCTCGTAATGTTAAGATATCTGATAAATCTGTGTTCACTATGATGAAGTATGTATTTTTTTTTTTTTTTGAATGTTTCAAAATATTGAGAAATTTTTTTAAAAAAAAATTTTTTTTTTCTTTCAATAAGGTCAACTTTGATGCGATCATTAAAATATTCAATAATGTTAACGAATCTAATTGATGATGTTGGCCATGAGATTATTTTACGGCAACGAGATTCACAAGAACCGGCACATTATTGTGTTGTTTGTGACGTAAGTTTCTTGAATTTATTCTTATTTATTTTTTTAAATTTACTTTTCATCTCCAATTTACAACAGATTGAAGTATTTAACATTTTATTCGTCAAAGAAGTTGATCGAAAACATGTTGTCCATTGTTTTTATTGTGCACAAAAAATGAATCCTGAATTGAATGATTTTGTTATACTTGAAGAATATAAATTGGATGAATTGACAAAAGTTTATGATAATTTTCAATTGATTACAACACCAGCTGCCTCTACAAATTTGAATACGACAAATAGTAGTAATAATAATCATGCAACAACAACAACAACAACGACGACGACAACAACAACAATGTCTATTAATAATACGAATAACAGTAATACGACGACAATGACACCCATTACCGTTGGTGGTGGTGGTGGTGGTGGTGGAACATCTTCCTGATATTAAATAGTAAAATTTTATTGCTCACCTTTTTCAGTTTTTATCGCCTTTTTTTTATCATCACAGCCATCTCAGTTTTTAATGAATTTTTGCCTCTCCCATTAATGATGAATGAATGAATATATTTATTTTCATCCCTGAAAATTAACTTGAAAAAAATTCGTTCTTTTTTTTCTACAAACAAAACAAAACACCATACAGGCAACAACAAGAAATGTGATATGATTTTGGTTGTATTTATCTTAACCCCTTTTGCCCGATTTGTTTTGATCAAAAAAAAAAAATTTTTTGCTCGATCGATTTCTTTCGATAGACATACTACACACCACCTACAAGCACACACACACACACACACATGTATCTGTAAAATATTTGTTCAACTTTTTTTTCCAGGGAAAAAAAGATATTTATTGATCTCTATCTATTTTTCTTCGATTATTTTTTTTCTCGATTATGTAACTTCTTTTTTTTCTACTATATTATTTAACAAATTGAAAATGTAAAAAATTTTTTTTTCTGTCAATGGAAGAAATGGAAATTTTTAGTTGAAAATCTTTTTTTTTATATTTAAAGTTATCTATTTTTATTTATAAAATTCACAATACACACACACACACACACACACACATTGATGATCAATCAATCATTCAATCATTAGGCACCGCGGTTCCCATTATAATCGAATCGATTATTTGGATCATTTTGGGCACTGTAAAATAAATTGAATAAAAAAGTTTTTTTTCTTTGAATTTTGTTTTGTTTTGATTTGTTTGTTCGAATATTTTGTTTTAAAATGAAAACAGCAAGTCTCGCGCCAAAATTTCGATTTTTGATAAACTTACAGCGTATGAATACTGGTACAAACCTGGTATTCATCGTGTGAATATTTGTCAACATTGTAGTTGAAATTCTTTGTCGATATGATAAATTGATTTGATTTGATTATGGTCGATTCAATGTCCACAGATTCGGCTAAGCCGGAATTTATCAATCTAAATGTTCATAAAGCTGGATTGGATGGATTGGATCAGCAACGAATCAATCAGATTATTCAAGAGGCAAGTAAAGGTTCGAATTTTTATACATTTCAACAGCGACGTCAAAAACGTATCAATGAACAAATTGAACAATTGAAAAAACGTGCCAATTCGATAACCGATGTCCAACGACAACAAGCGATGAAAAAAGCGGATATGATCATTGCCGATCTTGAACAACGACGAGTATTGAACAAAATTATTGTCCATTTTGATATGGATATGTTTTTCGCGGCTGTAGAAATCAAAAAAGATCCCAGTTTGGCTGATGTACCAATGGCTGTTGGATCATTATCAATGATTTCAACAAGCAATTATATTGCCCGTCGATTCGGTGTACGTTCAGCGATGGCCGGTTTTATAGCAAAAAAGCTTTGTCCACAATTAAAATTGATTAAGCCCAATTTCAAAAACTATGCCGCAGAAAGCGAATTTGTGATGAATATCATTCGTCAATATGACCCAAATCTTCGAACATTTTCGTTGGATGAAGTTTTCATTGATTTAACGGACTTTGTTTTTGATGGTTATTCGAAAAAGAATAATGTTCCACTTGAAGATCTTTATTGTATGGATGTATTATCCGATGATATTTGGCAATTTACTAATGAAGTTGTCACAGAAATACGTGCCAAAGTTCATGAAGAATCTCGATTGACTGTTAGTGCCGGTATAGCTTGCAATACATTGTTGGCCAAAGTTTGTACGGATATCAATAAACCAAACGGACAATTTATGGTCAAAGGGCAACGTGAAGAAATCATGGATTTTGTATCACAAATTCAAATACGAAAATTCACCGGAATCGGTCCTGTTAGAGATCAAATTCTTTCAGCCTTCAACATTGTCAAACCAACAGATTTGTTTAATGAACGAGTTTTATTGTCATGTTTGTTTGGTGACATTGATTATTATCTCCGAGTTTATCTTGGTATTGGTTCAACACATTTGTCAAACAATGAATCAGTACAGCAAAAATCACATAGCCGAGAAAGAACTGTGGGCGAAATGAGCAATTTTGATGACATTTGTCATTTGCTAAAAGATATTTCACATCGATTATCCAATGATCTGAAAAACGAACAACAAATTTGTAAAACCATAACATTAAAATTGAAAAAGATCAATTTCGAAATGTTCATCAAATGTAAAACTATCGATCATTACACTGATGATGAACAAATAGTGTTTCGTGTAGGTAAAGAATTGTTATCACAAGAAATGCAAAAATCTCCACAAAATAAATATCGATTAATTGGTCTTAAAGTTTCTAATTTGTGCAATATATCAAATGCTAACGATAAAGTTGTATTACCCAGTGATCAATTAACATTATCAAAATTTTTTCAAACATCAACTAAACGAAAAGCTATAGAATCGGAACCGGATTCGACTCATTCAATTGATCAAATTGATGATTCATCAGATTCAAATTTTAATGAAAATGGTGAATTAGAATGTAATCTATGTGAAAGAACATTTACTAGAATAACGAAATTTCGATATCATCGACAATTTTGTCGTGGTAATACTGGTGATTCAATTTATGGATTGTCTTCCGATAGCGATGATGATGATGATTGTGATGGTGATGGTGATGATGATTATTCATATTCTAATTCTGACAACAACAAAGATAATGATGATGAATCGTTTGTCGAAAATGATGATAATCCTTATATTAACAATGGTGAATTGTCATCGGATACGATCGGCAATAAACAAGATGGAAACGAAGCACAATTTCTAAAATGTCCAGTTTGTCAATCAAATACATTGTTCAATACAAACGAAGATCTTAATCGACATATTGACATTTGCCTGAATAGAGAAGTTTGTATTGAATTGACAGCGATTGCTGACAAGCAAAAATCTGATGATTCTTCTTCCAATATGAATATCGATTCATTAGTATCACCAATGAAAAATATTGATTCATCGGCATCATCACATTTATCGTTGTTATGTAAGTCAAATAAGAAAAAATCCAATAAAAAGAAACGACTTACAAGTACTACTGGGACTGATAGATCATCATCATCATCATCATCATCTTCGATAATACAATCTGCCAATCAAACAAAAATCGATCATTATTACGAATGGCGTAAATGATGAATGGCAATGGGAATTTTCTTTCTTATTTTTCAAATCGAAAATATAATGAAATGAATCGTATATGTTTGAAAATTGAATTTGAAATTCAATTTGATCCCATCTTGCCAATTCGTTTCTTTTTTTTTTCTTTTTCATTTATCATCGTTTTTTTTTCTATATATTTCACATTGTAAATTCTTTTTTTTTATATACGCTACAAAATTGATTTAACAGAATTGAATTTTCTTGTTTTTTCCACTATTCTCCGTTGAATAATAATAATAATAATGACAATATAATGTAATGTTGACTCAATTGAATATTTCACTTTTGCAATATAATAATAATAATAATAAAATAAAATGAAAGTGAAAAATGAAAAAAAATTCCCAGAAAAAAATTTTTCCCAATATTTTCATCATTTATCATGAATAAAATGTGGCCAGGTATGGTATGGTATGCTGTTGTTCAGTGGATATTTCACAAAAAGAAATTGTGGATTTTCCCCACTTGGTTTGTTTGTTTTTGTTTTCGAAGCTGATACATATGGTATGGTATGGTAGCTTTTCCACGATGGACGAATAGATTGGTTTTGGCTGGATGGTGTATGGCCGATTTGAGATATTGTAAGCTTTCAAAGAAAAAAAAAGTTAATCCCATTATTTTAGTGAATTGTTTTCGAATCCTTTAAACAACGATACAACGATGATTATATTATGATGAGATATGGATATTTGTGTGTGTGTGTAATATAAAATGACAACGAGGATGATGATGATGATGACAATGTCATAAAAAATAATAAAAATAACTTTTGCCAAAAAAAAAAAATGATCATCATTCAGGATGATGATGATTTTATCCTTTTTTGAATTTGATCAGTTTTTTTTTGTTTTCTAATATTTTCAACCATCCATTCTGTATTTAGTTATTTTCCATTTTCCATTTTTTGTTTTGTTTTGTTTTGACATAATATTTGTTAATAATAATAAATAACAACGACCATAATAATAAACTATACTATTACTGCCAATTTCATCATTGATTATCCTCAATAGATCCTGTTCGTTTTCATAATTCTTGCAAAAACACAAAGTGAGTGAGCGAGTGAGAATGAGAATTATATTAGGTTTTCGAGATATGGCCAGAAATTTTATTTTTGGTTTTATTTTTTTTTTTTTTTTGTTTCGTTCCAAATGATTCCACCATATGATTCGATATACATGTGCAGCAGCAGCAGCAGCACTGTTGGTGGTGATGATAATGATGAGCTTATGATGATAATGTTTGGCCCATTTTTAGTCATACAAATAATATAATAATCTCAAACCGATTAATCATCATCATCATCATCATCAATAGTAACTGTACTTTTGGTTTGTGTGAATGTATGTTATTCTTTACAACAACAACAACAAAAATCAATGATATGATTGATTAATTGATTCTAGATATAATTTCAATTTCCCAGACACACACACACACACACGAAAAAATCATATCACAAATATTGAGATTTTCTGATTATAAAGCTGTTTTCGTTGCTGTTGTTGTTGTTGTTGTTGTAATCATAATATTTCTTTTTTTTCATATTCAGGCATCTGCTACTGATTTTTGCATATTTCTACATTATTTACGCATTCCATTCATTTTTTTTCGTTGTTGTTGTTGTTGTTGTTCATCGTCATCATCGTTACGTGTATTCAGGTGCAAACGTGGTATTGGTGTTTGTGTGCGTGTGTGTATTTAGTTCATAACTTTTTATCTAGTGTATGCAAATGTTTCATAAGTATAAGTGTTTGGTTAGATTATTTTATCGATAAAATAATTTGATTATTACGCTCGAACAAATATTATTTGCCGTTTGAAGGTCGATAAAGAGATGTGTGTTTGTTTGTTCATTGTTCAAGGTTTTTATTTTCGGGAATAAAGTCCAGGAATTTAGCATGATGATCATGTTTCAAGGATCTCTATTATTTTTTCTCTGTTTTTTTTTTGGTTTTCATTTTAGAATCACTATCACTATCCTGTGTGTGTTCAAAAACATTTAATTATTCTTGAGTGTTGTTTTGTTGTTGAAAATCAAGAATTCGAATGAGAAACCGAGAAAAAAACCTTGTATCAGAATCTTTTTTTTTGCTTTCAATCGATTTTTCCAATGAAACACAAATCATCATCATCATCAAAAAAAAACTGTTGAAAGAAAACGTGCCTTGTCTTGAAAAAAAATCGTTATGGATCATCTTGAATTTCAATGAAAAAAAACACAGAACTCATTCCAGAATCGAATGTTTCCCGTTTTAACAAGGTCTAAGAACTAAAGCCGACTATCAGCCAATCAGTTAATCAGTTAGTCAGTAAAAGTATGACGCCATAAATGTTGAACGAAACGGAATGGAAATAAAAAAAAAAAAATTCAATCTAACATTAATGAACAAATGTAATTTGAACTATAGAACACATCGTCGTTTGTGAATCATGTATTTAACCCTGCCAATAAAAGGAAGGTAAAGTTTTTCATTACATTTATATATAATATATAAATAAATGTAATGTAATTTGATTGCGAAAATTTTCTTTTCACTACTTTGATTTTTTTTTATTTTATATTTTATTCAATTTCATTTGAAATCGGAAATGTTTACTGTCGTCATGTGTGTGTGTGTGTGTGTGTGTGTGCGTTTGTTTCAAATAAAAAGAAAACTGGAACAAAGCAACATTGAATTCCGTATATTCAGTATGAAAAGAAAAACTAGTAATCGAATGAATGTATGTCAAATTCAAACGTAAACGAAATCTAAACAGAATCGAAATGATGATGATGATGATGATGATGACAATGATTATGCCCAGTTGAATTCCTGTTTATGCAAAAAAAAAAATTGTGTGTATGTATGTGTGTTTGGCTGTGTAATAATCACGAATTTGTTTGAGTGAATTTTTTTTTTTTAAACCACCACCGTCACCACTACCGTTTGTTTGTTTTAGAATAGAATAGAATAGAATTATAATTGGAACCAGAATGTGAAAATAAAAATAATAAAAAAAAATCTCTTCACTTATATAACTCATCGATATATATGTGGTGTGGGTGTGTGTGTGTGTGAACGAACAAACGACCACTAGATGCCATTCATTCATTCATTCATACATTTAAATGCCAATCTATGTCACATATCATATATTATACAGAATCTTAAGGAATCCTTAATATAATAAAATAAATGAATGTACCGTTCCAACATGAAACTGTAAACATTATCATCATCAATGGAAAAAAAAGTACAGACAAAAATATGATCATTTTTTTTCATTTCATTTTCGTTCACATTCAATGTATATGTGCAAGTATTCATTCATCGTTTGTATTTTTTTTTTTTTTATATTTATTCTTCTTCTTTCATTTTTTTTTCTGGTGCATCCAACCAATCAGCCAACCCATCAACCAAAAAGAACCAAACAAAATACACACACATACAAAGCCGATTTCAATCTTCGAATATAAATCTTTTTTTTTTTTTTTTTGGTGAATCTTGTGTGTGTGTGTATGTGTTTCATTTGAGAACACGCAATCGGCGTCCACCAACAACCAACGATTCAACCAAGTATATATACCACCTCTGCACACACACACACACACATTGTTCAAAACGGTGTTTTTTTCTGGTCCATTTTTTTCTTGTATATAGAATCGTGTGTGTGTGTTTATGTGTGTGTATTGGGATGTATTTTTTTCTCCCCACATTAAATTTTCGTTCATCATCATCATCATCATCATCATTCTTGTCTATTTTTTCGGTAGTAGTGTTGTATATTATCTGCTTTAAGGTTCGTTTAGTTAGTATTTTGGTATTGCGTGTGTTTCTGGTATCTTTTTCATTGGTCTAGTGTGAGTGTATCCGAACACATTCATTCATTTTCTTTGCCCGTTGGCCCTAACGTGTGTGTGTGTGTATATGTGTGTTTGTGTATTTCATATTCTTCTTCTTCTTTTGGTTTTTCTCTTTTTTCCAATTTTTTTTCCTTTCGCTTCGGTTATTTCATTTCTTGTTTCATTTTTATTTTTATTATTTTCTGTTGTTCACTATTACGATTACTATTGATGCGCACACATAAATCGAACGAGAAAAAAAAATAATTTCATTCTCAATATACTTTTTTTTTTGTTCGGTTGATTGGTGGATTCTACTTTTTGTTTTCTGTTCCATTATTATTGTATTTTTTTCATCATCAATTCCAGAAAACAACAACAAACAACAAGGTTTGTTTTATCGATGATGTCTATATTTGGTTGTTGTTATTATTATTGATTTTGCTACAGAAAGATAACAATAATAATAGAAAACCTAATAGACATATATCAATATATCAATATCGTATACAGAATATGAAGAATTAGGCATACGAAACGGTAAAAATAGTCTGGATAAAAAACCATCATCATCGATAGATAGATAGATCTGGGTATTGAGCCACCACATCGATCGACATTTTTTTTTTCGTTCTTCATCATTTCATCGATTCTGTTTTTCCATCACAAACATTGAAAGTTTTATTATTTCAACAAACAAATTTCATTTGATTTCGTTGGATCATCATCATCATAATTTTTTTGTTTTTGTTCAAATTTCCAATGTTGTTGTTGTTGTTGTTTTTATTCGTGTGTTTACAAAAAATAATGTTGTTTTCATGAATCAACGAAAACAAATTATTTCACCTTTTTTTTATAATTGTGTCCACAATTATTGTCTATCTATCTGTTTGGTTGTTTGATTGTTGTTGTTGTTGACTAATTTTATTTTTTGATCATTTTGTTGAAATTTCTTGTTTTGTTTTGTTTTGTTTTTGCAACTTTTCAAATATCGAAAACACAACAACGGACTCCAAAAACCAATTCAATCAATCAATTGATCAACAACCCTAATTTTTTTCGTTTAATTTTTTCATTTTCACAGGAAAAAAAAATTTTTTAATTTCAATCAATCAAATGAAAAAAAACCGGTTCAATCTTTTGCAAATCCAAATCAATTTCAACACCATTTTTTTACAGTATAGATGAAAAGAAAAGTTCACTAGTTCCATCCGAAAAAACACCGCAACACAAATTTCTCTCTGCTTTCTGTGTGATGTTTTCGTTTTTTTTTTGCTGGTAATAACAATAATAATCAAAAAAATTAAACGAAACAAACAATGTGTGTGTGTGTATGTGTGTGTTTAGATTATTAACGCGTTGACAACGACATGAATTTGGATAATAATAATTACCAAATAGCCAACATCATAATAAATTGAAATATACCATTATCACCATTGTTAACGACAACGACGACTACGACAACAACAACAACGACCAAGGATATTTTATCTCGACATTACCAGTTGACTCTTATATTATAAACATCATCATCATCATCAGTGACAAAAAAAAAGAAGAAATCACATTGAAAGCAAACAACCAACCAATCAACCGATCACATCCTAAACATCAACTAGCAAAAAAAGCCGCTCGATCCGATTGAATTTGTTTAATTGTGACCAACTTTTAACATTTGCTTGACACACGTGATGTTTCATTTTTCACAATATTATCATCATCATCATCGACGACGACGACGACGACGACAACGACTCCGTTATCGAATGTATTGTTTTGTGTAATGATAATGATGATGATGATAATAAATAATTAGAAAAAAAAACCAGCAGCATATATATATAAAAACATATACATACATATATATACACACACACATTGAAAGTGTGAGTAGAAAAGTGATGGAAAAAAAATTATGGAAAGATTCATTTGATTTTTTTTTACTTTTGATCCAATGGTTTTGATGTTGTTGTTGTTGTTGGATAATTAATAATAAAAAACAATATCGTCATCATCATCATCATTATAATTTGGATCCTGATTGCAAATTTTACCATTGTCATATATATTTTTTTTCTGTTGAGTAGATTGAAATTCATTTTTTCTTTTCATTTTGACTATTGTGTGTGTGTGTGTATATATGTTTTTTTGTGGTTGACTGTCTGGTTGTGATTTTCAATCTCCTGTTTTTTTTCACATTTTCAATTGTAAATGTTGATGATCATATCATAAATTTATCATCATCATCATCGTCATCATAAAGAACACATTGAGGTAGATAAAGAAAACCAGACATCAGAACGGATCAAACGATAGAGGTGTGTCATTGTGTGTATTGTATTTGTTTGTGTGACCGATTGTGATCATCATCATCATCATCATCCACGTAATCAATTGTGGTCGATTTTTTTTCTTTCTTTATTTCAATCAAATCAAATTGAATCAAAATTTAATTGAAATTGAAAATCGATTATTGAATTGACCGAAAATTTTTTTTTGTTTCCTCCATAAACCATTGTATATTTCATTCAATTGATGAACAATTATTTTGTTATTTCTTGTGTTTTTTTATTATTTTGAAATAATCATTACAACAACAACAACAACAAAAATCATATCCATCGATAGATCGTTAATCAATCAATCAATTCATTTCTGGTTTGCGTGTCAATAGTGAAAAAAAAACCAACCAACCAATGTGCAATACATTTGTATTGTAAATTCACATTGTATGTGTGTGTGTGTGTGTGTGTGTGTGTGTGTACGTTGATGATCATCATTTCAATCAAATATTTATTTGTTTGTTTCGTTTCATCACGTAATCATTTATGAAATTGATTTTTTTTGCCATTTCTTTATATTTATATAATAATAAAATCCAATTGGATCGTCTTATCATTCAATCAATCAATCAATCATCATCATCCAATTAATTAGTTAATTAATCAAATCAAATCAATACGATAAATCGATATATTTATTTATTTGTCCATTTTGATGCCGGCCAGCAACGCGCATGATTTTTGAATCTAAAAAGAAGAAGAAAAAAAAACAACATTCAGCTAATTTCATACTTTGACCTATTTATTTGTTTATTTTATTATTTTTTTTTGAAATTCATTGCTAATTATCATCATTGACCAATCATCATTATTATCAATATATCAAAAAATGAGTCATCATCCTAATTACGAAATACCAGCCGAATTAAATAATTTATTGATCGATTTCACTGTCAGTGTATTGGTTAATCGACCTGGTGATCTGATTGAATATGCGGCCAATTATTTTAATCGGCTTCTAGATGAACGTCGTAATAGTGCACCAAGTAATCATAGTCTACAAAGTAATCATTGTAATGAAGATGATAATGATTCAACATCAAGTGACATAAGTATGTTTTTTATTCATCATTTTTTTTGTACTTCTTGTTACCAATTAACCAATTAATCAATACTGGATGCCGAAAATTTTTGGCATTTTTTTTGCATTTATTTTTGTTTAATGGCTTGTTGTTGTTTTTTTTTATAAATAGAACCACCAGCACGATTGTCTTTCACTCGCCGTAAATCAGTATTTGCCGAACATTATGATCCTGAAGAAGATGAAGGTGATACTGAACAGGTAATTTGTTCTGTTTGCTAATAATGATGATGATGATCATCATCATGTGATGTGTTAATGAAAAACAAAACTTTTTATTTATTTATTTATTTGTTTTATTTTTGTACAAAGATATTCTATCCAAAAAGTGATGAACAAAGGCAACGTCTTGGTGAAGCTACCAAGAATATTCTACTATTTCGATCTCTTGATCCTGTAAGTTTTTTATGATACTGAGATTTCACCAAAAAATAAAAAAAAACCGATGACGACGACTATTTCGAAACTTTTCCATTTATCTTTTCCATCCATCTATATATTCATCTACTTATTTCAAAAATCTTTCGCAACTAATTTTTTGTTTTCATTTTTTTTTCTTAGACTGACATGAACGAGGTTATTGATGCAATGTTCGAACGAAAGGTATGTTAAAATACAAAACAAAACAAAACAAGAAATCAATTTTCATTGTTAAAAAAATGATTACCATTTCCGATCTCATCGGAATTGGACAAAAGAAACAACTAAATAACAAAACACACACACACACACGATAATGGATAATTAATTATCAATCAATAATTCCTATTTCTATTCTATTATTCAATTTTTATTCCCATACATTTCGTTTATGAAAATCGAATGGAAACAAAAAAAAAAAAAACAAAATGTTCGAATCAATCAAGGTCGAAGCGAATGAAGTTGTTATTAAACAAGGAGATGATGGAGATAATTTCTATGTTATAGCCGAGTATGTATCATTCTGTATTTGTCTTGTGTGTATTTGTATTTGTGTCTGTAATTGCACATTGATTTTGATCACTAAAAAAAAATCGATTCTCGATTATAATGAAATTCATTGATCGTGATTCATTTATTATTTATGTGTTTGTGTGTGTGTGTGTGTGCGTGTGTGTTTTCGATTTATTATTATTATTATTATTCTTATCATTTTATTTTTATATTTTTTTTTCTTCTTTTTTTTTGATGATCAAAACACAAAATAAAATAAAAATAATTGTAGTGGCACGTTTTCAATCACCGTTGCCAATGATGATGGTACCGAAAAAGAGGTTGGCAAATATGTCGGTTCCGGTAGTTTTGGTGAGCTTGCATTAATGTATAATATGCCAAGAGCGGCAACTGTTCGTGCCGTAACTGCCGGTTCACTTTGGGCAATGGTATGTATCATCAATTTTTTTTTCACCATTACAAATGATAATTTATTCTGATGCATCCACTCTATATAAATATACCCAACCATACCAACCACCCACCCAACCACCCACCTCCACTCTGTTTACTTCATTATGATGATGATGATGCGGATGACGATGATGTTCATAATTGTCATCATTATTATATCTCACACATCATATAATGGTTTCATTCACTTTCATTTATTCAATTGTTGGATAAATGAAAAAAAAATACACATCCATTACATCCTTTTTTTTCATGTATTCTTAATGTTTTTTTTTCCAGAGCCGACAAACATTTAGAAGAATTGTATTAAAACGGGCTTTCATGAAACGTAAAGAATATGAATCATTTATTGAAAAAGTTGAAATTTTTAAATTTCTTGAGGTACGTAGGTAGTCATCATTATCATCGATTTTTTTTTCAATTCTAATTTTGTCAACATTTTCTCTCCTCTTTGCATTTTCTACTGCCGAAACCATTCGAACCGGCGGCAAAAAAAAAACAAATTCAATTCAATTCATGCTTACCTGTATAGTATTATGAGAAAATGTCACTAAGTGATGCATTCATGGCAAGATGTTATAAAAATGGAGATTTAATTATCAAACAGGTATTTATATATTCTTATTAACTTGCTTACTTGCTTATCATATTATAGGATTTTTTTTTTTTGATTTAACATTTCATAATTCTAATTATTAATTCATTTTTCCATTATGACAAATTCCTTTTATAGGGAGACCAAGCAGATGGTATGTACTTTGTACAAGAAGGTATTGTCCGCATCATCAAAGAAGTAAGTGTTTGTTTGCTTGTTGATGGCCTTGGCCCGTTTTTTTTGTTTTGTTGTTAATTTCAATGTTCATCATGATGACGATAATGATTTTTTTTGTGCAATTAACTAGACCAAGTTTTTGCCGTATTACGTCATCATTCATTAAATATTAATTATTACCCGGTTTGACTAATTTGAATTTTTTGTTTCCTATTTTTATTTATCCGATTACAAATGAATTTGATTTAAATCTGATTGGAAATAAAATCAAATAAAAAACCAATAAAAAAAACCAAAAATAAAAATAGGAAAACGGACAAGAACAAGAATTATCACGTGTAGAAAAAGGTGGTTATTTTGGTGAATTGGCATTGATAACGAAAAAATCTCGTGCAGCCACCGTTTATGCTGCCAGTGCTGAAGTGAAACTTGCATGTAAGTTGTTCATTTGAACAAAACAAAATAGAAAAAATTGAATTTAAAAATTTTCATTTTTTTGATTCAAATTCATGAACAGTTTTGGATGTATTAGCATTCGAACGTTTATTGGGACCATGTATGAATATTATGAGACGTAATTTTAATCATTATGAAGATCAACTAGTCAAATTATTTGGTTCAAAATCCAATGTTACCGATCTAAGATGAACTTATTTTTTTTCCTTCCCTTCTTCTTCTTCTTCTTCTTCATTTATTTGATTCAATGACGATCTGTCCAAAATTTTGATTATCATCATCATCATCATCATCACCATCGTCATCTTTATCATCCATAATGTCATTACATTTCAACAACAACAACAACCACAAAAAAAATTAATTAATTAATCAATTATTATTATTACAAGTAAATAATTGGCAAATTTGAATTTGAAATTTACAATGTGCCAAAAAAATAATGATGATAATTTGACAACTAATAAACGCCAGAAAGGATTCACACACACACACACACACACCACAGACACACAATTTATTTCAATCGAACAAATTCTTTTTTTTTCATCAGAATGACAGATTTTTATTTCGACAAAACAATTAAAAAAATTCCAACGATAATTACACAATACAGTAAGATGAATAGCTTCTTCTTTATTCTTTTGATCGAATTTTTTTTTTTTCGTCTCATCAACCAGTTGTTATTCGTCCTTTTTGTTTTCTTCAAAAAAAAAACCGATTACATAAACGAATTTGTCCTGACGTTCAATTCAATTTTTTTTTGTTTTTGCTAGAATTTCTATTGTTCTTCTATTCTGATTTACATTTTCACATCATCATTTGGATTTTATTTTTCTTTTTTGAATTTATTTTTTCATCCATGGCCATCATAATCAATCATTGATATCAACAAATATCCAGGAAAAAAACATAAACGCCCACAAACACACATCCACACACACACATCGGAATACGAAAATATTCCTGTTATAATTTATAATTCATAAGATCATCATCATCATTTTATTTTTGTTTTTAAAATTTTTAACATCAACATCAACATCAACAACAACAACAACAAAAATTCATATTTCAAATTCAAGAATTATTTATATCAAAATACTATTTTAACTTTATTCATTTATCATCAAAACACACACCCACAATGGCAAGTGGATATAGAAAAGAATTTGATTTGTATTCTTGTTACACACACACACATCATACAAAAGAAACATTTTACATTCAATTCCTGTTATTAATTTGTTCAATTTATGTTTTCAAATTTACTTATTGATGATGAAGATTATTATTATTGATTATTGATATATTAAGATTTTTGTTATTGATATAAAAATCGTGAGAAAAAAAAAAAAACTGTTGAATGAATTGAAATTGAATATTTGATTCATTTGTAATTTGTGTATCATTTTTTTTTCTTTTATTTTTGTTTTTGTTTCGAAATTCAAAAAAAAACAACGTCCAAAATGGCGAATATAAATCCCAATCCGCCATACATGCAAACATTTCCAAACCATACCAGAACACAAACACACACACACACACTCATCATACTATAAACATTAATATATTTATATAATTCCAAAAATTCATTAATTGTTCTGTAATTCATTAAAAAAACACATACAACAAACAATGAACATGTTGATTTATTCTAATTTCAAACAAAACTTATGAAGAATTAAAACAAAAAAAACCAGAATCCATGATATTTTTAACCACCACCCATTGAGTAGAATAAACACACACACACACACCTACACCCGTCAGCAAGAAATATTTATACATATAAATTTAATGCTGCACATCCGTCGACATATATACACCAGACCAGGCCATTTTCATTCTCATACAAAACAAAAACTCTTCATTTGTACAAATCAATTTGGATTCCAATCCCTGTATTCATTAAAAAAACAAACAAACAAACAAACAAACTATTCAATTCATCTATGTCAAAAAAAAGGAATAAATTAATAAATAAAAACAAATTTTTTTTCTGTTTATTTCAGCAAGTTTTTCTTTCTTGTGTTTTTGTTTATAAAAGAATTTTGTTTCATGACATGACATGAAGCAAAAAATTCAAATTTCAATTTCCACCGAAACAATGACGGTCCAGTGAATATAGTGCGCGCATCAAGTTTTCGGGCCAATTGTAAATTTTTCAATTTTTAAAATTTTCTTTTTTTTTCATTTTTCAATAATGGATTTCAATCAAATTCCTTTTAAATTACGATTTAATAAAACTTTTAAATTATTCAATGAAGTTAATGAGTATATGAATGAATTGGATAGGATTGTAAAAAAACGTTTGCATCATATACAGGTGAAAAAAACTATTCAACAAATTTCAGGTAAGATTATTTGAAAGCTATATTCTGATTGTATATAAATTCTGATTTTTTTCGAGAATAGAAGAAAATTTTTTCTACATTGGAAACACATTGAAAATGGTACAAAATTATCTAAAATCAGTACAATGTCAAATTGAACAAGATTCATCGAATCTATTGATGAAACAATTGGATGAAAAAATTAAACAATTTCACGAAGATCAACAAGAATATATGACATTGAAAAATATGAAAAATGTCAACGTTTTAATTAATCCACTTCCTCGATGTTGGAAATGTCTAACATGGAAAAATAATGATGATGTATTCATGAAAACTGCTTCTGGTAGGCTAATTTATATATTTTTCAGATCATGATATAAGAAAATTAATTTTTTTCTTCAAAAAATTTTCAATTTTTTATAGTTCCGATATCGAAACCAAAAAATCCATTCTATGAGCCAAATAATATTCATGCTAAATTATATAATGAAGATGATGATGATCAATATGCAAGCATTGATCATTTATTAAATCTATTTAGGAAACAAAATGAATGTTTGAAACAAAAAATTGCCATTCTTGATGAAACAATAATCACATTGTTCAATAATTCACGTGAATATCTGAAAACTTTGCTCAAAGTAGAAATGCTTTTGGAACAACAACAAGAATGTAACCTAAATGAAGAATCAAAATTAATACAATCGGCAATTATGGATTCGTTTTCAATCGAAGATAAAGTTGATTTTTTCTCCACATCACCAGATGCATTCGAATTGAACAATCCTAACCTTCATATGAGAGTTGTGTTGAAAATTCCAGAAAAAAACTCTATTTAGATGAAATGATAATAAGGTTCGAAACTTTTTATTCAATTATTATTGCAATCATATAATTTGCGAAATTTGATTATTTACAAAATGATAATCATCACATTTGTTTGCATGTATTATATATTGTATTGTTGTGTTGTGTTATACCTTAAAGTTAAATTTTTGTTTGTTTTTATATCGTGCTTTGTGTGTAATATAAAATTAAATAAAACAAATTGTCCAAAAAGAAAAATCAACAAAACTTCTTAACAAATTCGAACAAATATTAAAAACCCCAAAGAAATTGTTGGCCATTATCCAATTTTGTTTTTGTTTTTACACAGAATATCAGCATCATCATCATCATCATAATTATTATTGTTATTATTCCTGTGAGAAACCTTCGGTTTCTTCGATTGCAAAATTTAATTTCTCTACCAATTGTCCATACGATTTATATGGTGGTAGATCTAATCTATTGAAACAGGTATGACTTCGTGGAAGCCAATTTTCTTTACCAACTTTTTCAATACAAAATCGTTGTGGTCCATTAGATCCCATTAGTTCAGCGAATCCACCCACAGGTACTCGGCAGGTGCCTAAATAATAGCAAAAAAAATTTTCGGTAAAAATTCCGATCAGAATATGAATAGGTAATTGGTAAGTGTGACGACCAACCTGTAACGAATTGAAGAAGGCGAGCTCGTTTTTCATTATCACATTCTTCACGAACAAATTGCCAAAACCAGATTATCTGACGCGAATTACGTGTATAATGGCGATAGATAGTGTTTCGTTGCCAATCATCAATGTCGATTTTTTGCATACCGCATAGCAGTAATTCCAATTCTCTTTCATCAAAATAATGTAACCATTCCAATGGTAATACTTCGTTGAATCCATCTAAAAATGCCTTTGTTTGTTCTTCTTGTCCTAGTTTTTTTTAATTTACACAAAATAAAGGGTGGATACATCATTGAGAACTATTGTCAATGAATGAATACATACCTCTACTAAATCTCCAATCAGTCATCAATCGTAGATATTCTTCTTTATTTGAATCATCGACACGTTTATCTGCACCACCTTCGCACAAATCATGTGATTGAATTTGGCCTAAAACCTCAAAATCAACCGAGAAATATAGCTCAAGACCACATTCTTCAACGGAATTCTCCCTATAAAATTGAGAAAAATCAATATATTTTTATAGATCACGATAATCGATTAACTTACTTGATCCATTTTAATGAATTATAAAATTCTGGGTCAATCGATTCAATATCTTTCATGACTAATTTTTTACCCAACATTCGTTTATAAAATGGTAATGTAAATCCTGAGTAAATAAATTTTCCGTGGAAAAGTGCCTATTTTAATGAAAGAAAATTAGAACTGGAAAATGTAATAAAAATTTAAAATACCATAGCAATGAATCTTCCGATAAAACCAAAATTAAGAAGATGATCTGGATTTACTGAGCTGGCCGGATTGATTTGCAATGAATAGTTATTCTTGCTAGCATATTCAAATAGACAATACATTGGATTCAGGACCTGATTATAAATGGACAATAATTGATTAGAACAAATTCAGTCAGGAATTTTAACATACCTCATGTGAAAGCAGGAAAAACCATTCACGAGCAATACCACCATAATCTAGTCCTTCTTCACTTTTGAATGTGATAAACAAACGTCTTCGTAATTCATGTGGTTGAACGCGCATTATTGCATGGAAAGAATCCTCGAAAATATTATTCCGAGATACTTGAACTTTGATATGACTTGGTAGAGCATTATACAAACATAGATAACGGAATTGTGTTAATTTCCACCTAAATGACCGTTCATAAGCCATAGGAACGCCATATTGACCATTGATTCGTCTTGGATCTTGATAAGTTGTTGTTTTTGTGTTATGGTCAACAAAATACACTTTTCCTTCTGGTGTGTCTTTGATTTCCCAACCTTGCGGCAATGGTATATCGGCTAAATTGGGCGTTTCTTTTCCTTGTGTTCGTGGATCTTCCCATTGTGTTGTCTTTCAAGAAGAGAGAGAGAGAGAATTTTATGGACTCAGTTTTTTCTTATGATCAAACTTACCTTATTTTTGTGATTAACAAAATAAACTCGACCACTTTGATCGATACGTTTCTCCCAGCCATCCGGCAATGGTTGAGCATCATCTTGGGATTCTACCGCTACTTGACCATTTGCATTTCCATTGGTCATGTTCCATGATGAAGCATTCGATTGATCATAAAGGAATCGTTGACCACATTGTTGCATCACTGAACCTTGTTGAGCTTGCCAATGTTGATAATTACGAACATGTTCCGGGGTTGGCCGTTGCCATGTCGTTGTTCTTGTGTTATGATCAACATAATAGATACGACCTTTATTGTCTTTCCGCATTTCCCAACCATGTGGCAACGGAGTGGGACGTTGCCATGTTGTCGATTTTGTATTGTGATCAACATAATACTTTCTGTGTGTGTTAATAGAAAATACATTGAAGTAATTTAACTTTAAATGACTTTAAAAAAATATATTTACCTTCCGTATGTGTCGAAACGGATTTCCCAACCATGAGGTAATGGTTCTTCTATTTGCGTCATATTGGACCTTTGAGTACTTTGCTGTGGAGCACTATTTGTTGCCGTCGTTGAAGTTGATGGCTGATGGTCCGTTGGATTATTATCGTTTGTTAAAGTCGATTTTCTTGATGGACTCGTAATTTTTGAATCACTGCCAATGGGCGTTATAGTTCGATTATTGTTTGAAGAATTTGGTTGTTGTTGTTGCTGCTGTTGTTGTTGTGAAGAAGAATATGGATCATTCAAAGACCATTTGGGTAATGATGATGTAATCTCGGCGATAACATTCGATGTAGAGCTTGTACCTGGTTGTTGAACATCAATATTGCAACTATTTTGATCATTATTTATACTATTATTATTATTAGTATTTGGTGTATGATTGCCAGTGTTATTGGCCATAGGAAATTGATTCATATCAATCGATATACCATCTATTGATATGAAAATATAATTTGGACCACGATTTGATAATATCGATTTCGTAACATTTTGTGTAGAAGAAGGAAGCTTGAGCGATAAAGGAAAAGACACATTATTGATCACTCCATTATTCTTTTTAAGAATATCATATAAATCAATGAATGTTTCGCCAATAAGCACATCTTTTTTCAATGAATTGTGATTGAATATACGAAATTTTACATGAGTGTATGGTGTTATAGACCTTTTTTCGAGAATAATAATGAAAAAGAATTAAAATAATCAACATTTTCGATTGATATTTAACTTACAAGTAAAATGTTTCGTTCCATTCTGGATTATTAGTAGATCGTTGATAATTGGTCTTATAAACAGGAGAATTATCCTGTACAATCACAATATATGGATCTGGTTTGAAAACTGATGTAGTAGACAATTGGCCATGTAAAACTTTGAAAAAAAAACAAAAATAAAAAAAAATGATAAACTATTCAATTTAAAAACAAAAATTGCTGAGATTCCATACCTTTTAGTTTTAATTGAAATCTATTTTGAGACATTTGATGAATAATGATTAATAACCAACTATAATTGAACAAATGAAAAAAATGTGGATGAAAAACAAAGAATTGTCTCTTTGACCTAATTGATGAAATTGTTGAATAAATGAATGGAAAATGATGAAATGAAAATGACGACGATATAAACGATGACTATGACAATGATGACGTTGAAGAATTTTATAGAATAATAATAATTACCATCAAGGGCACAAAAAAATTTTTTGGTTTAATATCGATGTTCGATTATTGAAAATTTAAAAAAAAAAAATAATAATAAAAAATAAACACACCAAACAAATACACTCGAATCGAATCGAACCGAGATAGAGAGAGAGAGAAAGAAAGAAAAATTGAAACGCACAAAAAAAACCGATGAATCAGCTGAGCGTTTGAATAATAATTTTCGAATTTTTTTTTGTTTCTCTCTAATTAATTGATTTGTATTAAAAATTTTGTTGTTGTTGTTGTTGTTGTTGCTGTCTACAAAAATTTACAATTCAAGTGATAAAATTAAAAATAAATGAATGATTTTCAGTCGATGATTTTTTATCATTGTGATTTTTACAATTTATATTATTATTATTGTTGTTGTTATTGCCGGAACGCCTACGTTGAACATTTATATATCATATATATATTCATTATTCATTATCGTTTTCTTATCATCAATATAATATATAAATCTTATTATCCTTGTAACCAAAACGACGACAACAAATAAATAACAAAAAAAATCTATATCATTTTCAAATTGATTATTTTAATCATTAAATGATGATGATTATTAATGATAAACTTACGTTTTTTTTTAATTTAAAACGAATGATGATCCAATGGACACTATAACAACAACAACAACAATTACTGTCTCTCACAGGAGAAAAAAAATGATGATGATTTTCTTAAAAAGCTTTTCTTTTTTTTTCTTCTAGTCAAAGTTGTTCCATTCAATCGTCAACTATGGCCTTATCCATCCAGTATAGAAAAACAGAGAGATAGAGAGAAAACAGAAAACTTGCTCCAAACTTTGTTTTGTTGTTATTATTATTATTGTTGTTGTTGTTGTTGTTGTTGTCGCAATATATATATACAAGTTTACTGCTAATATGGACTTGTGATATGTGTGTGTGTATGATATGTGCTCATTGTATACCATAATGGAGAAACTTTTTCAGAAATCGAATCTGATCATCATTAGATAAATAACATTTTTTTCCCGGGAATATTTCCCGTGGTTTTTTCTTTATAATTTTTTTTTATTGTTGTTGACAATATTTGTTGCTTTTCTCTTTTTGAAAAAAAACTTGAATTTTTCCATTTTTCTGCCTTTCTCTAATGCGCTCATCATCCATCCATCCATCATCATCAGGTCCCGTTATTTGTTTGAATAACAAGCAAAAAAAAAATATGAAAATTTTTTTTAAAAGAGACCTGTAGACATGGGGTAATCAAAAAAACAAAACAAAACAAAAAAAAGACTCATAATCATCGTTCGCTCCATTAATTTAATCGCCATTCCAAACACACACACACACACACACACCAAATGGATTTTTCTGGTTATTGTTTTTTTTTCACTCTTTTTTTTGCAATTGTCAAGTTTCACTTTGTTCCATATGGTTAGGTTGTATGCAGAAATAAAGAAAAAAAATTTTTTTTTCTTGTTGTTTCTTGTTGTTCCAATTTGTTTTCTTCGAATCACCATACTGATGATGATGAATTTACAATTGTCATCAATGATTATTGTTGTCATTATGGTCCAAGTCAAATTATGTACCACTTTTTTGTTACTCATGATAATATTATGATTGAATTGTTGTTTGTTGTATGATCCTAAAAAAAGAAAACAAAACAAAAAAAAAAACAATCATCATTCGTACTAATTAGATTAATTTACATATATTGTAATAATATGAACAGAACGATGAAGAAAAATTGAAAAAAAAACAATCAATTCAGATCAGAAATGAGTGAATACAAACTTTGGTTTTTTCTTCTCCCCCTCCCTTCCCCTCCTTTCCATCATCACCATTACATTCATTTTTTGTTTCTACACCAAATTTAGGTTGCGCCAATTGTTGTTGTTGTTGTTGTTGTGATTAAATTTAGATTTTTTTTTCTTGTGTTCAACTCTTGTGCAAATTTTGCTTGTTGTTTTTTACGATGGTTGGCATTTCCATAAATTTTTGTTTTTTTTGTTTTGTATTATTTCATGCAAAAAACAAATGATGATTGAAAAGGAAAAAAAGGATCATTATATCATATCATCATTATCAAATGGAATCAAATTCCGTTTTCATTGAAAACGGTAGATTGTTTATCGTCGTTGATGATGATGGTGAGCATCCGTTTCCTGTTTGATTTTTTTTCCTATTCTTCTTTCGATATCATCATCATATATTTTTTTTTGTCGTCATCGATTTGATTTGAAAATGAATTATTCTTTCTACATATATGCAAATTATGATTTTTAGTTTGGACGTTGATTTCAATATTTTACGTGATGGTGGCGGTGGCGGTGGTGATTTATATCAGACATAACAGGCAACAATAATGCGCTAATCTATAGTCTGATTTATTATTTTGTTGTTTGTTTGACATAGACAAATTTATTGACACTTGTGTGTAAATGATATGATGATGATGATGATGTCAAACATTCAATAATGATGGTAATAATTGGTTTCCTTGGTTACCATCAATGAATGATTGAGAATACAAAATTTGTCCTTCAAATTGTTTCAGTGGTAAAATTGGTGCCAAAATGAATTAAAAGTGGAATGGATGATGACAATCAAGAATCGAAACAATATTCAGTAACACAACATTTTTAAGTGCAACAACTGATTTTTTTTTTCACTTAAGCTTATCAAACAAAAAACAATGATTATTCTGATGATTGCCAGGAATAGGTTGTTGTTTGTTGATTTTTTTTTTTTTTTGGTTAGATTTATGTCATATTCTGTTCTTTCTTTCTTTCTTTCATTTTTTTTCTAACCCAATTGCAATTTTATTTAGTGAATAAAGCTGAGTGTTTGATATTATTAGTTGATTACAGAATTATACACAGAGTTAAAATTTCCTTGTTGTTGTTATTGTTGTTGTGGTTTATGGGTTGTTGCATCACGATGATGACAGAATGTCTATTTTTCTGATAAACATTATGATTCTGGCAGAAAATCATTTGAAAAGAATTCAAATGATAAAAAAAGAATCAAACGGAAAGACTGTTACATAGCTATAAATTATAAAAAATCATCATCATGTTTCTGTGTGTGTGTGTGTGTGTGTGTGTGCAGAAAGAAATTCGAATCAAACTACTATCGATATTATCGATAGTATATCATTCATCATGGACGTATCATTTTATTCAAAAAACAAAACAAAAAAAAAATTCTAATGATTACGTGGCGGGAGTAGCCAAACCAAATGATAATGATGATGATCAAAACAAACACCATCATTCATGTTATATTTTGGATAATGATTCATAGTTTTTTACATTAAATGTTTGCAATCATGATGATGATGATGATACAAACACTTCAATCAACGAAAGTAAACCCGAAAAAAAAACTGATATAACTTTTGGAAACCGTTGGATTGGGTTGATTCATCATCATCATCATCATCATCAGATCCTTTTCCTACGCCTTCACCAATTCAAAATAAAAATTGATTGCAACAATTTTCTAAAAAAAAAAATGAAACGCATGTAGCAGCTGTATATGATCAGCATATTGTTGGATCGTTGCCATGCGGAGGTAAAAAAACCCGGGTTTTTTTATAAAAAATTAAAAAAAAATCTGGCAAAGCCTCTCCCAAATGCTAGCAACAAAACCAAAACCAAAACCAAAACCAAAAAACGCATCGTAATCAGTTGTCAAAGTCATAATAAAAATCCGATTGGAAACAATCGCATTGTGACAAGTCTTGAATTCATTTTTTCTAATATCATCATCATCATCATCATAATAATTTTTATATAATCCGTACAATCCAATTCTATTGTGACTAATACGGCACACAAAAAAAAATTATATTTTGCGATTACAACGCCACCACCAATACATATAATGATTATCATCATCCACGTATCGAACAAAAGAAAGTATATGCCACAGAAACCACCATATGCATGAACAACAGTGAAAGTTATTCAATTTTTTTTTCGTTTTTGTTGTTGTAGCAGTATGGCGTGGCCATTCATAATAGTAGTAGCATTTATGGTAAAAAAATATAAAAATCACATCCTTTGTGATAGTGATGCTGCTACTACTTGTATCATCATCATCATCATCATCATCAATTGGTAACATTCGAATGATGGCAAGCCCAATATTTATAGCCAAGATATTGCATTGGATTTTTTGAATCTATATTTTTTCGCGATTCGATAGCTAAAGATTGAATGAATTTTTTTTTTTTTTGTTTTTTCTTCATCCGTTTTTGCCTCTTGTGTTTTCTATAAAGAAAATTTTTTTCCATCTTTATTCTTTTCACTGTGTGTTCAAGCAAATCTAAAGCAGAAAAAAAACACATGCACATTTTGTCGTCGTATTTGGTTTTTTTTTCTGGTAATTCATTGCTGCTAGTATAATAACGTCGAAGTGAATTCGAGTCATCAACACACACACAGAGAGAGAGAGAGAGAGAGAGACACTTTGCTGGTTGTGTGGTGGTACGCCTATTGCACACACGCCGTATTTTTGTGTAAAAAAATTTTTTTTTCTCCTATTTTACATCGTTTTTTTCATTATTTCTCTAATCATCATTCTTTCTCTCGGTGCTCTTATATATATTGAAATCAGCCAACAACAACAACAAAAAAAACCGATTTCATTTAAAATCAAATAGTTTTTTTTATCACTTTCATTCTCCTAAAAAGTTAAAATTGTGTATTTGAATTCGCATACACACACACTCACAACCAACCGACAAACAAACTAGAAATCAATCAATCAAATATCATTATCATCAACGAAATTTGAAAAATCCTAAAGTAATTTGAAAACCGCCGAACATTTTTCTTGTTCGTGTCTGTCTTCCCATCTTCTCAAAAGTTTTTTTTTTGTTTGTTTGTTTTCGTTGTTTCATCTTTGTGTTTGTGATTCTTTTGTAATTTTTACCAAAAAAAATAACAAACAAAAGAAAAAAATTCATAACAATCATCATCATCATCATTATATTGCACCAGAACAAACCGGCAACGAACCCGTGAAACGTTTATTTTTGTCTTCTTTTTTTTCGAATAAAATAAATATATTTTTTTCAATTCAAATCCAACAAAAATGTCTTGGCAATCATATGTCGATAACCAAATCTGCCAACACGTCGATTGTACGCTTGCTGCTATAGCCAATATTCAAGATGGTTCTGTTTGGGCCAAATTTGAAAAAGATGATAAAAAGGTATGAATGATTAATCCATAATATTGTTGATTATTATAGTCCTAATCCGTCGACATTGTATACATGTCATCCGGTTGATTTTTTTCTTTTGCTGATTCGATACGATTAATTGTCATGATATATGAATTTTTCTGTGTGTTTGTGTCTGTGTGTGTGTTGTGATTTTTTCTTTTTGGCAACAAAATATCAACAACAGTTACAAATAGGTTATATTTTTAAAAACAACAAATGTCCTGGCATCCTGTGGTAACGATTTTTTTTTTTTTTTTGGTGACGATCGCCATTACAAAACACAGCCATCGCCCAATTATTATATGGCCTATATGAACACAAATATGGATGGGGGATATAAATAAAAAAAAATATTTGTTTGTGTGCTTTGTGTGTGTGTATTTATGACCATAATGATACCATGGCAATGATATGTTTGATGATTGGATCATAGTTATTGAGATGGTGGTATTGAAATTTTGCTGTAATCATTATTATAATAATTTATCATCATTGTCAATCAACCTCGGCCAATTTGAAATGAAAAAAATAACAAGATTGTAAAAAAAAGAAATATTTGCTTCAAATACAAAAAAAACTATATTTTAATAGTTGTTGAATGAAAAATTAATATTTGTATCGATTTCTTTTTGTCATTTTTTTTGATAAATAGATCAATCCTAAAGAATTGAAAACTATTGCTGATACAATCAGACAAAATCCGTCCGGATTCTTAGAGACCGGTATACATATTGGTGGTGAAAAGTATATTTGTATTCAGGCAGATAATCAATTGGTACGTGGTCGTCGTGGTTCATCAGCATTGTGTATCGTTGCAACCAATACATGTAAGTTATTTGTTTTATATTTTTGTCTAAAAATATTAATTTCATCTTTTTTCCGTTTATTTTCACTTTCATGACCACGGAATTTGAACGAATGATCAAATTATCAAATTGGATTCCTTCTGTGATGCTGTAATGTTAAATATATAAAATAAATTAGGCCTTTTAGCGGCCGCAACAGTCGATGGCTTTCCGCCAGGACAACTTAATAATGTCATTGAAAAATTGGGTGATTATTTGAGATCTAACAACTATTGATGAATCAAGCAAATATTGAAAAATTTAAAACCAGCAAACAAACAGAAAAAATTTGTCAAACAATACAAGAAAAAAAACTCAACATCCTTCCGGAAATGCTTCAAAATATTACAAAACAAAACACCGATAACATGAGTCCAAAATTTGCAAAAAAAAACAGAATTCAGATTTCATGAAACAACACACCGTTTTTTCAGCAACCAAAATTTTTTTTTTTCTATAAATCAAAAACAAAAATGATACCATCATCATGATAATTAAATCATCAAAGGAATATGGTGTAAGTGTGTGTGTGTGTGCAAGAATAACTTGAAATTTTTTTTTCAAATTCTTCTCTTGCTCTCATTATTCTTTATTGCTCTCTTTCTTTTTTTCTTGCTCTCACAATATTATTGAATTATAATAATAATAATAATAATTATAAAATATGGATAAATATGATGAATTTTCATTTTTTTTCTCTTTTTTCTCAAAGTTTTTATTGATTTAAAATTCGAATGTGGAATAATAAATAATCAATAATAATAATAATAATAATGATACAAGAATCGTTTTCAATTTCAATACAGAATCGTATGTGTGAAAATTATTTAAAACACATACAAACTTAAGTGCTGCCACGCCCAATCCATTGAATTCTATTTTTGGAATCGTTTTTTTTTCTTTGCTTGTTTGGTGTTGTGATTCGAAATTAACTCCTTTCTTCTCTTTATCATCATCAAAATATTATATTTGTATCAAATCTTGTTTACGTGTTTTTCGTTCTTTATGCTGATGATGATGATGATGATGGTGATGATGATGTCTGGTTCACTATAGAATTTACGTCTTTTTCATACATTCTTTGTTTTGTAATGTAAATCATTTGGTCGATTAGTTTAATTTTATCAATTTTGAAAAAAATGAATAGAATTATCATTTTTGATGTATTACATCCTATATGAATGATTTTGTACGTCATTTTTGTATGATAATTGATTCGATGTATGAAAATTTTGCATGCATGCATGGCTGTTGATTGTGCTGTGTGTGTATAGCACACTGCAGTGTGCTGTGTGGTATAGAAAAAAAAAATTTCCATGAAATACGCATTTCATCCAAATGGTGGCGTTTCTGTTTTTTTTTTTTTTGCATTTGAGATTGGCCCGGATTATAAATGATTTGGATGATGTGTTTGTCTGTGTCTGTGTCTGTGTGTGTATGATGTTGTCGCCATCATCATCAACATCAACATCAACATCATCATCATAAAAACGACGGCGACATTCATATAACAAAACAACAACAACAACAACAACAAATCGGTGGCAATATGCTTGATTGTAAAAAAATTTTTAAAAATAATACTACGACGATTAAAAAAATAATTTTAACTTTGACAAGAAAAAAAGAAGAAATTGAATGTCCAGATAATCATCATCATCATCATCATCACTATTATTATAACGGCAAGAAAATTAAATCAATCGATTGGAAAATTATAGAAATTTTCTTGCTCATTATCATTGTGAGTAGTGGTGGTGGTGGTGGAATCCACGTGGATAATTTTATTGTACATGAATTGTTTTTATTCATTATCAGCTAGCCACCGCCGGTATCATAATTTGAATTCAATATTTTGTTTTTTGATTTAATCGTAAAACGATGATAAACGGGTTTTTTTTATAGATAAACAACGTGAATTTTAATTTTTCTTGCTGTATTTTCCTGTATTGTTCATGATGAAGATTTGTTAAATGGGCTAAATTTTTTTTTTTTTTTTGAATAATTTGGTTAATTACGGCAAAACACACAATGATAATGATAATGAATTCGAATACAACGACAACGACAACAACCAATACTTTACCAATAAATAATACAACAAATGGTAATATCATCAATAGTGGTACTAATAATAATGATCAACAATCACAACAACAACAACAAACAAAAAGCATCGTAAATAATGTTGATGATGATGATATCACTACTAAAGAACTTGGTGATTTACTTAATTTTTTTTCCGGTAGTTCAAGTTCACCATACCGTAATCGTGATAATAATGTTGATTCATTAACCACTAAAATTGAAGAGCAATGTATTCGTTTAATATCGAAAGATTATTCAAAATTTATTGTCATAAAAAATGATAAGGGACAATTATCAACTAGTTATCCATCGAAAATTGTCATTCCTGAAATTGAAATAATCAATAATAATAATAATCATTATTATAAGCAACATGTGAATAAAGATAAAGGTAGTGTTGATTCGATTGATCGAAAAATAATGATGGACCATTTTAATGGTGAACAACAAAAATATCCATCATCCAATACCGTATATAATGGTAATAATAATCAAGTGCCTATTGATGAAGTGGATAATATGACTATTAATGTTCAAGACGACGACGATGATGATGGTTTACGGTTAGATGATGGAAAATTACGACAACTACAACAACAACAACAACAGCAGCAGCAGAAACAGCAACGACAACAAAAAAAATTAATAAATGATAAAAATTTCGCTCATGAAAAATTTGATGTTCATAAACTAAAAGATTTGATAGGAAAAGCACGTGTAGCACGTTGTCGTGCACGTTTTCCAATTCCTGCCATTTTATATAAGAATAAATATATTTGCCGTTCAGCAACATTATCAAGTGCTGCCGAAATATTTGGACGTTCAGTACTGGATTATACATTATTTAATGATAAAAAAAATTATACATCATCACAAATGAATTGTGAAAATATTATCGAAACAATTGTCGACGATGATGATGATGATTTTATTAAAGCAAATTATATTGAAAATAATAATATTGTTGATGATAATGATGATTCACCACCGATTGCCAATAGATTGAATATTGCCGATTCTACTAAATTATTTTCACATTTTCGTAATCAAGATATAAAATTATTAAAATATTTAAATGTCAAGCTTATTTGTGATTTAATGTTGGAAAAGAAAAAAGTTAAATTCGGCATGAATGTTACATCGTCGGAAAAAGCGGATAAAAAGAATCGTTATTCTGATTTCAATATTTTATCACTGCCATATCCTGGTTGTGAATTTTTTCGTGAATATCGTGACAATAGCTATTCAGGTGAAGGATTGATATATGATTGGAATCAAGATTTTGTTGACGCTGAATTTGGTTTTGATAATTCTATTGAAATATCAAAAATTTTAAACCTAAATTTCAATGAATATCGTTCATGGGATGTTATTCGTTTGACACAGAATTATATTAAATTAATGCTTTATTTTCTTAAAGAATTTGATTCATCATTATTGATACATTGTATTTCTGGCTGGGATCGAACACCATTATTTATTTCATTATTACGTTTAACATTATGGGCTGATGGTGAAATACATAAATCGTTAAATGCAGTGGAAATTTGCTATCTAACCGTTGCTTATGATTGGCTTTTATTTGGCCACGACTTGAATGATCGTTTGAATAAAGGCGAAGAAATTATGTTTTTTTGTTTTCAATTTTTAAAATTTATTACTTGTGATGAATTTAGTATCGATCAAATTCAACAACAACAACAACAACGACAATCTGATCAAACGCCAATTGCAATAAATGGATTTGAAAATGATGAAGAAAAAATGGTACGAAAAATTAGTACCGATAGTTTTACATTGTATGAAGATTTTGTTATTGAAAATATTCCAAATAATGTAACATTAAACAGTAATAGTAGTATTGGTAGTTCATCAAGTTTGAATCGTAATAGTATGGTACCGGTAAACACTATTAATGGTATGAATAATAAATCCGAAGATTCATATTCACTTGTATCAACATTTGAATTTGAACAACAAACAACTGTAACAACGACAACAAACATTAAAGATTCGTCATCATCATCATCAAACAATTTGAATATTCATGATAATAATCTAATTGATAATAATCATCATGAATTAAATGATACAGCAGAAATAATATCATCATCATCATCACAACCATCTGAAATGATTGCTACATTAACATTGGATGATGTTGATGATACTGTTAATCATTTTGGTTCACCACCACCACAACGACGACGACGACAACAACAACAACAACAAAATGGTTCATTCAATAATAATGATAATAATTTTTGTGAACATTCAGATTTACATTCATCAACACAACCGGTACAAATACCGAATTCAAATAATCATTATCATCATCATCATCATAATCATCATCATCATAGTGATCAATCACATTCATTATCAAATGGTTCATTATGTCGATCGGATAGTTGGCAATTTGTATCGGAAGCATCAAGCATTATTGATAATCATTCAATTTTAAATCAACATTTTAGCTCACCAGAATCGTTTAGTTCATTGGCCAATGCTAATAATAATAATAATAATAATAATAGTAGTAACAATCGTCATCATTCTAACAGTGGTAATAAAAAATGTCAATCACCATTGAATTTTAATGCAAATTCATCAACACTATCATCATCGTCATCATTATTGATTCAATCAAATAATAATCATCGATCACGAACAAAACGAGGTGAACGTTTACTTGAAGTTCGTTCATTATTTAATAGCGCCTATATGTCAATCAATTCTCATCATCATAATAATGGTGGCGGTGGTAGTGGTGGTGGTTTAGTCACCAATTTTATGGATCAACTTTGTCGTACGGTCAATATTTGATTTTTCTTATACGAATCTTTATCTTGCTGATAATAATCTACAATTTTGGATTTGTTGAAAAGTTTTTTCATTTTTTTTTCTCTCTATCATTGTTTTTCAATTGTTCAATTTTGATCATTTGAAATTATTATACTGTGTTATGAATTTTTTTTTTTTTTTTTTTACTTTCACAGCATTTCATCGAATTTTTATTATTATTATTTAAAACAAAAAAAAAACAAATTTGTTGATTAATTATTTTTTTCACCTTCTTTATATTGATTTTATTCCTTATTAATTATGTGAATTGAATTGAATAAAAAAAAAAAAAGTTTTTCATTTTGTCTTTTTCAATAATTTATTCAAATTATTTTTTGCATTCTTATGGCTTGGATCCAGTCGTAGTGTTTGTCGATAATATTGGATTGCATCCGAATATCTACCGATTCGATGATATAGAACGGCTAAATTATTTGAATAGATTGGATTTTTTGGCCGTAATCGTATTGCTTCATGAAAATGATGTTCAGCTTTTGAAAATTTTTGCAAATATTGGCCACAAATGTTAGCCATTAGAAAATGTAAACTATCATCATTGGATAATTCAGTCAATGCTTTTGTGGCCAATTCATATGCCATATCGAATGATTGGTCATTCTGTTTCATTAGAATCAAATTATGCCAAGCTTTTGTAAATTTTCTATTCAATTCAATGGCACGACGTAAAGAATTTTCTGCTTCTTTGAATTTTTTTTGTTTGATATACTGTTTTTTTTAGCAAATGAAAAGAAAAAATTTGACAAATTAATTTTTCCTATTAACCACAATGGATAATTCTTACCAAATTTCCCATGTTGAAATGAGTGTTTGCATGATCAGGACGAATATCTAAAGCACGATAAAAATAACGTTCTGATTGATCAAAATTTCCTAATGCCATTTCAATGGTTGCTAAATTCATCCAACCAGTTGCAAATTTGGGATCTAATTGACAAGCACGTTGAAGAAGTTGTTTGGCTTCATCCAATCCATCGGGATCTTCTTTCATAATGTTTGCCAAATTATTCAATGCATTTGTATAGTTTTCATAAAGCATCAATGATCGACGATAATAATCAATAGCTTTCAATCGATTGCCCATATCGGCAGAAATTTTTCCAATATTATAATAAATTTTGGCATTTTCCGGACAAATCCGGGCATCTAGTTCGTACAATTTCAATTCATCATTCCAATCTCCACATCGCTATGAATAGTGATTAATTAGATTTCTTAGAAAACAATAAACAATCAAATACTATGACATACTTGATATGTTCGAATAGTAAAAATAATAAGCAACAGGTAGAAAGAATTATTGAGCAATGTCTATGGATAGCAATGAAAAAATATTACAATGAAAAAGAAATTAATCAAAAAAAAAATCTTACACAAAAATGTGGTGCTAATAATTTGCTCAAACGATAATGACAATGAACAAAAAAGGCACAATATCCCAGAATCGGAAGAAATAGATTACGTTCAGCAATAACGAAACCAACTGGAAAAAATATATTCGATGATGGTAAAAATGTAACGATTGTAAACAAAATAAATGGCAATAAATTCGGTGATGAAAAAAGAATTTTGCAAATGACAATTATTGTGATAATCCAGAATAAAATGACCAACAGAAAACGATAATCAACGAATGTTTCGATTAAACGTATACATCCCATTGACCAATCGAATGAAAGCCAAATTGGACAGAGAATGATCACAGTATTCAATAAATAAAAATAATTATAATTGATGAATCGAAATATTGAACTTGTCATATGAGAAGCAGGATTATCCATTCGGCTGAAACGAGGTAATTTAAAATTCATGATCCATAATCGAAGATAAAGAAATCCAACAATCGTAAATAGATAAATAAAAACGGTAGATAATAATCTTAAATGTCGAATATTTTTATCACTGGTTAGCCAAGATTTTAGCCATAATTGTATGATAAGAATCAGAACAAAACCCTAACATGTGATTTGATTATTATGAAATTTGAATTTCAAATAAATTATGTATAATTACCAATATGGTGATTCCTTGCTCTTTGAAAAACATTGATGCAAATGCAAATAATATAATGTTTAATTGAATTATGATCCATTTTATCGATGATTTATGTGAATGTGAATCGTATAGATTGAGATTCGATATGAAAAAATTCAATGAAACCAATGAACATAATGCCGATAATATATCAGCCAATCCTACACAAGTGGATACCTATTATTTGTGTGTAATATTTTATCGATTTATCATTTTTGATTTTTTTTTCATATAAATACCGGTTCACAATGAAGTGGATGTATGGTGAAAAATAGAGTAATTTTCAATGCAAGTTGACGGAATTCTCCATGACATATTAGTCGTGATCTTAACCAATTTTTAATGATTAGATACAAATAACAACAGCAAAAACAATATGCCAATACATTTATACAATGAAATGGAAATGGATCTAAAGATTTAGATGATGATAACGATGTTTGATTATCGATTGCGATAAACTTTGCAATCAAACGATATATAATCACAGTGAATGGCCTATAAGATTTATGGCTTGAATCGGCGTCGATATCTGTGCCCCAAAAATCATGTTGAAATACATTCAATGAAAAAATGTCATCCAAATTTTTAAGATCTCTATTCTTAATAATTGCTTCTTGATCATCAAAAACGAAATCATTTCGTATTGAACGAATAAATGCCAATAATGCAGAGAAAAATATCAACAAATAATCTTTAGGGTAATTCATCTAACAATATGATGAATAAGAAAAATTTCCAATTATAATCAAATGTAATGGATGATAATAATTTCATTTGAATTTCATCATTTTGACATAAAAACATACGCGCGGATAATAAATTTTTTGTTTGATTACATAATAAGAATGATGATGATGATTCTATTTCTACCGATGAGTCATCCATATATTTTTGATTGTTGGATGAAAATTGCTTCCAATTTCATTAAATTTCTCACTACTATACCACTACTACCTACTACCAGATTGCTACTACTTTTATTGTTTCGATAAAAACTATCGATAGTTTTTAAATACATTCATACATATATACAAACATTACAATCGATACTTGGAAACAATGTGCTTTTTTGGCATTTTCAATGTTTGAAACGCATGCGTTAACAAAAAAAAAACCAATAGACCGGTGTGAAATGTTTCCGGTTATGTGTGTGTGTGTGTGTGTGTGTGTGTGTGAGTGAGTTTTTTTTTATGTCCGCTATATGCTTGCTGCTGCTCAAAAAAAAAAAAAAAAAAACTTCACCATACCGAACAAAACCATACACATTTGTAGTGTATATTACCACCATCATCATCAAGTAAAATTCGATTCATTGGCTAAAGGCACTGCATCAGCATTTTGGTGTGGGTAAAAAAAAAAAAAATTTTTCCTCTCTTTCTTCTCTCGCTTATTTTAATACCACATTTACAAAAGTCGTGTGTGTGTGTGTGTGTGTGTGTGTGTTTGTGAAAACAAGGCTAACCATATTCGTTTCGTCAAAATATAAGAAAAAATTGAGATTTTTTTTATAATTAAAAATTATAAAATAGTAAATTATGTCTAATAATGTTGATGAAAGGTATGTGTGTACAAAAAAAAATAATTTTTTTTTTAAATTATACTAATTCTTTATGATGTATTTTTTTCCAGATATAATGATGGCTCCGATGAAAGAAGCCAAAATCAGGCATGTTTTTCTAATAATTTGATAATTAAAATATATAATGGGATTTTTTTTTCATTTTTAAAGATGTTCGCCGATTCTTTTGATCATATGGATTTGAAAGAAGAACTTTTACGTGGAATTTACAGTTTTGGTTTCGAGAAACCGTCCGCCATCCAACAAAAGGCAATCTTACCATGTATTTCAGGCAATGATGTTATTGCTCAAGCTCAATCCGGTACTGGAAAAACAGCAACATTCGTTATCTCCGTTCTTCAACGAATTGAACAAAGCCAAAATGAATGCCAGGCACTCATATTGGCACCAACCCGTGAGTTGGCCCAACAAGTGAGTTGTAGTTATTTTTGAAATCAAATCCTTTCATTAATAAAATGCTTTAATACCAGATCCAAAAAGTTGTAGTTGCATTGGGTGACTATTTGAATATCAAATGCCATGCATGTATCGGTGGAACCAATATCTATCATGACATTAGCACTCTTGAAGCGGGAACACATATTTTGGTTGGTACGCCTGGTCGTGTATCTGACATGATTCATCGAGGCCACTTGAGTAAGTTGCATTGGATATATTGATATTTCATAACTGTAATATATACTATTATACTATACGTTTTATTCGTTTAGAAACTGACAAGATCAAAGTTTTCGTTCTTGATGAAGCCGATGAAATGTTGTCACGTGGTTTCAAGGATCAGATTTATGCAGTGTTTTGTTGTTTGTCTCCCGATGTGCAAGTAATATTGCTTTCAGCTACAATGCCTCCTGATGTATTCGAAGTAACGAGCAAATTTATGCGTGATCCAATCAAGATTTTAGTTAAAAAAGAAGAATTGACACTTGAAGGTATCACGCAATGCTTTCTACATGTTCCTCGAGATGAGGATAAATTGACGGCACTGACTGATCTGTATTCAATTATGACTGTCAGTCAGGCAGTAATTTTTTGTAACACCAGAAAGCGGGTCCATTGGCTTGCTCAGATGCTCAAGGAACAAGATTACACGGTTTCATCAATGGTAAGGACATTTGTATATATTCTTTATTATAACTTTATAGATACAGTGTTAGTCTCGTCACTTTAAAGCATTTGTCTTGAAGATTTTATATTACAATTCTTGATAAATCTGTCGCAGTGACGAAAATTATTTTATGGGATAGTGTTTTGGGTGAGAAAACATTTCTCTAACCCATTATGAATGTATTTCTCAATGACATTATCTACATCTATGATTCTAATGATTTTTTTTATTATATTACAGCATGGCGACATGTCCCAATCGGAACGTGAACTCATCATGCGTGAATTCCGTAGCGGTTCTTCTCGTATCCTCATCACAACTGATCTATTAGCTCGTGGTATCGATGTTCAACAAGTTTCGCTTGTCATTAATTACGATTTGCCTGTAAATCTAGAAAATTACATTCACAGGTATGATTATAAAATCTTTTTTTTTAAATATTTTACAATATAACTTTCTATTTTCAAATTTTTAGAATTGGTCGATCCGGTCGTTTTGGTCGTAAAGGTACTGCTATTAATCTTGTGACTACTGAAGATAGACCAACCTTAAGCCAAATTGAAGAATTCTATCACACCAGCATCAATGAATTGACCGATGAAATCTTAGGAGCTAAAAAATAGACATTGATTTCGAATATACATAAATAGCTCCAAGAATTTTTATCCATATTGTATGTGGGTGTTTATGTGTGTCATTTTGATTTTTAATTTGAAAGCAAACCATTCAAAAATACCAACCATTAAAAAACAAACAAAATAAAATTTAGAAACAACAACCTGTCAATTCGTGGATTCCGTCAATAATTACATAAATACTATACAAACACAGATATACACACACACATACCACATTCATATACAGCTATATTATTTTAAAAACAAACAAAAAAAAATAAACATAATAATTTTAACCAATTTCTTGTGGAAGAGTGTGTGTGGCCATCATTTCTTATTTGCTACTTTTTAAATTATAATTATTAATTATTATTACAATTTATACTATACCAGATATAATTTGCTAATTAAATAAAAAAAAATACATTCATCACATACACAAATCAATTATTTGTTTCAAGCACACACACACACACAAACAAACAAACACACACATTACACTTGATCGATTTTTTTTTCTCTCTTTTTATCGCCTGATTTTTTTTTTTTTTTTTTTTTTTTGATTCTCCTTATTCATTTATAAAATCAAATCAATTCTTATGGTCATTAATCAATTACACATCTACTATTTGAAAATCTGAAATATTTCACCCCCATTCCCCTGATGTTACTCTATATTTTCTTTTTTATTCTCACTTTTCTCTCTCCCTAAAATAATAATTCCGATAATTGTGTAAATGTGTGTGTGTGTTTGAAAAAAAAAACGGTGATATGTTTTTAATTAATATGAAAAAATGATGATTTTTTTTATTATTATCCACTACATTCGCGTTTTCTTTCCACCATCATTTTTTTTTTCGAATCATTCACATTCAAAATTTGAACGGTGAATGAAAATCAAAAAAAAAAAAAAAAAATCACACCGAAAACTTGTACAATTATTGGCTTCTTCTTCTTCGTTTTTGTACTCTATCATGTTCTTTTTTTTCTAATCAAACAACAAAATTTGCAATGTGACCCTAACACACACACACACACACTGTGACAAAATCCATTGATAATTATTATTGGCAAAAAACACATTTCTATCCATCATTTTCCATCATTGACAATTTCATCTTTTTTTTTATTATATAAATTATAATTGCAGAAATATGAATTTAAAATGATCAGTTGATTGAAAAAAAATTGATTTAATTTGAGTAAAAAAATGACGCAAATGACGATCCAAAGATGAGACAAAGAAAATTCACAATTACAAAGACAGTATTGTTTTATCGTCGAGTTTGATTTGTTTGGAAAACAAATTGACATTTAAAAAAAAAATTTATTTATCACAAAAGATATACAGAATGCAGTAGGTTTTTGTTTTCAAGATAGAAATTTTTCCCATTGTCTCTCGTCTCATTGTTTGTTCTTTTGGAATGATGATGATAATGTTGATGAATTATTATATCACTTTGATGATTTGATCGTATTTTTTTGTTTATTCAGATTGTTCAACATTAGACTTATGTACGAAGTAAGTAGATCATCCATTTTATAGCCCTAAACAAGAATCGATTGATTGGAAAATTAAATTTATATAAAATACAAAAAAATACACTGCACTTACCAATGAAGTTTCACAAAGTAATTTACTACCACGTACTAGATTGCCGATTGTCATATGAAAATAAGTAATACCGCTACTCCAATTTGAGATTCTTGTAAATGGATGTGTGACCAAAATGTTTTTCGTATTCGGATCAATCAGGCTGACACCATTTTTATTGATAGCAATTAATAAATGTTCTGGATAATTGGTTGTATCACCAGTTTGCTGTGGAGAAAAAAAAATTAGTTTGACAATTATTGCACATTATTATCAAGAACACTATATGGCTTACTTTGACTTCGAAAAATGCCGATCCAAATGTAGGCCATTTATGAACATATTTTAAGAATGTTATCTTTGCATTCTCTGGTGTCATACCGGTATCTTGATTATATAGATTCAATATTTGCTTTGATAAAACATTAGAAAAAGATCAATAATTGATTAAAATTGACAGGCTATATATAGTCGATCATCAAATGTCGATATGTCGCTTACTTTTTTCCATTCACTTGAGCTTTGTGTTTTTATCAAATCGTTTGGTATGATTTCATGTAAAAAATTGCTGTAAAAATGGGATTAAAATCAATTTAGCATTTTTTTTTATTTTCAAAATCACTCAACTTACTGAATTGATTGTAATTCCATTGGATATTTACTGTCACCGAATCGTACTCTAAGTATTAGAGCAGCTAGACGAGCTGCATCTTCTTTCGTACATTTATGATAGCCACGAAGTAATTTAGGTAATTCCTGTTTTGATTCAAAAGAAATTTATTAGCTATAGATTAAAAACAGATGAAAAAAAATTTTTTTTGACATACTTGATGATAATGAAATCTGATATCGGCATTACGATCTTTACCGGGAATTGTATTGGTCCAAAGTTTTTTCATGAAAAAAACTTGATAAGTAAATTGTGGTACACTACCATCACGAGATGATCGTGCTTTTCGTATCCAATCGGTTAGATGACGAACAAAATCGAAGAAAAAATCTCCTTCCGGCACACTAATTACTTTGTCGGCAATTTTAACAAACAGACTGAATCCTTCAGCGGATTTTAGATTCAACCTTTGTGCAATTTCTAGACAAAAATCTTTGGCTCTTGTACTTGAATCTACTTCAAATGCCTTGAATGAAAAAAAAAACATTAATTTTTCAAAATCAAAATTTGCAACACCATTATTGATTACTTCATCGGTATCATCAGGAAAATAGACTTTATGAAATATTTGTGTTGTTTTATGTTGAATGGCTTCCACTTCGACCAAATGTGGTGGATATTTACGTTGTCCATTTCTAAGTGTTTTATGTAGCCGTTGTAATGAATCCATTGCAACCGGATGTCGTCGTGTCTTTAGAAACAATGTCAATTGACGTAATAATGCTTGACTAGGAACAAATAATCCGGTAGCCAGCCACATTAATTCCCATCCTTTTTCTTCGCTTAATCGATTTTTATTATCGGTCAATTGTTTCATTATCTGGCAATAAATCTCATCTCTTAGGATATCCTATTGATTAATTAATTAATTAATCAATTAATTAGATTTATAATTAATTTGGATTATTGTGAATCTCAAAATAACTTACATATTTTAGTGGTCCTTCAAAAATTTGATCAGTAAGATCATTACTGCTACGTGCTCGTCTTGAAGGAAGATCGCCCATATACTTAAGAATTGGTACAATGAAGTTAAGGATAATAATCATCAAATGGTTTTAGAAAAAAAATAGAAAATTAGGCTAGAAAAAAAACTTTGATCATGATAATAATAAAAAATAAATGAATTTCTTGTGAAAAGGATATCATTAAAAGCAAATGAGCTTTCCTGAACCAATTCATCTTTGTTAAGTAATTTTTTCAATAAAGGCTGTTTAATAGGATCGCGTGAATGTTTCCACAATTGTTCGGCATTCCGTTTTCTTGGTGAGGTAAATGTCAATGTACGTTGAAATGTATTCTTTGGTGGTGGTCGAAAATGATCAATTGCATACTCTTCCAGTGTATGTGGTTTTTCATGGCTATTAAAACCATTAGCTTGTGAATAAAGTGTTCGATGTTCTTCGAAATTGCTATCATTAAATATGGCCAATGTTGAATTCGATGGTTTACTTGTCGTCGGTAATACATAAAGATATTCTATATAATTGATGATAATCAGAAAAAAAATCAAACAATCGATAGATTGTAATCAACAAAATACCTGTTGGAACATCGCCTTTTTCACCACTTTTATCCAATCTTACTTGTACCCAGGATTGTTTTTGTACATTTTCACCAGTTAGATTATTTTCCAGAATCATAAGATCTCCTTGAATGAATGATAATGCACTGGATGCTTGGGCCCTGTAATCCTGTGTGGCAATAACAAATTTCGAACGATTTTTCAATCCATCGATAAAAAAATTAACCAATTCACAAATATCAACAGAATTTGGTGATTGAAAGACAAATTTTTCATCACGAACAGTAGTGATGACAAAATTTTGCATAAAAGGTCGATCACTTTTATGGCTTTCAGCGTTTGTTATTTCAGCGAATGATAATTCAAGCAATACTTGCTCTTGGTCATCAACCATATAAATACCAGTCCAATTGATAGCTATAATGATGTCATTCTTTTGTAACAATGGTCCCTCAATACGTAGAGCTTCATAGAAGCGTGAAAACAATAATGGCCATTTATATTTGGCATATTCAGTAATGTCTTCCTTGATCTTGATCGATGCTATCTTTTCTTTATGAAAATAGCTCTACACAAACAAATAAAAACACAATGAACATTATTTAAATTGTTATGATCATCATCATCACTATATACTATAAATAACTATAAGAATAATGTAAATACCTTTTTGTATGCCATTATGATGAGATTAGTCCATTTTTCAATACTTTTTTCATTCGAATGTAAATGATGATCAGGCACATAGTTAGCAATCACGGTAGAAAGATTTTCTGGGTTAAATTCACTACCAATTTCAACATAATATTGTTGTGCAGCAATCATAGCTAATTCTTCTTCTTTTTCGCATCTATATTCACCAAATTTAACGCCACGAACTACCTGTTGATAGATAAGATTAGTGGCTACCGGATCCAGGCTAGGATCATGCCATGGTGCAAATATTTCTTTACGAAAAAATAAACGCCAAGGTGCATTCCGTTCTTGTGCTCCTTGCTCTTTAGCATATTGTTCACATTGTGAGATGGCATCCATTACATGTTCACCACCACTGCCTAACGATGAAACTTTATCGAACAATGCAATATACAATGAAAATCCAAATTGATCTTTCAAATCAATTTTTTCCGACAGCTTAGCACATAATTCACGAGCTGTAGTGGCCGAATCGGCCGACAATGTTTTCGTATTACCATCCATAAATGTTATTGGTAATAAAAGCGGACGTTTCGATTTGGTTGCTTGTAATTCCAGCCACGAAGGTGGCTGTCCTCGTGTACCATTTACAAATGTTCGCCTTAATCTATCTTCACAATACGGTGCATAGCCTGGCGGACCTTCGCGTATAAAATTCAACAGGTATTTGACAAACTAAAGAAAATTAATAGAAATTGAATGAATGAAAGAAGAAAAAAAATTAATGCCTAATCCGAATTCGATAATTTTCTTTGGAATGTCTATTTCTGACATCCGAGAAAAAGTACTTACCTTTTTCGATGGCGCAAAACATCCCACACAAAGCGACAAGAGGATCCAACCTCGAGCATGAGAACTTTTTGATGGATTATGAGTCAATTGTTTGCAAATCTGACAATAAATTTCGTCCCTTATTTGTGAAAGAAAAAAAAAAATTGAACAAATCAAATGAAAAACCAGTTATGTTTTTTTTGTTGTATGATAATTATAATTGGATTATTGAACACCAACAACAACAAAAAAATTACCTGAGCTCTTCTCGTAGAATACCGTGTCCAATGATAAAATGAAGCTTCTCCAAATTGGAAGTTGGTCGTGATTCTAACCAACTACTATATGTATCGGCAGCAAGATCATCTTCTTGTAGTCGTCGTCGAACATCTTCACTTAATTTATTCTTCTTTTTCAATGTCAACGAAACAAGCTTATTACGGATTGATCGAGATTTTGGTTTTGGCTGTTCATGATGATGTTGTTCATGACCATCATGATGATGATGACCATTCATCTGTGCATCAAGATATTCTTTGCTTTTGATGAAATTTCTGCCCAATGTAGCCGTCACTTTACTCATCACAGATGTATTATCTCGACCTAATGTATGAAAATTTGGCTCGCCTAAATCTCCCATGAATCGTAAGATGGTGATCCATAATGCAATTGATGCCATACAATCGCCTTGTGTTTTAAGAGCTAGTAACGGTTGTTTTAATGGTTTTCTTTGGTATTGATGAGTAACATTGGCCTGGAAATAGGTCGATGCAAATTTCTGGAATTTATATTCGGACAAATCTTCGTCCTCTTCCTGTGGTAATTGTGGTACGATTAATTCGCTACTTGTATCATTACTGATGCCATTATGATTATTTTCACCATTCACTACACGTTCTAGATCGCTAAAAGCTGTCGGACCATTTTGACCACCATTGGCCTGATGATCATTTTGACTTTCAGCACGAGGCAAAAAGTCAAACATAGCATCCACTAATTTTGAATCATCAACCACTTCTTCTTGTCTTAGAACAGCATCAGTTATAGCCGCCTTTTTTTGGGCAATTTTTTTCTGATCTTCAATCTCCTCTTCTTTTTTTCGTATTTCGAATTCCTGTAATCGTTCATTATATTTTTGTTCGGCAATTTCTTTTGCTTTTTTCGGATTCATCTTTTTCATCAATTGATTTACTTCTTGTTCTTTCAATATTTGTGCTTCGATCAATTTTTGACTTTCATCTCGTAATTTAATAAATTTTTTTCTAGCAATAAAACCGCGAATAAAAGATTGAATTTTTAGGGCAGCCTTTTGTCGTGATTTGAATTCTTTACGTAACAGGTAACCACGACTAATCGCTTGTAATGCAACAATATGATTACGGAGACAACGGAATTGATTGGTCAATAATCTAGATCGTATCAAAGCTTGTAAACGATAATAACCGATTCGAATCATATGATATTTTTTTCTTTGTATAAAGCCACGATAATATTTTTGAATTATGATCGCTGCATTTTTTGATTGCAAAAATTTTCTCCTATAATACCAACAACGGATAGCTCGTTGTAATGTAATGATGTGTTTGGTCAATACCCGATCTCGTTCTTGTTCTAAGAATAGATCATGAGCATCTTTTAGAAAAACCTTGGTCTTGCCAAGTTGATAATCCGATTTGGACAAAACAGCAGAACAAATTTTGGCAGTGACAGCTCGACAATCGCTAACTTTGTGAACTGGTGGTACACCGGTAATCAGAAATCGATAACGTTCAACAAATTCGGCAAACGTATGCCGTATTGGATAACCAGCACGACGAATTCGAATGGTTTCCATCATACCAGAATATCGCAATTGTTTGCAACATAGAATTCGATCAAACATCTAGAAAAAAAAACAAAAATGATTCAAAACCGATTAAACACAAACACATTAAATGTTTACCATTGGTTTTTTGTATTCATTTGGTTTTATACATCGAATGAAGAATGGATGACAATTGCTCAATTGTCGCATCAATGAATCTAATGATTTTTTGAATTGAGTGCTCAATGTTGGTGCTTTCTTTCTAGTATCATTACCCATAGCAAAATCCTGTGCAAATAATTGACGTAAAAATTTATTCTGACTAACTTGAATCAATTGTATAAGATCGGCATTGAAAGTGTCACGATTTTTCTCTAAGAAACCTTCGGTTTTATAAAAAACCACACCAGCAAAATGATTCAATCCGAATGATTGATCAATATCAGCTTTGGGTTTCAAATAATTGTCGTTGGTGCTATGAGTTTTGTGCAATTTATTCAACAAAGTAACATCAGTGCCTTTTGGAAATTTGCTTTCCTCATCAATCAATGCCATTATGTTCATTGGTTTGGTGGCTATCAAATCCAATGCTTCTTGATTATCGACGAACTCAATATGTTGCCAGTTGATTGTTTCAAGATTGTATTCTTCTTGCTCCAATTTGAAAATATGTCGGACAAAAAATTGCTGAAGATTTTCATTAGCATAATTTATACAAAATTGTTCAAAACTATTGACGTTAAAATTTTCGAAACCAAAAATATCCAGAACACCGATCGAGCTACGATAATGTGATGATGATGTTTTCTGTCTATAAATTGCCGAATTGATTTTGTTGACAATCCATATGAACATTCGACCATAGATTCCTTTGACGAGGGCATCTCGTATATCTTGTGCTTGTTCGGTGCTCAATGTTGATACCACAATTTCACCATGTGCAAATATAGTTCGAGTGGTCAATGCATCAATCAAATTTTGACGATCAACCTGTAATAATCGGGCAGCTGTTTCTGTACTAGATATATTGATGATTTCTGATGCATCTAAATTCGATACCAACATTGCTTTATATTTGATATTACCAATATGTAGTAATAGGCTAAGAATCTTGAGAATATCCCAGATTTCTGAATCAGAAAACATTAACACTTTCATTGCTGAACGAATATCGGCAAATTCAGCAGCGTCATCACGACCTTCACAGGTGATCGAACCACCTTGTGTAAGATAATAATATTTCGATGCATCTTGTAATTCTAATTTCAATTTATCTTCTTTACTAAGACCGGCCAACATACAATAAAATATATGATAATTTCGTTCATCAATCGCTTGATTTACGATACGTGATTTTTCCAATAGATATTCATCAATTTTAGCACCTTCAATTACACCATGTTTATTGAAATGAATATCAATATATTTACCAAATCTACTTGAATTATCGTTTCTAATTGTTTTTGCGTTTCCAAATGCTTATGGGAATTGAGAGCAAAATTAAAATGTAATCAAAATGAATGTAAAAAAAAAATAATTACCTTCAAGTATAGGATTTGCTTCAAGTATCTGTTGTTCAATCCATGAATGTTGACCACTAATGGCAGCCAAATATTGTAGAATTAATTTTGTTGATTCAGTTTTACCTGCACCACTTTCGCCACTAATAATAATACATTGATTTTGGCCATAACGTTTCATATTATTATAGGCATTATCTCCAATGGCAAATATATGTGGCGGTAATTCACCAATCTTTTTGTCACGATATAGTTTGATTTGTTCGATTGTATATATTGGTAATATTTGATATGGATTCACTGCAACTAAAATTGAACCGGTATATGTCTGGAAAAATAAATAATGGATTTTTTTTTCAATATAAACATCTTTTGAATATTTGGCTTCAATAAAATAATAGGCAACACACGAACAACAACAAAAAAAATTAATCATAACTCACATAGATTATGCTTTCATTATAACGAATCAAAAGATTACGAAGAATTCCCGATTCATGAAGATCACCTAAAGAGATCATATCTTCTACACCATGCACTGATGTTGGATGCATGGCTTTAATACGTCGTTCCGGTGCGAGCCAAATTTCCTGTTTAAAAATTCAATTTTTTAAATCAAATTTTCGACTCATTCGATTAATAATGAACACATACGTTGCCATCATCATCGATGACCAATGTTTTTTGTCCTTCTACCGCTTTGACACGAGCACCGATAGCAACATCGAATGCCTGTTTGGTTTGTGGTTCAACCCAAATATAATCGTCCTGTATATTTATTAAGGTTAAAATGATGATAATCATAAATTGACAAATAAAAAATCGAATCAATGAATGATTGATTGATGATCAAAATAACTTACCCTGGTAACGATAACCATTGTTGTTGTTGTTGTCGATGATAATCTTGGTTGGATATATTCAACAGGTAGTTATCCAATATTGACGATCATCGCGAAAAATCTATGAAAAACACATCACGTATTTCATTTGGAAAAAAAATTTATTTATCCACATTAATAAAACAAACAAACAAATAATGAAATTATGCTTGATGACGATGATCAAATCATTTTATCGAACGAATAAGAATGAAAAAGTTGTAATTGGAAGAAAATAAGAAATTATGACGAAAAAAAAATCAGATGAGTTGGGGAAAATAACCTATCGAATATATAAATATTCGAACATCAATTCATCAAATCAATGATTGCACACGCATAAAAAAAATAGAAAATAAAAACACCAAATAATCAAGACACATAAGCAGGTTGATGATTGGCCGAAGGTAAATGGATGGCCAATTCTTCTTCAGTGTGTATGTTGTGTGTGTGTGTGCGTGCATCTTTCATATATCAATCAGAAGACATTAAAAAAACAGGAAAACATACACAGACACATATAAACGAAGATAATAATAGAATGGCCTAGGCCATATAAAAGAAAATATAAAAAAAAACCAACACACACACACACACAATGAATATAATGAAAAAAGAAGAGAAAAAGGTAAAAACAATCGTTGTCTCATTCAAGCAGAACAACAACAACAACAACAACCACCACCAGCACCACCACCACTTGTGATCAGTTTGAAGTCAAAGTTAAAAGTCGACCCGTTCATTTGAACGACGACTACGAATCGTAGCCGAAATGTTGTTGTTGATGATGATGATGATGATGATGATGATGATAAAAAAAACAGAAGAAGCAGAAATAGAAAAAAAAAGAATAACCATCGAACCCGAACTGAACTGATAGCCGCCAACCTGATATCTGAGTTAGCCAGGTAGAAAAAAAAATAAATTTTTACAATCAAATGTTGATATGATGATGATGATGATGATGACTACTATTACTACTAAAATACTACGACTACCGACGACGACGTCGACATTGACTATAACATCCTAAAATGTTTAAAATAAAAAGAATAGATTGTAAATGATCACATCTGTACAGTATTATATACAAGAAGATTGTTGTTTGGTTAGAAGACAAGAAAATAAAAATAAAAAGTTATATATTTGGTTGCCCTTTAACATTACAACTACTTTTGAGTAAAAGAGAGAAAGAGAGAGAGATAGATGGAAAAAGATTGAGAGAAAAAGATTGCAGCAGCAAAACAATACCTGGATTATAATAATAATAATAATAATCAACAGGTAGTTGATGATGAGATAGTAAATGCATCCACATTATTGTCATATGTCGCTTATATATTTCCATCCAAGTATTGTCATCCTCATTGTTGTTGTTGTTAGATTGCCGCAATTTTTTTTTCTCTCAAGTTTTTTTTAATTCAAATATTTTTTTTTCTAGCTAATCATTGTTGATGGGGATACCATATAGCAGCCCTTCCCAAACTGTGGTCCACGTGAAAAATTTAAATAAAAAATTCTATTTTCCGACAATTATCCCATCACTAATTTGTATGATTTTTATGCTTTTTCAAAAAAGTGGTCGGCGGAAAATAACACAAGTTTGAGAAACGCTGCCATACTGGATAGAATTATTGCATTAACAAGTTGGCCAACTGTATTCGGCAAACAACCGAAAACAGAGTGATGCCCTTCAATTTGAAAAAGGCCATCATCCATGAATACATGTTATCATTTGATGATGATGATGATGATATATCCAACTATCTATGTATGATTCGTTTGTGTCATCAACATTTTCATTTATAGTAAGCCGAAAAAGGCCAAAAAAAAAATGAAACAAAGCAAACTGGACGATAAAAAAAAACAGAAATCCTTGACCATTCATTCATTCATTCATTCTATTGAATTGTCAAACAGTGGTTAGTGGAGAGAAACAAATGAAGGAAAACAACAACAACAAAAAATTTTGTTTTTGTAATGACAATTAATTTGTTGTTGAAAAATCATACACACAAGCTGTAATGATTATATTTATTGATTGAATTCAATTCGATGTTTATCATCATTATCATTATCATTATCATCACTTGGTATTACATTCACAATTGGTCAGGTAGGATAATAATGATGACGATGATGACAAACGAAAAAAATTGTTAAATTTTCTTTCACACTATATAACAATAATATATGGTCGATGATGATGATGAATTGGTCGTTTTTTTTGGCGTTTACCATTTTAAACAATATGGTATGATGGCGTTGGTGGCGGTGGTTTGTGGCTTCTTTTTTTCTCTTTTTTATTTTATCAATCTATTCACCATTTGTGTGACTGTGTTGAAACTTACATTTTTTTTTGTTTAGAAAAAATAAAATTTTCTTTCTAAAATGATTATGATGATGATGATGATGATGATACAATATTTCACATTTTATGCCACCCGTGTATGATGATAATAATAATAATAATAATAATAATAATAAGGATGACGGGGACAATCATCATTTCAATTTTAGTAAAACACATGCATTTTAAGCCAAAATCTAGTATGATGATTTGTGTGTGTGTGTGTATATGATTTTAAATAGGGGTTAACACCCATTTCTAACAACAATGATAACAACAAACAAACAAACAATCAACGAAAAGATTACACATCGTATAAATATCAAGCTTTTTCTATATATACTTAAATAAATCTTTATATATATTTATATAATCTAAATGTGAATGAATTTCAATAAGAAAGACAAATCCTTTGGCTAATAGTAATAATGATAATGTTTTTAATTAAAAAAAACAACAACAACAACAAAACACAAACACAAAACAATCATGACAATGATGAGTGTTTTTTTTTGTAAGATTACTTGCTAGAATTAATCAATCAATCAATCAATCAAATGATCAGATTTGTTAGTAGTGAAAATCATAAATATGCGACCGAGAAATTCATCCAATCGATAGAATCGATGATTATAGTTTTTTTCTACACATAAATCATAGTCTTATTTTTTTATTATTATTCGTTCAAAAAAATTTGAAAATTTCAAGTTTCAATTACAATTTTTATTGCATTTCAATACAATCATCATCATCAATTAAATTTATGATCGAAAAGTAAATAATTATGTGTGTGATTGAAAGAGAAAGAGAAAGAAAAAACATTTATGGAATATCTCCATATACAAACATAAGAAAGAGAATACAAACAAATTATCAATGTGTGTGTGTATGTAGTATATATGATCCGGATATCCACAATGTGCTGCTGCTGTTGTATTGATTATTATTTCTTTCTGTGTATTAATAGTAGTAGTAGTAATAATAATGATAATTAATTTATGAGTTTAAAGAAGAATATATTCTTTCCATAAGATCCATCATAATTGGTCGGTAATAACGTATGTTTTTTTGTTACCAATTAATTACCAAAAAGACTACTGATATCCCATAGCTTTTGATAAACAAAAACAAAAATTAATATTCAAGAATATCATGATGACAATTTCATACACTTACTTTGATAATACGATCAAAACCGGATGTAATCATTAGATTATGTGGTTCATCAATATGCATATCGGTTATACAATGTTTGCTATCATAAAATTTAGCTAAAGAAATTCGACTAATGTTTGAACAACAATGAAAAAAATGTTTGAGAAAATTATTTTTCATCTTAATTCTATTCACTTACTCTGCGTCTTCAATTGTAGTGAAACAATCATTGCATACTCTAACGGGAAATTCATAACCATATTTTGGTAATGTTGATCGATTCAAGCTACAATCATCGCAAATTGCTTTTCCACACAGACGACAATGATGCTATATGTGTGAAAACCGTGATTGACAGTTAATTAAATTTTAAGATGACAAAATCAAAAAAAGAAAAAAATTTACCTGACGATAACCAAGTGTTTTTTGATTATACATTGCTTTGATGTTCCAGAAAAATGGCCGATGACATCGTTGACAAAAATCACTTTCAGCCCAATCAGGTGTCTAAATAAAAATAAAATTCAATTTTTTGATGAGAAAATCCAAGAATACCAAATTTATACCTCTTTACGTTGACAAGACATGTCCCAGGCAATAATCATATAATCTTCCGATGTTGAAATCAAATGGCGATTTGTATTGGAAAAATATAAAGATGTCACGGAATTTCTATAGGAAAATTTATTTTTAAAAAATGACAAAACAGAAAAAAAAAAAAAATCCAACATGTTTACCTATGTCCTTGTAGTTCATAAGCTGTTCCTTTTTTACCACCAATATCCCAGCAGATAATTATTTTATCTGCACCACCAGAAAATAGTAATTGATTGACACTATCCCAAGCCAGACACCTTACTGGTGCTGAATGACCTTTTAATGTAGTTACCGGTTTATAGGAATTGTTTTCCAATTTGATCATTTCAATATGGCCATTTAAATCACCAATAAAAGCATGTTTAGATTGATGATCAAACCTAATTTTTTTATTTTAGAAATAAAATTTACCGTTAGATTTTTGGGTAATTTTTAAATGTTTTCAAACAAACACATACTGTAAAGCTGTACAAGAATTTTGACAGAAATAAGCTCCAATACGTTGTCCACGTTCAGCACAATGCCAAACAAAATATTTATCACGTCCAATACTTAATAGCCATTCGGTATCCAATGAAAAAAGTATTCCTTTTATCCTATTCTGATGAGCGGCATAATTTTTAACCGATTTAATTCGATTATAATCATCGGAAACGCTAAATTCTGATATGTAACCATTATCAAGTCCAACGAATAAACGTTTTGTTTGATGATTATAATCCATCGAAGAAATTGGTGCTATTATTTTTTTAAACGAAAAAATTCCAGATATACAGAATATGGTCATACAAAATTTCAATTGAATTTACCTGGAAGAACATGACATACTGAAGGCCAATAAGTACCACGATCACGTTTCAACCAAATTCGTAAGGTTCTGTTTGTTTGTTTTTTTTTTGGGGAGGGAAGAAAGATGAAGACTGTTGTCAGAATATGTAAAGCAAAAAAAAAAAAAAAAAATATCATCTTCTTACTTGTCTTCACTGATACTGATGACACCATCATCACGTGGAATGATAACAGCTGCATTCACTATATCCTGATGTCCTTCTAATTTACTCAATAATTGAATTTTTGCATTCTTATAATATGCTTTGATCTCTGTGGTCATTTTGAATATAGGGTGTATATTTATTTTGATGATTAAAATTATTTTTTTTTTTAAAGAAACAAAAAAATCACAGGTTTATGATTGATGATAATTAGAGATTTATTTGTTTATTGTCGATTGGAACGTCATTCGACGACGACCATTTGACATCGAATATGAATAATCGATCAAATTACAAAATTAGATTTAGTCAAATCAATTTCTTCTTTTCTATCTTTGATTTTTTTGTAATTTTGTTGACTGGTGTTATTTTCTTCTCTTGGTAAAAACACTGGCGATGATGGTGATGGTGATGGTGATGATAATGACGACGAATAGATTGTTTTGATAATGATCAACCCACAACTACAACAAACAAACAAAAAAAAAAATTTTAATTTTTATCCTGTATCCAACGTACCTCTAATAAAAAGAAAATAAATAAATCATCATCATCATCATCATTATTATTACCACACTCAGCTGCTATGTGCTTTTTAACATTGTTATATTGATGATGACGCTAAACATCATAATTTTTTCCAGTTTATACGTTGAATTATTGATTACAACGTATAAACTCAATTTTTTTTAATATAAAAAATTTACATTCTAATCTTATTTAGATTAGATCATAAATAGATAGATTTTTTTCAAAATTAAATGATAATTATAATTTAGAATACAGATTTACAGTGGAACAATAAATGGAATAGCAACGGACTATCTTTAGTCTTGTTGTTGTTGTTGTTCAATTCTATGTTTGATGTTGATAATTTTATATACTATATATGAACTTGGATTAGATTTTTTTGCTCGAATAAAGATAGATAATTATGCCCAAGCAAATCCAATCAAAAATCCGGACGCAAATCCACCGGCCAACACTGCATTTTCGGTGATAAATTTTCGAATATTTTGTCCAACTACCGGTAGTTGTGATTTATTCTTGTCCATAGATTTCTTTACCACCTGAACATCTTGATTGACTTTTTTCCAATCAATCTCAATATATCCATTGTATTGTGCTATCTATTTATCGATGATAAAAATCATAAATAAGTGAGAGACAAAATAAATAAAACATTACCTGTATAACAAGCATACTACCACCGACAGCAATAGCAGCTAATTTACCAAATTTTGCAGCCAAATAACCAGAAACGACACCACCCATAGCTCCGGCCATTAATTGTTTAGAATTTGAAGATTTTTTTAAATCATTGAAAAAACGTTTGAAAAAATCCGGAACATCATCATTGTTGTTGCCAGTTTTGGCAACATTTTTATCTTTATTCGGTTTTCCCATGTGCGTGAAAGAAATGAAATCTTAGAAAAAAAATAGATTAAATTTTACAATAATCAAAACAAAATCAAAGATTCATACTATCGTTAGGAATTGCCATCATTAATTGTTCTAATTCAGAGTAAAATACTTCGTGACATTGCTTGAAAACAAAAGAAAAACAAAGAATGTGTTTTTTTTTATTAATTTGTTCGGAAAAACCGATTAGAGACAGTAAAAAAAAACCGTTGTAAACAGATGAACAGATGAAATGCTCACGTCATCTAGTGTCAACTACGAGAAATAAAATCGAATTTTGTTTAAATAATAAAATAATTTTTCATTTATTTATTTATTAATTTCATGATAAAAAAAATCAAATTTAGAACAATCTGTTGGAAAAAATATTGGCAAATATGGCTGTAATGATTATGAAAAATGATGAAATTTTTATCATATTGGCATTGTTACAGGAAACACCTTTATGGGTGAAATACCAAGCAAATTGATTGATATTTTTACAATCGGCATCTAAAATAGAAAGTATTAATAAAAAATAAAATTCAAGTGAAAAAAAAATCAAAAACCTAAAAATTCCACAATACATACCTGTACAATGTTTATGTACTAATGGTGGATTATAAAGGCTTATGGTGAAAAAGAATGGTGGACAATTATCAGTGCTATATCCTTTACATGGATTATTGATATTCACTACAATATCTTCTTTAGGATCTTTATTAATCTTGCAATTTTCTTCATTATTTTCCGGCATTGCAACACGATCAAAACAAACTTTCATCTGCGATTCTTCAGTACGGAACTAGACATGAAAATGAAATCATTTTTTGTTTTCATCATCATCATCATCATCAAATTACAAATTCTCAAATACTACTTACACGTAATTCAATATGAAAACTTTTTAGAAAATATTCCGAATACATAGCCCAATATTGTTTATAATTAGGTGAAATAAATCCACGATATACAGAATTTTCTGATGGTCGTATTTTACATTCAGGATATTGAAATATTTGTGATGATTGACATAATTGTTGATTTATATTTTTCACCACATTTGAATCGCCAAAACTATTTTTACTAATTTGAATCAAATGTGTTGCATCACGAATAACATCACTCAAGGTTGTAGTATTAGTGGCAAACGAATAAAATCCTGAATTTCTTGTATTAAATATCAATTGACGATATAATCGTTCATATCGCCTATGCTGTATCGTATCCGTAGGTATCGATTGTAATGTTCCATAATCAAACCAGAATATTAATTTACTTGGAACACCTGTTTGATTTGCGTAAATCGAATCAAATTGTTCAATCATATTATTGACCTGTTGAAACATTTCTACACGATCATTGATTATTTGTTTGGCCACTGTTTCGAGAAAACAAAAACATTGAAATTAAAATCAATTTGATGATGATGAATTTCAACAAAAAATCTTTTTTTTCTTGATTTTCTTACTTGTATCACCATAAATTGCTTTACAAGATGTACATTCTGATGATGTTGAATTATATGCAACCGAATATAATGATGTATTGATTGGTTTCATATAATCATCAACCAATGTTGGATTCTCAACAGGTCGTGCATTATATAGCACAGAAATGGAGCCAGAATTTCGTTTCATCATACGCATATTTTTGGTCAATTCATTTACATATGTTGCCTGTTTTAAACAAAGCTGATAATCTTGACGATTATTACAAGTTTGACTTATGTCCAATATGAAAAATGTATTTGCCATTGTTTCACATTGTTGTTCTTTAATATTATTCGTAATGGTTTCATAGCATAGATTTTTTTCCTCTTCATTCTGTGTGGATGCTTTTTTCATCACATTCATTACGGATTCTTTCAATGAATAAATATAACCATCAACACGTGTTTGATCATAAATATTATCATAAATATAGTTATTCCAAATTGTTAAAAATTTTCTTGCTTCTTCCACTAAATCATCATTTAATGATGTATCAATATGAATATGGCGATTACAAATACCAGAATTCGGTGATAATCCTGGTTTTGAATAATAAAAACGTAATGCTTGACTTGCCGTTATGTTTGGGAATACTTTGAGCATTGAATTCATCATGATACCAATATTATAACCATCGAGGCCACCACGAAATTCAGCCAAAGTTCCCCAAAGTCCTTGATCTGAATCTAGTACAAATTTTGTATGACAAACAGTACTGTTCCATGCACCATTAGCACCGAAAATATTTTTTCCATCATCATTATTGATCATTCCATCGGTATTAACACCATATAAATCGGCCAATGTTACAGCTAAAAGCGGATCAATTTCTTTATTATTAAGTTCATTTTCTAATGGTCGTTTTTCTAGTTTTTTGATTACATCCATTACTTTTGGTGGTTTGGGATTGGCAAATCCAACAAATAATCCCAATAGAACACGATTCGTACTGATGGGATTAGTACGTGACGAAAGAAAACTGGCCACACCATATTCTCTTGGTTTTTTTGTTTTTCTACATTTGTCATGAAAATAATAAATCAATTTTTAAGTGTATTCAAAACTAACCTGATTTCTCTTTTAGTTCGTTTGGGCACCTTAATTTTGGATTCAGATTTTTTATCATTCGATTCTTCAGTAGTCGTTATCAACGGTATTTCATTACCCATATCACGTATTGATGGTGGTGCAACATTTAAATTAGGTGCGCCCATTCTTGCCATAGGTGGCTCATTTATGGTGACAATATTTAATTGATTTTCATTTGCCGTTGCCGTATCATTTATACAATGTGAAATTGTAAAAAATAAATTACATTTTTCATCTTCAGTAAATTGATGTTCAGGAAATGGATCCGAATATGATTCATGATTGTTACCAAGAATGGCATTGATTACTTTTGATTGATGCATCTGTATTTCACTGGGAATGTTTTCCATTCCATCAAATCTTACGCCATCCAAATGAAATCTTTTCAAAAAAATTTCAATCACTTTTTCCGGCTTATAAATTGGATTTAATTTTTCAAATTTTTCAATCATCGAAATTAAATTATCCATCGAAATACCAATCGGTTCATTTTGGCCAAGTATTAATTCATTTCCGGTCGATCTTGAACGATTAAAACAACGTAATTTTATCAGATCATAGTGTCCAACTGGTACAGAAATGCCATTCACACAGATGATTGATATGATAACAATGAAATTTATTTGAATGAAATTCATTGTGACCAAAACAAAAAAAAAACAAAAAACAAAAAAAAATTTCTTTTTGTGTTGTCTGAATGAATGAATGGATGATTATGGTGTAAATATTATAAATGTGTTGGCTCTATAAAAAGCTGTCCTTGCATTCAAACAGAAAATCATCATACCCGCTTTTTTAATTTCTACACACACACACACACACACACACACATTGTGTATTTTGATGGTGGTTGCCATATATCGTTGAAACCATGACTGCCGTCATTTGACGACATTACAACAACGATAACAACAACAGTAAATTGCATTTAACAATATAAAATTGACAATACTATCGATATGATGATTAAAATGGAAGAAAAATTTTTTTTTTTTTTTAGGATTATGATCCATTCATCCACACCTATTTTATTTCTATGGTTATTATCCAACAGACAAACAAAAAAAAAAATACTTCTGGATGGATGTGTGTGTGTAATATGTTTGCAATCGAGGGAAAAAAATTGCTCATACACAGTCCCAGTTGAAAATCAGATAATAATTGGGCGTACAATTAACCACTATTGATCAATATATAAATGAATCATCTGTAGTGTAATGTAGTGTAGTGTTTTTTTTTTATTTACAAAAAAGATAAAAATTTCATTACAATCAAAACGATGATAAATAATGATAATGAATTCCAATAATTAGGTAAAACATTTTTACAATTATTTTCCGTACAAGTCATACCATCCACTGATATTGTCCATATTGTATCCATTCTTGAGGTACATACATCTTGATTTGAATGAATTATGAGAGGGGATTAATTTTAATCATTCTAAGTGGCTCTATTTATTTACCTTCAACGAATTTTCCATCCGAATGTAAATAATAACATTTATTTGGTTGCTGGTTATTATTATTGTTAACGTTGTTAACATTCATATCATCTTTACTGATTACGGTAAAATATATTGGCAGACATGTTTCAATCACATTCCATCGACATGGATGTGCAATTATAAATTCAATCATTTCATCATTTATATTCGATTCTCTACATTGTGTATAATTAGTTTCCGGAAATAGATAACGCCCAAGACAGATACGCATACGACCGAATCCAGAATGAAACTTTAAACATATAGAATAGAAAATAGATTGATTGTTGGTCTTTACATTATTATTATTTGATGACTTACTTTAAAATGAATCAATCGACTATTGAGAAAATATTTTGGATATAGTACCCAATATTGTTTACGATTTTTACCTACTAAAAATTTCTGATCAAATGTTGTTCCATTTTTTTGTTGTTGACAATCATTATTATCTATACGCATTGGTATCGGTGTTTGCATTATTCGTTGTACCAATTTATCCACTGTAATTTCATCCATATAATTTATGGCATTCACACGGAACCAATCACCTTTGTTGATAACCATTTGGCTAAGATCATCATCAATATGTTGATCAAATGTTGATAGGAAAAACATTCGTATATTTAGATAATATAATAAATTCCATCTATATTGATAATAATAGGCACGATCACGTTCAATTAATTTTTCATAACTATTCGATTTCAATGAAAACCATAGGAAATTTTTCGAATGTCCATTCATTGTATCAGTGATGATGCTATCACGTTGGAAAAAATCCATTAAATTGTAAAGCAATGTTTTTTTACTATTTATTGTTGTTTCACGATAATTATACCATGCTAAACGACATGTAGCTTTCTGTATGGATGTTGTATTATAAGCCAAAAGATGTAATGATAAACGTAAATCATCACCTTTGTTCGATATATGTTCAGAATCATATCCTTGTAATGCATTCACCATTATAGTTATTCGTCCTAATGAATTTAAACTTTTTAATTTAACCAATAATTTTGTTATAGCTTCTAGATGATATTTGTAATATTCATGAGCATTATTATCAATCATAATATATAGATCACTTTTTGTTTCGATTTGCATATCAATCTTACGATATTGACTGATTCTTGAACATTCTTAAAAAAAAAATAAAATTTCATTATATTTATCACATAGAATGTGATTATTATAATAACTTACCAGCATGTTTAAGTGTATTTGATTTGACAATGAATTGTCGAAAAATATCCGTCATTGTACGTACAAATCCATCGATTCTTTCATATTCAAAATTTTCATGTAAAAAATTTCTATTCCAATAAAATGCATAACCACGTGCCGTTCTGTATAGATTGTCGATAAAATTTTCTGGAAAAAAATCCACTTTACAAATACCACAATCAATTGAAAGACCATCATGTGAATAATATCGATCGATTATTGTGCTCAGTTTCAATGTTCGAAATATACGACCTTTTTGTGATGATAATTTATTTCCAATCATCCATCCATCAATACCGCCATTAATTTCGGACATGGTGACCACATGACGATTATTTCGATCAGTTATTAGATATTCACTTTGACAATACGTTGAATTCCAATGTCCTTGTGAACCAAACATGCTATCATAATTTTCAATACTTTCCAATGCTGAAATGGCCAATTTATCCGATAAAGTTACAGCATATAATGGATCAATTTCTAGCTGATCTCTATCATTGACAAATGTCAATAATGGTACATCATATAAAGCGGCCGCTATACCAAGAAGAACATAATTCAACGATATGGCCAGATTATCATCATTCATAAGGCTAACGATGCCAAATTCTTTGACAACTTGATTACCATAACTGTAATTTTCAAAAAAAAAAAACAATTACCATTGTTTGAATTGATGGGAAAAAATTTTTTTTTTTTTACTTATCAACTGCCGTTTTGTTGACCGTATGTGACATCATGAAATACATGGCACATTTTTCATTTTCTGTAAAAACATCTTCTGAAAACGGTGGTAAACTATCCATTTTAGCCATTCGATCCTGGAATAACATTTCATTCATTTGTCGACGAAATACTTCATTTTCTTGTTGCATTTGTGGATAACGAATCTGTTGAAAATATTCTTCATGACCTAGATTACGTATACCATCATAATGAAATCTATGATATATGAATTATGATGAATGATTATTATTAATAATAAAATCAATCAAACCTTTTCAAAATAAGTGTTATCATTTGTTTTGTATCTAGTTGAGGATAATATTGTTCCAATTTTTCTGTTAATGTTACAAAATAATCAATAGTCATTCCAATTGGTTTGGTTTGACCAAGTATTAATGGTTCACGATATTCAGTACGATTATAACAATGATTCATTATCAATTGTCGATATTGTTCCGGTGTCATTGATATGGCCAAAATAATTGAATTGATATTTATAATGATGAAAATGAATGTTTTCATCAATTGTTGATGATAAATAAATTGAAACATTGTTCATTGCAATTTTTTTTTTCGTAATCATGTGAGTAATAAGTTAATCGATTTCAACTGAAAATATTAAAAAAAAAACATTATTATGACTACCATGTATACATAAAAGACAAAAATTTACCATACCAATTTGGTTACCATTGGTATTAATCATGTGATTGCTAAGGGCAACAACATTGCACTGTCTATTAAATCTACAATGATCACACCTCAAAATTAAAAATAGGATAAAATAAATTTTTGTTTATTTATGAATTTAAAAAAAAACAAAACAAATTTTTCATTCAAAATTTCAAAACTGTAAAAAAAAATCATCATCATCAAAGATTACAGAATACAGATGATCAACAGGTAGTGATTCTAGCCGATGTTCGTTTAATATCATTAATTTTATCCATTGATTCACGTACAATATGTTGAAAATTTGACTCTAATTCTGTTAATTTATCATGCAATATTGAGCTCAATTCTTTGGATTGTTGGCCACTTTGAAAACAATTATCCACTAAATTATTCATTTGATCAAGTTGTTGATCAAATTCAGTTTTCTGTTCACTTAAACGAAAATATTCACCATTTTCGTAAGCATCATCAATCGTTTGTTTGAAATCATCCAATTTCATAACCTTTTCTTTAATCGTTTGTCTACCCATTTCAATTCGTTCCATACTTTCAATCCATACGGATTTGAATTCAATTTTACGTTTTAAATATTCAATAAATTCAAAGGAAATTTGTTTGAAATTCTTTCGTATCGGTTCACCAATATCGATTTTTCCAATAATATTCTCATATGTTTCTAAATGTCCGCTCAATTGTTCGGCGCGTTTGAATAGATAATCAACATAATTATCTGAATCGATATGTGTGACAATCAATTTGTTTAGAATGCTTTCCATTTCTTTAATTTGTCCCAGACGAGATTGAATTAGGTGATAATCATTTTCTGCTTTTCTTTCCATACGTATTAATGCTTGTAAAATTCGCGGTAATGATGATGGTGATGATGATGATGATTGTTGTGAATATTGATTTTCGTTTCCATGATACCGGCACATAATAACGTTCGTGTCGAGATAGTGTGTTGTTTAAGGGTTGACAAAACCGTTTGACAATCTATATATATATATAGAAATTTAAATTTCATTTTATTAACCATTTAACAAAACACTTACCGAAAAAAAATTGAAAAAAACTTTTTTCGTCCTCTGTTAATGACAGTACTGGTTAGTTTGATTGATATCAAATACACAAATAATTGAAAAAAAACATTCAAAACATTGTCAGATGATTTTTCAATGTTGACGATGTTGGATTAAATCCAAAAATAGAATAGAAAATAGAGTATACTATATTAATAATATACTACAGAATACTGACGTTGATGATATTTAAGTAGTGGTTATAGTAATAATAATAATAATATAATATATGGAAACCAAAACAAAATGGAATATTAGAATAACATCATTTTTTTTAGAATTTATTCAACGGAAATACACATTTTTTGAATGGCCAAATTAATCATCATGTGTATATTATCACTACTATTATGACGCTTGTTTGTCGGTAACTGCAACTTTTACACTCGCCAAGTGCTTGCACTGTGTACTAGCACTGTGTATTAACTTGGCATTTAATGCGACGAAGCTGAGCCGGCCATTCCTACTTATTTTCAGTACAAACATAACTATTTGGTATGAGCTACTCAGTGTGTGTTGTGTGTGTGTGTGTGTCTGAACATATCGAACAGTGGGGAAAACTTTTGAATGCCGTTGAACAGTTCGTCCAGCTAAGAAGTAGAAGTCGCTTCCAAAGAAACGCATTCTGTGGTATGTAGCTTTGACAAAGCTTTTTTTCATTGTTCTAGCTTCAGCACACGTTGCTGCAGCTTTTGCATCCAATAGATGGTGCAGTCATTCAATAGAACATAGAAAGAGTTCGAATTCAAATTTTTCGAATTGATTATTGTGATAATACATGTGGCACGTGATTTTCATTTTGTGTGCCTGTGTGAGTGTGTATTTGATGATGATATCTTGCCTGAAGACTGCATTCATTGGAATGATTTTTTCTGTTTTTGTTCCCGTGATCTATGATCTACTCATCGTTTGGTAAGTTATTTCGGTTATTTAACCTGATTATACCTAAAATACCTGATAACTTTTTTCATTTAAAATAAAGAAAATGGACCATTCACGATATTGCAGAAAGCCACAGCGGTTGACGATTCAATGTTGAGTGTCTTCATGCGATGAACCCACAAGGTTATCCTATAGACTCTATAGACACAAACTTGGATTAAACATTGGATCGATTATCATGTTCAGTCGCAATATTGAACCACAAAGTGGTTTGCTCAATGGCACGAGTTTATTTGTAAATAGACGCAGCATTGAAGCTCGAATATTGACAAGGAGGCTATGATTCATTTTGCAGCAAAACGATCGAGATCTTAAGCTACCATTTAAATTGGTTCGTGGACGATTTCCTGTCGTATTGGCTTTTGCTCTGACAATTAATTAATGTTTTAAGGGAAATCTTTCGATAAAATAAGTGTGTACCTTCCTACACCAGTATTGCAACATGGAATGATTTATGTGGCTTTTTGCCGCTGCAAAAATCCTAATAATCTGAAGATTTTTGTTCAGGAAATTGAGGAAAAGATCAACAATGACCACAGTATCTATACCAAAAATATCGTATTTCTTCAACTTATCGATTAGCAATAATAATTATGCTGTTCGGTGTACGCAACTTTTTCAACGGTATCAGGTGCAATGCACAAGTGATGGCTGACCCTGCGGTACCAAACCGAAGGCCGGAAGCAACACGCCGTGCATAGAAACCCACCGTCAGGCACGAAGCGTTAAAATTGACACCTTTGACTGGATGCCAAGTAGGGGGGCGGGGCAGCCGTCCCCACCTGCGGGTATCCAGTTATATTGACCGTCAAGAAGTCAGCCCCGCAGGGCCAGACCAGGACAGGCGCGAAGCGCCTGTTCTCGGGCTGGTATAGAAAATAATGCATTAAAAATCTTCAAAGATTTTCCTTTTTTTCCGATTGAATGAAATAATCCTTTTTCATACATATGAATTTTTTTCCTCATGAATGACCATGAAAAAAAACTGAAAAAAACCACTATTATCGATCCAAAATATTATATTGTTCAGTAGAATTTTTTCTTTCATTTTTTTTCCGATTATTCCGGTGGAATAAATATGGCAAAAAAATATCTTTGCACTGGAATATTGAATCATCAAGTAATTATAAAATCAATTCAAATGAGCATACGCATATATCGAATTGAACTCTCTCTCTCTCTCTCTCTCACACATTTATGAATTCGAAAAAAAAAATTCTTAAATTTGGAATGGAATTTATAATCACGAAAGAAGAATCGTTTTATATATAAAAATATATTTTTTTTTCTTCATAACCTCCAAATTCTCCACTAAAAAAAAAAAACAAAAATTCATTGAAATTCACCAACAAAAAATTTCACCGAGTGATCTATTGAAGACTTGTTTGTTTCTTTTTCGATTGTTTTTGGTTTAACAAATGATATCCATCTAGCCAGCCACATGTCTATAGATCGAATTTATTCACATTACGAATGTTGAAACAAATATATTGCTGCATTCGACAACAACAACAACAACAACAAAAAAACAAATTCATGAATTAATAAATAATTTTTATCACGAAATAAAATGAGTTTATTTTTTTCGAGAAAAGAATATTCTCTGATCCATGTTAGATATGTTCAGTTCGAAATACTTTTTTCTATTTCCATTTTTCTGGCCATAATTTTCAGATCATAGGATCTATTAGATTTGTTAAAAAATGATCAAAAATTTGATTAATTTTCGATATCGATATATTTATATGAATAGATTGAAAGAAATAATCGATGAACATGATACTTACAAGTATCGATTAAAACATCGATTAATAATTATATTATTTATGATAACAATTATGCGTATAATCATCTGTATGATCAGTTATTATACAAATGTATATAACATCTGGCAATATGATCCATTATTTAATTTTTTCATTTATGATCATCCACATTTATTTCAACGTTATTCAATCATTTTATTATGTGCACTATTATTCGGTGTTGAATCTGAAATAAAACTTTGCTTTTCACCAATCAATACAATCACATTTCAATTACCATATGAATTATCTGTGAAAAATCTTGATCAATGTGAACAATGTATGATAACGGAAAAAGAAAAAGAAACATTATTATTGAAAAATAGTAAAACAAATACAGCCACAACGGTTAATAATAATCGACTATATAAAAGATTCATATCCAATGAATTATGTCAATGGTATTGTTTACAAATGGCTAAATTAGATTACTATATGAATTTTAAATATGTGGATCAAAAAAAACTTGAACAATATAAACTAGATACAGTACCGAATATTACAAATGAATCCAGATCATTATTAATGATACTCAATTATTTTATCGAACAATTATGTTTTTCAAGTTACATTAGTTTTGGTAAGATTTATTTATATTGTATATTTTTTATTACATTTTTACAAATTTTAATAATTTTTTTTTTCTCTAATTTTTTTTTTTGGCCATTTTAACCAACCATAGCACTTTTTCTCATGTTCTTCTTTCCCTATTATTATATTTCATTAATGAAAATATTCAACTATCGATTAATAGCTCATCTATTCATATGGATTGATATTTTATTTTTGACAATACATTTTGCAATCATTTTACATAATGCATTAACACTTGTTATGATGATATCGATCACCACCATTTATCAGATACATGTATTGAAAAAAATAAATTCATCATTACGTTTAATAGCTATTCAAAGTCATTCAATTAATCATCCAATTGTAAATGGTATATATCGTTCATCATTCAATCTATCTGAACAGATAACACTTATGCAGCTATTGATCGAACATAATCGTATTTGTCAATATATACATCATTCTTCACGTGAAATATTCAGTAATCTATTGTTTCGAATACTTATGCTATTTTTTCCATCACATTTATTGGGTGTATCGGCATTATGGAATCAATTAGGATTTTGGTACGACAAATTATTGATCAGTTTGATCATTTTTTTTGAAGATTTCTTATTATTTCCATTATATTTTATTGCCAATCAAAGTAAATTATTACATCGACCACAACGAAATCTTCTATCCATTATACATGGTATTCGTCGTCCATTATCATTGAAAATTAAATATGATCATTTCTTTGAACGTTTAACTACTGAACCATATTATGGCTATTCAATTGCAAACATTGGCACTATTACTTATCGAATGATATTTAGTGTAAGTTACATCATTTCCGTCAAACCAAAATGTTTTTTGATGATGATTGTGATTGTTAATATTCTAAATTTTTCAATTCTAGTTAATGCTCAACTATTTTGGTCTATTCATATTCATTCTACCCAAAGAATACATGCTAAAAGGTTGATAAATTCAATTAACACACCTACACACACACATGCACGCACGACAAATCATTTAAACTATATTTCTATTTTCATCAAAAAAATTATGAGGAATTTTTTTTTACCAAGAAAAAAATTTTTGGATCACTAAAATTGATTTGTTTTTACTCTTGTTTTTCATCAAAAAGAATTACGTGGATCTCAATAATAATAATAATAGTATTTATTTCCGCTGCAAAATTCACAACATGAAATCATTATCATCATCATCATCATCATCGTCATTATCAAATCAATTATCAATCAAGACTAGAAAACAAAAAAAAATTTGTTTACAGATTACAAACACCACTTTTCTCGAATAACGAAGAAAAAAAAACAATTTTTTTCTTTTTTTTATCACATTTTTATAGTGACTTTTGTTTGTTTTGTTTCTAATGATCATTATTATCTGACAAATTAGAATGTTGTATTGTTATAAAATCCAGATATAACATATTATATATAAGTCTTTGTGTGTGTCTCTGTCTGTGTGTTGATAATCAGTGATAATCAGTGTAACTAATTAATAAAATAATAGTATTTATTTCCGCTGCAAAATTCACAACATGAAATCATTATCATCATCATCATCATCATCATCGTCATTATCAAATCAATTATCAATCAAGACTAGAAAACAAAAAAAAATTTGTTTACAGATTACAAACACCACTTTTCTCGAATAACGAAGAAAAAAAACAATTTTTTTTTTTTTTTTATCACATTTTTATAGTGACTTTTGTTTGTTTTGTTTCTAATGATCATTATTATCTGACAAATTAGAATGTTGTATTGTTATAAAAATCCAGATATAACATAATTATATAAGTCTTTGTGTGTGTCTCTGTCTGTGTGTTGATAATCAGTGTAACTAATTAATAAAATATAATTTTTTTTTCTAAAAAATAATTGGGCAGTGGGTGTTTGTGGGTGTGTGTGTGTGTGTGTGTGTGCACTTGAGTAGTAGTAATCGATGATTTATATTCGTCGTTGTATTAGATTATTTATTTTATTTTTCTGTTATTTGTCACTTGGTTTTGGTTGTTAATTTAAAAAAGTTTGACTCGTTTTTTAAGCTCATTTCTTTTCCATTCAGGTAAACGATAAAAATCCATTCGATTCATAGCAAAAATTCGTTCAAATTCTCCATTTTCCAGATGTCGTTCAAGATGACAGCGATCAACATCTTTTGTCAATAAAAAAAATGAATAAATAAATAAATAAATAAATGATCAATGATTGAAAGAATTTGTTTGAGATTTTTTTTTTGTTACCTGGTGGTAATCGATAATTCGTAATCATTAACAAATGGTACGGATATTGTCTTGGTGGTTCATTGCTCATATGTTGTAGATTGACATTTGGCATTGAACGACGAAAATGTGGACTATAAGAACCAGTAGTGAATCCATGATACGTTCCAAATCCTTCGGAATATGGAGTCGTTCGAAATGTACCACTTGCACTATGATTCTATGATTATCAATAAAATGGTTATGGTTTAGAAATTGTACTTTACTCCAATCACTTACCATATAATAACGATTCTGATGATCAGACATTGCCGAAACTATAGAATTAAAATTTATTCAATTCATATCCAAATAAAAAAAAATATTCACAATATAATCACTTACCATCTGATCTTTTGCTACCAAATTCGGCACTTTGAGTTTTTTCCAAATATTTTTCCGTAAATGGTGATTCAACACCATTTTCACGGTGTTTAAGGCTATAACCAGGCTTAGGTGTATTTCGTAGAGAAGATACGACTATTTGACATGTGTGAAAAAAAATTTTATATTTTTGATAAATTTTAATGATCATTTATATACCATTATAATTAATATATGGTTGACTTCGAGTCATTCGAGAATTACGATAAAAATAACGTTCATATTCATCTTCTTCCCATGGTTTTGGTCGATCAATGTCACGAGATGGAGCTAAACGATAAATGATCAATCAAATCAAATTAATAAATTAATCGATTATCGATTATTTGTCAAAACAAAAAGACATACAAGCATTGACCGGATTATCATAACGTAATCGGGCAAGAATTTCCGTTTTGGCTGATGGTGTACGTGATGCATTACGTGGATCTAGATTAGCTCTACGATGTGCCATAATTTTTTCACGTTCTTTAACCGTTTTTAAGAAAACTTTACCAATTCCTGTAGCTATTTTCGACAATTCTTCTTCTTCTTTCTTTAGCTGTGGATTAACATAATTATCTTCACGTTCTTTTGCAACAAATTCTTCTTCAAGATCATCTCTGGAACTATACCATTTTTTGAGATTTGGATCGGCATAAGGAAACTATAATTGAAAGATAAAATCCATGGAGATTATTTCAAGTCACTTTGCTATTATATAACATACCGGTGGTGCTGGAAAATCATCCCGTTCGATTGTGGGAACATCATTTGGATTTGGTTTCTGTGCACTTGGATAATGAGACAATTCAATTGGCTCTTCATTATTCATGGATGGTGATTTTGGTCTCAATGAATTTGTTGCCTGTAATTGGTCAACCATAGCACGCATTCCTTGTTTTGGAGATCTACTCTGTGTTCTGGTGCGATGATGATATTGTTGATAATCAGGTGGCCTATGGAATTGTGGTGATTTAGGTGCACGTGGTTCAACCGGTTTCCGTAAATAACCAAGTGTTGGTTCAGCTGTTAGATAACTGTATGTATAATAACGGCTCATATCGCTTGTCCATGTTGTATTCTTATCCAAATATGGACTTGATTCACTTAGCTATAAGATTATACAGAAAGAAAAACAGTGATGAATTAATATATTCAGATCATCATTACATAATATATTCAGATCATAAATTGAAAATTAAGCTTAGCTTCATGGAAAAAAAAATATTTCAAAGAAAAACAAAATAAGCAAAAACAAACCTGTTCACCATAATTTCCAAATGGACTAATCGAACGAGATAAGGAACTAGTCATGCTTGGTGAATCGGGTCGAAAATACTATGAAAAATAATTTTTCAGCGATGGTGGGTGGGTGTTTTATCAAAATTCAAAATAAGCATGATATACAAAACAAAACAAAATATCAAGCAATCCAACATGCAAAATAATATGGGAAAAAAATAAAATAAAATTATTTTATGCAAACACAGCGATAAAATGAACAAAATTCATACCTGATGATCAATTGGTGTTGGTAAATCATCAGGCATTTTTTCACCAGGTCCTGGTCCACATCTTGGATGCCAAATGGCAGCACCTTGTATGTACATTTCTTCACCATCGCTAAATACATCACCACATTTGATGCATCTGTTTTGTCAGCAAAAAAAAACGATATTATTATTCAGGATCAACTGCTGGTGGGAGGACTAGTACTACTAATACTAACCGTGCACAAGTAGGATGAAAATGATTATCACCAGCTTGTAAAACTTTACCCGTTATATAACGTTCACAATGATGACATTTAATGCCAAATTGTTTCTATATGAGGAACATTAAGACAAATATAAATTGAGATCATGAAATCGTGATCAGGAAATTGTATCAAATTGTTTTTTGTGTTTTTGAAGAGAAACTAATTAAATCCATATATACAACACACTTACCTGATAATCTTTTTCACAATAAACTTTTCCATCTTTGCTTAGATATTCACCATGTAGAATACAACCACAAGTATCGCATTTGAAACAGGAAATATGCCAATGTTTATCCAATGCAATTAATGCTTGACCATCGGATATTTCATTATTACATGAATGACAAACTATCATGAATGAATGGATGACAATAAATGAGACGAAAATTGTAAATCGATAAATAAATAAATTATTATACTTGGCACAAGTCCATCATTATTCGGTGTGGAAACCGTTGGTATTTGTATGCATTTCGTGCATAGACATTCCTTTCCAGTCCAGGTTACTTTTTCACCACTTGGAAATGGTTGCCTGAAAAATGAATGTGAAACATGATTAACGATTGACCATGTAATCATAATCATAATATATAAATCAATTAACTTACCTGCATCGATTACAACGGAAACATTGTTGATGATAAGTATTACCAAGTGCACTGATTACTTCACCTTCAACAAATTCATTACAAGCAGCACATTTTGTACCGAATGAATTTTGATAACATTTTGTACAATAATAATTTGAATTATTATTAATTGAATGAGTAAAAAATCCACCTTTCGATAATGAAACACCACATTCTAATAACAGGAAAAAAAATTGAAAATTGAAATGAAAAATTCAAACCATCTTCTGATTATAAATACTAACCATGACATTTAAAACAGGCAATATGAAAATAAACTTTACCAACACGTAGTACATTGCCGGAACATTTTTTCAGACATGCTTCACATAATACTTTGCCTATTCGATTATTTTGATGATGATGATGAAGGCCAGAAAAAAGATTAATTAATGGATATTTATTTAAATCAATATGATCATAATATAACATTGATGATGATATTAACAATGTCATCATTCATGTGTGTCTGTCTGTGTGTGTGTATTTGTTTGTGATATTAATTAATAAAAAATGGCAAACAAACAAACAAACAAACGAAAAAAATTTTTAAAGAGAGAAAAAAAACTTTAATCAAACTCACACACTTGTTGATTGTCAAATTGTGAATCATTCGCCATATGTCACCACTGTTCAATTTATTAGAAAGACAATGAAATGTAAATTAACCTCTTTTCCAAAAAACTACTATACTAATACTACTTTTTTCTAATTAATTAATTAATTAATTATATACGAACATGAATATATATCCAAGAAATTATGAAAATTAATCCTAGCCATACAACCCTACATACATGAATGAAAACACACACACACACACCTTTTCAATGTAATATATTCAGCTTGTAATTTCCAATATCATCATTGACAATATCATTCAAGGATTATTATTATGTTATTATGTATATCGTCATTGAATCGAATCAAATTTCTCTATTGTTTGATTTCAATACTCCTCCTACACACAATGAACACAAAGATAGAACGAAACAATGATTTTCTAGTTGATGAAAAAACATAAACAATATGCTACTCGTAATAATTGGGCGTAAATATGAATGGCGCCCAATAGTATAGTTCATTTCATATGTGTGGAAAATTACCAAAATTACCGAAACAATGATCATAAACAATAAAAAAAAAAAAATTCAATCATGAAAAATTACCAAAATTACAAAAAAAAAAATTCAATCATGTAAAAATGTATCGATATATATGGTGACATAGATACAAATGTTTAACACCAATACACCATATTTCTTTCTCTTTGTATATTTTTTTTCTGGTTGACAATAAATTATCGATAATGATTGATTGATTTTTTTCTCTCTCTCTTTTCTTGTTATCTCGTTTATGAATAATGAACGGAAAATGAAGACAACAACAAAATTGAAAAAAGGAAAATTAATCTTTGATGATCAAAAAAAAAAAAAAAAAAAAAAAAAATCAGTGCTTATATCGAATGACAAAAAAAAATGAATTTTTTTACATGGAAATTGAATGAAAAAAAAAATACGAAAATAGAGATTTTGACAAACAAGTAAATAAAAAAATTGGTCACGAAATTCACGGATCGCCGAGAATATATAGAATTGGCTTGATTTTACTAAAACTAAACCAGAAAACAAAAATTTTTGACAAAGAAAGTTTATTACCCTGTAAACACACACACACACACACACTGGATATGTGACATGTCATCATCATTTTCATATGTATAGGATACACACCCTTTTTTTTTTTTTTTTTTGCTTGATATGGATGTTACAAGATCATCATCACGATGATCATCAAAAAAAAAATGGAATTAAACAACCGTTATTATACACTCACATCTGTGATGCTTTTGTGTTCGTTATGTTGTTGTTGTTGTTGTCAAATGAAACAAAAAAAAATAATAATAATGATGACGAGAGAGGGAGGGAGAAAAGTTAAAAATAAATTACGTCATATTTTATGATGTGTGTGTGTACAAACATCATAAACATAAAATATCATCATCATCATCATCATATATACTGCAGCAGCATTACGAATCATCATCACAACCACCACCAAGGGATATTTTTTTAAATTCGTATCATGGACGTCAATGTGTACAAAACACACACACACACACAGGCAAACTAATAAATTTTGTTTGCGATTCATTTTTTTTTACTTGGCAAAAAAAAACACACACACGGCTTTTTTGGCAACTGTTATCGTTTTTCTCACTCTCTACATGCGGCAATTTCAATTTACAAAGCGTTAATTCGGTAATTCTTTATTCATTCATTCATTCATTCATATGATTTTTAATGTACATCCAGACACATCCATTATCATGATGATGATCATCATGATTTTACCATGAAATCTCATTCATTTTTATCCATCTCTATCTCATTGGTTTTTGAAGAAAACAAACAAACAAAACAAAACAGTAGCATTTTATATTAGATTCATTTTTGTTTGTATGAATGAAAATTCAAATGATGATGATGATAATGATGATAATGTTCAACAATCATTCAGACATTTATAGTATGAAATGAAATATATAAATATGCAACAAATGTGTATAGTGTATGTGTATGAATGTGATTAGAATAAAAATGATGATGGCGACAATAAAGTTCTTTTCGTTCGATCGTTGTTGGCTTTAATGAATGAAAAATTTTCAAGACTTGATCTTGTTTTTTTGACAGCCAACGCCTCACGACAACGATAATAAGTGTGTGTGTGTGTGTCTATGTTGATGACGATGATAATGATAAAGTTGCAAAGACATACATGTTCGAAAAAAAAAAAAAAAGTTTGAAAATCAACAACAACAACAACAACAACAACAAAAAATCATCATCAATTGAATGTAAATGACAATTGAAATTGAAATGAAAGAAAGAGAAAAAAAAATTGTAATTATTATCATCATCAAATTATACTTTCTAGAATGAAATTCGTTTGTTGTTGTTGTTGTTGTTGGATTTAATATTTCCGCTTTTTCGGTATTTTTTTTTGATTTCCGATTATTTTATCTATATATAATCATCATCATTATCATCACTAGACTAAAAACACTTTGCCGGTAATGATTTTAGGTCGACATAGCCGCCCTCAAATATAACAAGTTGATTGTTGATATTTTTTTTTCAAGATATCGATTTGTTCATTGATTGATTTTATCATCGTTGCCAGCATTAATAATCTATGATGATGATGATGATATGTTTCTAATCATTAATCTTTATAAATCATCACCATCATGATCATCATGATCATAATTATTATTGTCGGTAAAATGCCTAAAGTAAATTACTTGGATATACTGAAAACATGATTTTTCATTGTGTATTTCTCATATATGATGGTTATCGATAACTATTAGTTTTGATTGATTTAAAAATGATGGTTTGTGTTCATGTTGGGTTTTTTTCACTAGAAAATAGAAATGATAATCAACAACAACAACAACAACAACATTAGCCAAGGTCATCATTTGAAGAAAATTATATATATATTCTAATGAATGCTATTAGATTAATTAATTAATTAATCAATCAATCAGTCAATCAATAAATCATCAATGAATGAATGGTGCAAAAAAAAATATGGCCAAATTCAGACAAAAAAAAACCTTATGATTCGACCAAAAATATTTATTATTATCATCAATCATTGCACATTGCAACAAATGTATCATTGAAAATGTCAATTTTGTTTTTGTTTCTGCTGATCTATTTGTAGATAAGGTGAGAAAAACAAACAAACAAACCAGCAAACACTTGACAAATATTCTGATCATCATCATCATCATCTAAGAAAATTTTCTTTTCTTACGATTTGGAGAGGCTCGACAATCATCATCATCATCATTGTGTCTTTGAACCGAACCATCTTTTATGATCTTAGTATTTATGGTTGTTGTTGTTGTTGTTGATGATGATAATGATGATGATGATGTTGCAAATTTCCGTTTGTTGATCATAATGATGATTCATGATGAAATAATAATAATTTGTTTTTCATTTCGGAAAACAAAATGATGGGGCAACACACACGCACACACAAATGACGTTCAAGTGTTTTTCAAGAAAAAACGTTCGAATTTATGGATCGATCCATTAAAATTTTTGTTTTTCTTAAAAAAAAAAAAATTAATCATTATCATCATCATCATCATCATATAGCACAGATAATGATGATAATGATTCACTTGAAATTATTATTGCAAAAAATGCTTGTTTTTTTTTAATTTCAAATTCAAATTTAAATTTAATTTATTTTTGAAAAAGGTACGATAACCTTAAAAAATGTAATCATTTTTTGTCCTTTTTGATGCGTCATTTCGTCATCATCGTTCATCAACATTCCATATTATAACGAAAATATTTTGCATCAACAAATCTACAAATAGAATAATAAAGCATTTGCAAACATCATTTATCGATTAAATGGAATTGAATTGAGAAAAATATAATCATCAAACAGTCAACAAGTGAAGACAATGTTAAAGAAACGAAAGAATGTAATTAAATTATCGATTTATGACAATAATAACAATTGATTTGGTTGATTGATTTTTTTTTTGTTTATTTGTCTTTGTTGTCTGTGACATTCAAATGGATTTTCATTGATAATTGACGGTGTGTTTTTCCCCATATAGATAGGTGTTTCATTTTTTTTTCGCATTCCACTCTCACCCAACAAACAACGAAAAAAAAAATTAAAAAAAACTTTTTTTATATATATGCGACACTTGAATGTTCCAGAAAAAAAATGTTGTTCTTAGCGATTATGATTAGTAATGTGTGGTGGTGGTGGTGGTAGTATATGACAGGACAAAACAAACAAATAGGAAAAATAACAACAACAACAACAACAACAGTGAATATCTGACAAGATGGCTAAAAATGACAAAAAGAAAATTGTCCAAAAAGAATGTCCTCATTTTTTGTTTTGTTTTGTTTTTTCTTCAATTTCCTTTTGTGTAAGTGGTCATTAAAAAATTGTCATTGTATAGGTTGTGTATAATAAAAAAAAACCAAAATTAAACTTACCCATTATTAGTGGTGGTTATTTTATTTTTTTTTTTTTTTTAGTTGCTGAATTCAGTAATGGAATTTCAATTCAAGTATCTTTTTTTCTCACTGATCTTTGAATATTTTTTTCAACTGCATAATCATAATACATCAAAGAATGACTAATTGATTGGTTGAAGAAATTTTTGTCCGTTATCAACAGTATTAGGCACCATTAGAATTTTTTTTTTTAATTTGTCCTTTTCATATTGATGATCAATAAATTCATTTGATTCATTTAAATCGATCACCAAAAAAATAAAACAAAAACAGGAAATAAAAACAGAAAATTAAGGCGCTGATGATGGAACGAAAATACAAAACACAAACAAACAAACAAACAAACAGCAAAAAACCGGTAAATGTCGCCGTTAGATGTGCAGGTGAATTCGGGTCGATTATATACAAAACAATGATTTTCGGAAACAACAACTGCAATATACAAACGAGCAGAAGCAAAAAAAAAGTGTATAATAACAACAACAACAACAACAATGAACAAAAAAAAAGTTTAACCGTATTTACAAAATAAAAGAATTCCACATACACACACACACACGCACACACAGAAAAGATCCAGAAATTTTGAATGAAAT